ATATGATGAAAAAATGGAATACTAAATTGTGTGTCAATACAAATAATGGAACAAAAATAAGTACAGAAATCAAAATAAATAGAGGAATATTTCAAGGAGATTCACTCAGTCCTCTGTGGTTCTGCTTAGCCATAAACCCACTGTCATCACTACTTAAAAAGCTAAAAGGCATAAATCTAAAATCAAGTGATACAAAATATAATCTAACACATCTACTATATATGGACGACTTAAAACTATACGCCGAAAAAGAATCTGATTTAAATGCAATGCTAAAAACAACAGAAACTTTCTCCAATGATATAAATATGGAATTCGGATTAGATAAATGTGCTATAATGAAACTGAAAAGAGGAGTCTATTCTGAAAGAAATCAATACGAAACTGATAACGGATATATAAAGGCACTAGAAAATGGAGATATATATAAGTATTTAGGAATTAAGCAAATGCATAAATCTAAAATGACAGAAGTTAAAGAAGAAATAAAGAAAACATTAAACCAAAGAATAATAAAAATACTAAAATCTCAACTAAACTCAAACAACAAATTCAAAGCCATAAACACTTGGGCTATACCTGTACTGACATACTCGTTCGGAATAATAAAATGGAGTAAAACAGAACTTGAGACCATTGAAAGACATATAAGGCGACAACTTACAATGTTTGGACTACACCACCCTAGAAGTTCTGTAGCACGACTGTGTGTTAGTAGAAAGCATGGGGGTAGAGGGTTACTAAACATTGTAAGCCTTGAAGCCAAACAGCGAGAATTGCTGAGAAAATACCATCAACAAAAATGCAATGTCTCAGAGCTCCACAAAATAACAGCAACACTTGATAACAACTACACACCTCTAAATCTCAGCAATAATGAACATCAAATAGAAATACAAAATGAAAAAGAGAGGATTAACACGTGGGCCTCAAAAGAACTCCACGGTAGATACAGAGCAGAACTCAACCAAACACACGTAGACGAAGAAATGTCTACAAAATGGTTGAAGTACGCCGGTCTTCATGGAGAGACAGAGGGGTTCATGATGGCAATACAAGATCGAGTGATTCCGACACGAAACCATCAGAAATACATCCAAAAGCTAAATATACCAACAGACAAGTGCAGGATGTGTCATATGGAGTCCGAAACAATAGAACATATACTAAATGGGTGTAAAGTACTCACAAACACCGAGTACCTAAGCCGTCACAACCAAGTAGCCAAAATCATACATCAGGAATTGGCAATAAGATTCGGACTAACCAAAGAACCATTACCATACTATAGATACGAGCCACAAAGTGTAATGGAAAGCAACAGAGCCAAGCTCTACTGGGATAAAGAAATAAGAACAGATAAGACTGTGGCCCACAACCGCCCAGATATAGTACTAGTAGACAAACATCAAGATAAGGCGTACATAATAGACATAGCGGTCCCACTAACACACAAACTACAGGACACGCATAGTGAGAAACGCCGAAAATATACAGACTTGGCCTATGAGATCAATAAAATGTGGCGCATTAAGAAAGTTGAAATCATACCTATAATCCTGTCATCAATGGCCGTAATACCGAAAAATCTGGCCCTAAGTTTGGAATCACTGGAAATCAGAAAAACTAAGATCTATGAAATGCAAAAAGCAGTGATACTTCAGAGTTGTAGAACAGTCAGAAAAGTACTAGACTTGAGTTGAGTCTAACCAGTCGTGTCTCTGCCACCAAAAGTGGCCGACACAACTGTGATCACACCGGAACAACCGTGATATACAAAGATAATAATAATAATAATAATAATAATAATAATAATAATAATAATAATAATAATAATAATAATAATAATAATAATAATAATAATAATAATAATAATAATAATAATAATAATAATAATAATAATAATAATAATAATAATAATAATAATAATAATAATAATAATAATAATAATAATAATAATAATAATAAATAATAATATTAACAACAATAATCTATTAGCTAATTATCTATAAAACAATAAACAACTTTTTTGATCAATTTATTTACTCATTGTGTAAGAGAAAGCATTTGATTAATTTGTAAAAAATCGCTTTTTGTGTTTTTTATTTAACCACTCACTCACTAAAATAACTCAACAATATATTGCTTAACAACAACAACGGGTAATAACAATGAAAACTATTTAATATTATATATGATAGTCACGAATAAGAGCTCACTTTAGAGATGATATATTAACTTAAAAACTTACTCTTTATAGCTTTTTATGGTTATTTAATCAATAAAAAATGGGATTTTTTTATTAATAATATTAATACTAACTTTTTTGCTAAATATAATTTAATTTATACCAGCTAAATAACAAAAAATACAGTATATTGCTATACTTACGTAAATCAACCGACAAAATATAATTAATGTATTATTTTTTATATAAAGAATAATATACTGCATTATATTACCTATAAATTTAGTTAATATATTCTGTATGTAAATGTCTAACTATTTTTTTTAATATAATATAATATATTATAATACAATTTGAAGTGATGTTCAAAAAAAGTAATGTTAAAGRGGAGTGAGATTTATATGTTATACAACTGTATAATGCAATGGTGTTGTTGTTGTTGTCTTTGTAATCAAGTAGTAGTCGGTGACTTACTCTCAATAACATGATTAACAACATCGTGGGTGTACCAGTTTATATATCTATATAAATATACAGTATTATATTRGATGATTGAAAAGACTATCAAAAAAATCAAAAAGTCTCATACATTAACATTTCTTTAATATAAAAAACTTGTCTTTTTGTTTGAGTCGACCATAAATCGATGTCATCTAACGTTTGAGTTGCAGTTAAAAACATTTTCATTTCTAAGCAAATGCCTATTTCGTGCAAATTTGTGAGAGCCCTGTGTTTAATATATATATATATATATATTGAAAGCATCAGTACTTCCATCCCTAACCATCCACTACTRCATCCCTTTGCGTTGTTAGCCTTATCTGTATATTATGCCTGTGAATCATACATAACGATAATACTGTATGTTTATCGCCGGTACCGCTATTATATACTCAAAAACCATATATCTATATATTAGTCATCTAATATTGCATTCACTGGCATTTAATGGCGAAATCGGAAGCAAATAGATGTTAGATATTTGGCATACAATTCATAGCTGTATGATATTAATATATATATAATTTATATAAATTTTTATCTAATATTATTAAAATTCAGTTTTTAAAATGTAAACAATTTTATTATGCAAACATTTTTTATAAGACAATAAATGGTATTTTATATGAAAATTTTTAAAATAAAATTTAATAAATAAAATTCATTTTATATATAATATATTTAAAATTAACCCTTGGTAGTCATACAAAAGTATTAACTTTATCTAAACCTACTTTTAAATAAAAAGGCTAATAATAAATACATATCAAACATTAGTAAGTGATGAATATAATATCAAATTATTTATTGCTTAATAAATATATTGTTTTATTTATTTAACAAAGCAATTATGAATAAAATAAAATCTCTGTTAATTATTAAAATAATAGTTTAGTAATAAATATATTATTTATATAAAATTTATATTAATATATAAGAAAATTTTTGCATAATAAATGATAAATATTATATATTTATTTATGTAAATTTTTTGTTGAAAATATCATAAATCATTATAATATATTACACTAAATTTTTTATTAATGAAAAAAATTTATATTTAATACACAAAATAACATTTAGTTTTTGTTGTCTGTTCTTTGAATTAACAGTTGAATATAATAATAACTGATTAATAGAAATCTAATAAAAAACACAACAATAATAATATACTAATAAATAATGTAATGTACTGTCTGTATGTATGTGTTTTATCATCAAATCTGTATATATAGTATAGCTGTTAGCAATAGATAGGGTYTGTATGGATGGTGTTATTCAAAGTGATGTTGTGATTCAAACATTAGATTTCTAGAGAAGTGTGGCTTTTATTGCTTAAACTATATAAGAGATGCTCAACTTCTCTATGGTATTAATAGACTGGTGTCGACTGTGTGTGTGTGTGTGCTCTGGTTTCCATAGAAACACATTGATTGAGAGGCTGTGTGTGTGTGTGTTTGGAAAGAGATCGGAGAAGCCGATTGATGCGAGAGTCACAACAGCTATACAGAATGCGACTCCAGTTGCGTGCCTGCGATGCTGTAAGAAACTGTCAGTGTCACAGTAGTACCAGTGCTCAACACACACACACACACACATAAAGTATATACAGTACTGTACTGTACATCATAAAGCTATGTTACTGTAGTATATACAGTAGGATGTTATGGTTTTTGATTAATTCACTTCTCAATGCCATAACTTTAATATCTAATTATATGTAGTAAGGAATCGACTAATATTAATGTGTGTTTATTTGACAACAACAGTATGAATCGGTTATTACTGTAATTGACAACTAAAAGAGTCCAAACAAAACACAGAAAAAGTTTTTCTCTGTCTGTCTATCTGTCTGTCTGTCTGTGGTTTTCAAACAGTTTTCTTCAAACAAACCAAACCAACGACAAAAAAAACAACAGTTATATTCTGTTGCCGACACTCTATGTATTTATATGTTTTTATTGTGCGACACGAGTACTAAGTTTTCGGTGAATACAGTATTGCAAGTATTTTGAAAAAAGTATTGCGAGACTCGCGATTGCGATGGCATTAAATGCCTGCAACTGGCTGTGCATTCATGGCATTAGCCAAAGAGATCTCATCTTTTTTCATCAATTTCTATTGAAATGCGATCAATATAATTGACCTTGCTCATTTTCATTTATATATATACAGTGTATACTATGTATGTACTGTATATATAAATATATAAAATTATATGATCTACCAAATCATCAGTTTATTGACAAAAACAACAACAAACTAATAATAATATTAATAACATCAGTGAGTCTATTGGACTAACGTTTTGATGAATCTAAAAAACAACAGCTCAAACATATAGAGACTTAATTGACTGGGAGCCAGAAAAATGGCAAAAAGTCATATATTTAGTGTACCATTGCTAACAATATTATTTATAACCCTACCAATCGTATTTATTACTCGGGTTAATGCCAATGAATGTGATCCCAACACCGATACTAACTGTGCACACGAAGTGTACGGCGATTCTGTGAAACAGTGGCCGCCAAACGCATCATTACTTTCTAATGGTAAGGGTATGTATAGTATAAATATAAATAATTGTTTATTTTTAACTTATATTATTCGTCATATCTATATTATATTTACAAAATTTTATTTTGTAGCTATAAATAAATATCATGTAAGTTGTGTCAAATAACATCACACAATATCTAACAGACAATTCAATATAAATATWATTTTTTATTTTTTTTATTTTTTTGATGACATATATTAAATTATCAATAATTTGTACACTAAAGTTGYAGGCATTTTGATTGTATAGAAAACTATAATAAATGATTGTCTGTATTGGGAATTTGATTCTATATATATATATATATATATAAATGTTTTTCTAACATTTGATATTTAATTATAAATCAACGGTCAACTTATCAATGTTAGTATTAGTATTATTATATTGTTATTAGCCGTTTAGATAAAGATACAAATATATACTTTATAAATTTATATATTAATATTAATCATTTAAACATTAATTTTGATATTAACTTAACATTTAATTATTTAATACAATCTGATGTTCATACCAATAATTTTATATATTWGTACTTAACTTAGAATTAATATAATAGTTTATTTAATATTTACCATAATCAAAAATACTAAATTGTTGATATCAATTATTATATTTAAGTTAATTATCTATTATAATGTATAATATAATAGATAGATAGATATTATGGTTATCTATTAGATATATTTAGCTAATTTAATTCTGATAACATCAATGGTTTTATAATAAAATTATTTCAACTATATTTATACGTCGTCTATTATATAGTTATGTACGCTACATTTCAATTTGTGATATAATAAATTACTAYTATTTTGTTATCATAATTTTAAAGTAAAATATTTTTTTTCATATAAAATAGTAAATAGTAATAGCAAAGTAAATTTATGAAATAGTAATTTTGTTTTTAAGTCTAAATAAAATTTTGTATTTTTTAAAACCTTTAYAGCATTTAATCTATAGAAAAAAGTAGAAATAATATATTTATAAAGTTAGAAAGTGTATAAAATATATATACAGCATATATATATATATATATACAATTTGAAATATTATGTTCAATAAGTTATATAAAATATGATCGACTGAGGTATAATTCAGATATTTTTATAGAAATGATATATTAAGTTTTACAGTGTATTTCATACAAACAAAAAGCACAAATAATATATTATATATAAATTGCTAAATATTATATGTATTGTCAATGATCTGAATACAGGTGCAAACGAGTCGTGTTATTATCGTTGCAATTCATCACAAGATGAGACATGTGTTTCAAGGGATCAAATATGTGACATAACTAAAGACTGCGCTGAAGGCGATGATGAACACCAATCGTGCGGTATGTGTGTGTATGTGTGTGTGTGTATGTATGTGTGTGTGTGTGTGTATGTATGTATGTATGTATGTATGTATGTATATGTGTGTGTGTGTGTGTGTGTGTGTGTGTGTGTGTGTGTGTGTGTTTATGTCGATTATAATCTAAATGTCTCAATAAATATATAAAATTAATGTGTCTGCCTCTGCCTCTGCCTCTGGACTTATAGATAAACTATGGAATGGTAGCTATTGTTCATTTGGAAAAAATGATTACTGTTTTTGGCAAAACACGGCAAATGACTCGTATTATTGGTCACCAGAAATGGATGACAATAACGAGTGGTTTCTTAGAGTTAAATTTCGATCCGACAATAATAAGCACTTTTTTGGTAAAAGTGCTACAATATCGAGCCCACTGTTTCCAGCTATACATCCCTATCATTCAGACGCCGACTCCAACTATTACAATACATGTCATGTAAGTCATTCAATGATTTTCAACTATTATTTTTTTGTTATAACACAATATTTATACAGAATTTTCAATAAATTCTGTTTAGAACTAAATCTTATCTTACTTTTTATCACACAATATAAATATATATATATAATATATACAGTATATAGACTCAATCGTTTGATACTTTTTTATATAATATTTTATAGTTTTTGCATTATATAAGCCATTGAAAACATATTCATAAGCAAAATCTCAAATACCTATTATGTCTGAAAGTGAGGGAAAAAAGATCTAAAAAATATAGCAAAGTATTTGCTATTAATAAATCATTTGAACCCATCTTTTGTGTTCAACTGAAATATTCAAAAGGAATTATTCTTTAGAGTATTGAATGAGAAATTTTATGGCAATCACTGGCTTTGAAATTATTTACCAAATAATATCTTTTGTATAACAAAATTGATATTATTCTTGTAATACAAACACCTGAATGCTATTCAAAAACCGCAATATCATTAGCTTTATTATCTAAAAACGATAAATGACTGCAAATATATCATTTTGTGTTACGTTTACTTATATACAGTATTTATTCCCTATACATATAACACTGGACTTAAATAATTTTATTGGCGTTAATGGGGCTTAGATTTTKAGTCTTAAATAAAGCAATTTAATAGAAAAATATAAATATTTATCTTTGAAATTACTGTATTTAAATTCAAAATATTAGTATTTATACAATAAATATACTGTAATGTATGTTTAGAGACATATTTTATTATTTATTCTTTAAATGACTCAAATATATAGTACACATAATTATGAAAATAAATATTTAAAACTCAAACTCAAATAATAATATAATCAAAAGTTTAAGCTTTAATCAAAATATGTATTCATAATCATAATAAAATATTTGCATTATTATTATTATTTAAACAAAAATATAAATTTAGACATTTATTAATTTGTTTTTATAGATCTACATTTTAAATTAAACTTCCTATTAATAATTGYACACAAAATATAATATCAAAATTAAACAAATAATATTATTTTTGAAAAAACTCAAATGAAATATATATTGAATTTTCAAGTTTCATATAAAAATGTTATATAAGTATGTACTGTATGAGCATATAGTCTGTTTAAATACTGTAGTTATAATAGTATTTTTAGTTTTTTTTAAATTAAATGTCTACAAAAAAATCAATACATGGTTTTATATTTTGATTTGTTTTTTATAAATTTAATATAATTATTACTAATAAATTTAATTTTTCACTCGAAAATATTTTAATAATAATATCATAAAATGATATATATACTAATAATTTTTTTATATTAAACTATATAAAATATTTTAAAAAATAAATAGTTATATTTATAATTAGAGCTATATGATATAATAATTTTTAATAATTGTTCTAATTTTAGTTTTTTAATTTTATTAATTTATATATATATATATATAAATATAATTTTTAATCAATTATTCACTCAGAAATTATTACTAAATTATATAAAAATTTATGTCATTTTTATTTATGATTTTCACTATATTAGTCAAACAATTTGTTTGATTAACAAATAATAGAATTATTAGTAATGGAATACCTTTTTCTACAAACATTTTATTAGATTGACTATTGCTATGTTATACCTGTCATCACCCGTTATATTACATACCATTAACAGTATATCAATATATAGAGTATATTTATATACCGGTATATACTATATACTGGACAATACAGTCATTTCTGAAAGTAAAGTTTGAAATGTTTGACTATCATTAATGTCTATAATATTAGTATAGAATCTTCACATGTGATTGAATTTAGTATCTCAGTTGACATTAGAGTTATTTTTATTTGTTTAAATTGTATATATATTGGATGTCACTGTTAATATTTGCTATTTGATGTCAATTTATGCCATTATGACTTAAATAACAAATATAATGATACAATAAATTTATACCTGTATACTGTTTCATATAGTTTAGCGTTTAGTGATAAATAACTATTTTTAGTATAGCAAATATATAATTATTTTTACCACTGTACTAATACTTTTGATTTTCAAATCAATATGCATAAAGTATAATACAGTATATACTATACAAATTGTTTGACTTTATCGATGTTCAAATATGATTTATTAGACTATTTGTACAATATTTTTACTGTCATTAATCACTTTCACTAAACGTCAAACCCTGATATTGTAATAATCTATAAATATTATATTACCCATTATAATTTATCTAACTATTTTTAATATTAATTACAATCATTTCATTTGCTATTTTGATTATATCTATATATATAAAAAAATCAGTAATTTATACTCTATAACAATATAATTAATATAATACCTTAAGAGATAAACATTAAATCTCACATAAAAATATAGATGAATTTATTTTTTTGGATAAATAAAAAATTTGCACAACAAAAAATAAATAACAGAATTATTTCAATAATATAGCAAAAGTAAAGTCACAAAACATTTACAACATTATGTATAAACAATGATAAAATCAATAGTTAGAAATAAGAAATCTCATTATGTAAAACTGTTACACAAAAATGTATTGCAGTTAGTGTTGGCAAAAAAGAGAAATTTATAAAATAATAGAGAAATTTCTAGAAAGTTTCTAAAAGAAATTTCTATTTATGGGATCCCCATGTTAATTTTATTATCTCGATATTTGCTATAATATAACAATACATTAAATATTATTATTAGTATTTTAATTATTAATTAAAGTAAAAAATAATTAATTAAACTATATTAAACTATGATATATATATATAATAAAATGAATAAAATTTTTAAAAACTGATTATTATTAAATAATTATAATTATAATTATAATTATATTTATCTATAGGTATCCCATTTGGATAGTACTGTACTATACTGTATGATATTATATGTATATTATCATATCTTATTAAAATACTGGTATTACAATAACTATAGATATGGGGATCCCATAGTATAACATTAAAGTTAAATTTCTATAGAAATTTATTCATGAGAAATTTTCTAGAAACTTTCTCACGGAAATTTATTAGAAACTTTCTATTTGCCCATCTCTAATTGCAGTGTCAAACGAGATTTATTTTTAAAAAATTAAATATTTATTTATTATATTTATATAATATATTAATAATTTTTATTTAGTATAAAAGCATTGACGTGTAATGATTATTATTAAATTTGTTCAGATATTTTACATTTATATAATTAATAAGTTTGACTCAAATATATATTATTACTCTATACAGTAATTTGTGAGTTATTGAAATTGATTTAATTAATTAATTTTTTTATCGTTTATTAAGACTTAAATACTATTGCGTGTGGTTTTTTAAAATAAATAAAATTAATGTACTGATTTATGAAAAATGTTTGATAATTTTTAAAAATGATAAATTTAGCTTTATTTATAGCATTAATATCCATTAAAACTATAGTGGACACTAGTATTTTGYGATATTATACTCTTAACCTATTTAATTGATCCAAAATCAATAAAAAGTTATAGTATTACTGTTAGTGTTGAATAAATAGGAAATTTCTAGAAAACCACACATAGTTTTAATAGAAATTTCTCTGACAAATGAATTAAATGTATTAGAATTTATTATAGATTTTATAAATCTATATTAAAATGAATTTTACAAATATATTAACAAAAATCGATGACAAAAAAACATTAATTTTAATATATAATTAAATGATGAATTTATTGAAAATTTTAAATATATTACAATAAAAGTCCATTAATTATAATGATAGTCAAACAAATACTTAGGAAAAAATCAAAATATTTTAGTATTTTATTTTAGAAAWTTTTTATTCGTCTAATATTATTATTTTACTACCAATTGAAACAATTTTTGTTGATAAGTTTAAATAAAAAATTATAATAYTSTATATGTATTATCATATATACGGTACAGTACAATAATTAAGATTTATTATTTATTATATATAATTTACATAATATACTGTACTTAATGATAGATAATATAAACTAGAGTTTAGTCATTTAACAATAATTGATTTACTGATAATTTTTAATTGAAAAATATTGTATGACTAAAATATTTCATTCTTTTGTTTAATATCTATAAAATAAATCATAGAATAATTTAGTATATAATAATAAAGTTTTAAAAAATATAAAAAAAATTATAAATTAAAAAACTATATTACAATTTATAACTACTGTAAATATATTTAGTCAACTAAATTTTTATTGAATKAAATATATTTTATGATATATTTTACATTTTTAATAAACAAGTAAAACAGTCAATATATTACCATGGTATGATAAGTAATGATTTTAGTTACATTGATTAATTTATAACTAAAAATTGATATGAAAATACTAATCTATAATTTCTTATAAACTATACATTATTATTATTAAATCAACTAAAATATTGTATGTAATTCCATATATTGTAATAAGATATTAGATTATAAGAAATTGATTAAAATAATTTTTGAAAAGTTATTTATTATTATGTTTTAATTTAATTTTTTTAGCGTAATGAKTATCTTATGATGCATTAAATGATTTAAATATAAAAAATATGAAAATTAAATAAATAAATATTTTTTATTAACTAGAATTTAAAAGTTTTAAATTAGCCAGGTCTTGATTTAACATCATTGTTCTAATCAAAATTGCTTTAGTTAAAAAAATTATTTTTTTTATCAACACTATTGATTTGTTATAATTTATAAYTTATAAAAATAATACATAATATTATATATTATTGTATTGTTACAATGTTTTGTTTATTATCAAAAATTGTTTTCATAAAATGTGTTATATAATAAAATTTGCTTATATTTACGGTCACTTTTAAAAAACATATCTTTAGGGTTTTAATTTATATATGAGTTATTTTCCTATCATTTTTTAAAATTTCATATCAATCGTCAATTAGTGCAAATAAAATCCAATATATAAATAGTATAATATAAAAATTACTTTTTTTCATATTATGATATTTTATGTGTAAATTTAATAATATTGTATTATATAATATAAAGAAATATTTGACGGAAAGATTTTTTGTTTTAAAAATAAAAGAAAAATTTGTTTGTAAGAAATATTTTTATATATAAGAAAAATATTTGACTTATTCAAAGTGTTTCAATTTATTTCAAATTATTGTAAACTTGTTGTTATTAGCTTATAATGCGGTGATTTTGCTGCTAATAAACAAATTCTTAGAAATAAAAGTTTATTAAATGAATGCGAAATAACTTATTCTTATATATTATTTTATACTGAAATATACTGTATATAAGAATATATAATAATATATAACTTATATAATAATATAAAAGATTTAATGAAGAGAGTGGAGTAAAGGCCGACATTATTTGAAAAAAGTAGACAAAACCAGGAATTCAATTATAGATCCATTTTATCATTGAGTGAAACTTAATATATGTCTTAATACATAAAACTAATGTCTTAATAATTTCCGCAAAAATATAATAATGAATAAATGAATTTTTTACTTATAAAATATAATTATAATATACTTATATGTATTTGAATTTTTCTATAAATTAATATTTTTTATTTACTTTACTCATATAATTTTTATAATAATTAGAATAAATAATTATTAATTAGACATTATAAATTATAATAAACTTGATTATTATTATATTACTATAGAGTATATGTAAAATATAAAAATAATTTATATGTTAATATAGATGTTAATAAAATATTAAAAACATATTTTGTTGTTTAATATATTGCTTATATTTTTAATTAATATCTACTTAACAAATGTAATTTAATTTATAGAATTCTTGATATAAATTATTTTTAAAAATATTTTCGTGAAATTTTCCACACATTCAAGTGGACTCTATTATTAGATTATATTAAATAGTTTATGTAAGTAGACTCAAGTAGACAAATACTTATAAGATTTGCTCTCAATTTTTCTGATTTTTTATGTTATAAAATTATAAAATTAAATTATAAAATTTATATATTAAAAGAATTTGTAAGCATAATTAACTTTAGATTTATTTAATAGATTATTATTAATAGTATATAAATAAAAAAAATGCTAAACTATGATCAATAAGTATTAGCATATAAAAAATAGTTTCTGGAAATTTTACTGGAAATATTTAATTTATAGTATTAAAGGAAAAATATTTGCAAACAAGAAGTCTTATCGATCGCTAACTTATATTGTGAAACGCATTTAAGATATATGTATAATATATTTAAGATAATTTATATGATATATATATATATATATATATCAATACAGTAGACTATTTGCTTAAATTAAAATGATTTATATATTAATTCTTTAAATTAACAATAAAAAAGTTTCTGATATAATTAATATTGATATAAGCTATTGATATTTACTTCTTTACTGAATTATTGAATATTAAAAATTGGGGAAATTAAAAGGAAATTAAATTATTTAAATTTTTATCATTTCTCAGTAAATTGTCAAATTTGAAACAATTTATATTACTATAAATTACACTAATTTAAAACATCCCTTATTGAAAATATAGAAAAATTATAGAGAATTTACTATTTGAATACTTAATTATTTTGATTTTTTAAAAAAATATTTACAAAAATGTCAAATTTGCATTTTGATTAATTATAATTTCATTATATTTATAATGAATTCTCATAGAGTTATGTTATTTTAGATTTGTATGATTTGAATACATCATATACTGTATAATATTATATAATAAAGTATAATCTAATTTGTTGGGTTTATTTTTATTTTAATAATTTATTTGTAAATTACAGTATAATATTGTATACAGTATTATATCATATTGCTTCATATTATATGTTATATTATTTATATTCTGTATTTATTATATACAGTATATGATATATAATATTGATAGATTGAGATAAATTAACATAAATATAAAAAATATTAATTAATTATTTAAACTAATATATAAATAAATATATCATATATTAATCTATTAATTGATTTTAGGTAAGATTTATGTATCTGTTTACGTGGCCATCATCTGAATTGGTACTGGAAGTGGTGGAAAACAACCCGTCCTATCATAAAGACGGTAAAATTGTTGAGTTGTGGCGCAAATTTTTGTCATCAAAAGCATCGAAAATTGAAACAATTGCGTGGACACGGGTCAGCATACCGTTACCTTTTAATATACAAAATGACTTTCGGCTGGTATTTGTTTGGAGCGCAACATTTGTTGGACAGGGAGTTAACACACGTAACCGTCAAATCATTGCATTGGATAACATTAGTCTATCGAAAGAATGTTTCGGAATTGGTATGCAATCAAAAAACATTAATTTAATTTAAATAATTATATAATATAAGTATTGAATTTAATTTATGGCTATAATATAATTATCTAAAAAAGGTTTACCACCCGCTCCGGTACGATCCACACCCGACACACATTCTATACATTTTGATATTCCCACAAATAATTCATTAAAAAGTAAGCATACGTTTATCTATCGTCACATTAAAAGCTTATAATTAGATATTTTTAATTAACTTTCTATTGCTATTTGAATGTTTGTATATATGTTTTTATATATAAAAAGGCTATAAATTAACGACATGTGGTTCAAAAGGCCGATTGGGTCCCAGTTTTAAACAATGTGAACAATTTTACTCAAATACTCCGACCCGAGCGGCCGTAATGGACAGTTCATTACTGTTGAGTAACGGCACCCAAATGTGGACAGTGCCGTACACTGGCTATTATACGTAAGAAACCTATATTTTATCATAAAATATATTATATTATTTGTAACATTTCTTAGAAAACATAAAGATTTAATGTTAACATTATTATACATTAAAATGTTTTTAAGTAATCATTTTAAACCATTCATAAAGCTTAACATTGAATGCCGTTTGAAATTGTTTTACACAATAATTCAGAATAGCTCTATGAATATTCTGGTTGTAATAAAAACATTTACATAAATTAAATAACTGTATATTATTTTTTTAATACTGTTTTTATAAAACATTAATGCTATACAACGTACTGTATAACAAAAGTTAGCGTATTTTGCAATTGTGTTAATGCATATAATTTTTCACTAATTGCTTGCTAACTAAAAAAACACCAATATATAATCATTAAATTTATTTTATTTTAAATCAAGCATTTGACACTAAAAACTTATAAATTATTATAATAAAGATTTTATACTTAAATGACTACTATTTAACAAGTAATCATTTTATCTACAATAAAAATGTACTGTATTTCTCTATAATAAAAATAATAATAATAATAATACTATTATATATTGTAATTCTTGGAGATTTCTACACTTCTAAATGAATTTTACAACAATAATAAACATAAATTATTTGGAAATCTGTATTATATTGTACTAAAAATACATACCGTATTTATATTTCTAAATACAAATTATGTATTTTATAGTGCAGTAAATACTGATTTGTGTTAATAATTTATTATTATTATTATTATTGTGATATAATGTTTTAAATTATAAATGTAGTTAAATAATTGATATGTTTTATTATTATTTTATTTAATGCTTGTCAATAATTTATTGCTAAATTTTTTTCTATAATAATTTATTAAATTACTAGATAATAAATTAATTTAGCAATAAACTTAAGCAAATATTCATTAATCAAAATTAATAAAAAAAAGTTTATTAATTAAATTTTATATAAATATTTATTTTTTAGTGTTAACAAATTATTTTAATTTTGTCTAATTTTAAATTCATTACTCCTTATTCTAGTATTTACTTTATCACATTTATTAATTTATATATACATACATACAGTAAATTATATACAGTATTATAATGTAATTCTGTATTATTTATTTTATGTATTATATGATTACGATTATATTAATTGATTCAATTATAGATTAGTATTTTAAAATTAATTTTTAATTTTTTTAAATATTAAATAAATACTTAATATTAAAATATATGATAGTTTATTGTAAATTTTCATATACTATATGTTAATTCTTAATTAATTAATTTAGTATTTAAAGTTTATACAGTATTTATCCGTAAGAAAATTATAATCTATGAATTAAATGTATGAATTTTTATGATAGAATATTTGTGAGGGGAGCTAAAGGAGGTGATGGACTTCATATTAAAAATAAAGGAGGAAATGGAGCTTTGGTTCGATCAGTATTTTACTTTCAAGAAGGCGATACCATATTTTCATTGATAGGACAGTCGGGTACTAATGCCTGTCGTATGGATGAGTTGTCGCCAAATGTATTTTAATTTAATTGTTTTCATTCATTACACGCCTTATACATAATAATACAATGGCCTTAATTTCTTAACACAATTTTTCTACAAATTAGTTGAGAAGTAAGTGTATGTCAAAAGTGAGAGCACCGGAAGCTAATATAACCAACTTTAAGAAAACACTTCAAGATTTAGATAGAAGCGTTGGTGGAGCGGGAGGTGGAGGCGGTGGTAGTTATGGTACCAATTAATAATTAATAAATAATTACATTATATTATTAGTTATTTAAATGTTAAAAAAAATTTTTCTCTCATTTCTCATTAGTATTCAGACTTGAAGATCAATCTCTAGTACCGCTTATTATTTCAGGTCTGTTACCATTTAAATATTTAATTTTATTATACAGTATTTCTAATTAAATTGAATTAATGTATTAATATATTTTACATTTTATAGGAGGCGGTGGGGGTGGAGGTAGTGATACTTTCTATTCTCAATCATTAGAAGGTAAGCCAATTATTTTTTTATACATCATTTTATATATAATATATTCAATATATATGATACTATATTTTTAATGATGTCATACGATATATGAATAACAAAACATTTTTCTAAACAATAATTTAATTAATAGCGGTTTAGAAACTGATTTTATTAGCAAATAGTTATAGACTATAATACAGTTTGAAAAACTGATTTCTGTTGAATAATTAATTATACTGTTAATTATTAAATTCATTTATTATGTGACTATATTAATGAGGCAACAAATCTGAGATTTTTTAGTTTTGTTGTTGTGTTTTACTAGTTTTGAAGATGATATATTTGTTATATAAGTTTTATCGATATAAAAGCACACTGTAATTAAGATAAATTGTTTTAACAAACACACCAACAAAAATATCAAAGCTTGCAAACATTTTGTTTTTCAAAAAAACTAATGAATTAAAGGTATAGTAATATCGATTTTATAAGACTATAAATTACATAACAGTTGCAAAGTTTTTTTACAAAATAAAAGAGTTTGTAAAAACATAAATGGCTAACATTTCCTAATTTAATCTATWGAAATATTTTTATTGATAATAGTTATCCAAATAGTATTGATATTTATTTAACCTTCTTAGTATTATATAAATATTGTTATATATTGTATATAATATCAATATGTTATCTATTATTTATAATTTACAAAAGTCTACAATTTATAAAATATAATGAATTATTAATAGAATAAGTTTTATCTTTTATTATTGTTTTTATTATAATTAATATTATATAACATAATTATATAATAATATCTTTTAAAGGTCAAAATGGGAGAGGATTTGACTATCAATTTAAGGGATCAGTCGGTTCTGGTGCTGAATCAGGTGGTGGTTGGTTTGCTGACCCATTAGCCAATAGATCTATTTCTGGCTCATCTTTACTAAGTGGTGCTGAAGGCGGATATGTTTGCAATGCAACAAAAGATTGGTATATAATATATTGTTGTTAAGCTTTTTTTAAATAAAAAATAAATAAATCTTTAAACAAATCCATTTTATTTTTAAGGGGAACTTATGGTGGTTTTGGCGGAGGCGGAGGTATTCAATATTTATCTTTTTATTATCTAAATTAATGTTTAATAAAAAATATTTTTAATAATAGGTGGTTGTATTAGTGGTGGAGGAGGTATGTCTGTTATATACATTTGGCTAATTAATAAATTTATTAATAAAATCTTTATTATTATAATTTTTYATTGAATACATTAATTAAGGTGGTGGCTATCAGGGTGGCGACTCATATGATGCTGGCCGAGGAGGTCAAGGAGGCACTTCATATGTGGATAAAAGTTTAGCAATGTTAGCACTTTCAGCCATTAAAGAGACGCGACTCTCCAATGATGATCAAAATGATGGAGYGGTGACTATAGTTCCACAAATCGATAAGTGCTGTAACAATGGTCAGTATCCCTGTGTCATTACCGGACAACTGGCCAACAATGAGCTCATTATTGAATGCATTTGTGGATTTAAGGTCTTTGAAAGAAATGAATGCAAACGTAAGTATCGATTATTTTAATGTCGACATAAAAATTCAATTTTCCTCTTTTTTTCAATTGAAATTTTTCCGTTGAATTTTATATTTGTTTACCCACTCAACGGGAAAAATATATTATATTATATTATCATTGAATATTATCAAACATCATTATTATAGAAATTTTTTATTTTTTGTATTCAATTCTAGACACTATAATTCCATGGACTTTAATATCGATTATTGGTGGTGTTTGCCTGTTAATTGTTTGTATAGTTATATTTGGTGCTATTTATTGTAAGTACAGTACAAAATCACTTTTATCTATAATTTACAAATTTATTTATTTATTTTTTAAACAGTTATAAAATATCACAAAACGTGTAGTAATGGTAGCCATTGCGGTACTGATAGAAATGGTAGGGATGCCAGTGCTTCACAATTGTTGTCCACCAGTTCAACTGATGTCCAATTAAGCCGATTGAGAAGCGGTCACAATATAATAACCGAATATAATCCAAACTATGAGTTCGGGGGCTCGACCTGTACTTTACAAGATCTTCGAGAAGTGCCCCGAGAAAAGCTCACACTTATTAAGTAAATATTATATTTGTTTATTTTTGTGTATAAATTGCTGAATTCATATTAAATTATTTTCATATTATTCCCATACACACCATATATTATCAATTGATCAGAGCTCTAGGACAGGGAGCTTTTGGTGAAGTTTACCAAGGTTTTCTACATAACATGCCGGGAGAAATTACCGATGAGCTGCCGGTTGCCGTCAAAACATTACCTGAATATTCAGCCAACAATCAGGCAGAAATGGACTTTTTGATGGAAGCGCTTATTATGTCTAAATTCAAACACAGAAATATAGTCCGATTTATTGGTGTTTGTTTTGAAAAGATGCCCCGATTTATAGTACTCGAACTCTTGCCCGGAGGTGATCTCAAAACGTTTTTGCGAGAGTCTCGCGGAACTGCTATTAAGCCGTCACCACTAGTAATGGGAGATATTCTTGTTATTGCTTTAGGTATTATAGGAAAACACTTATGTTATGTAATACTTGGTTGTAGTTTATTTGATCCCAATATTATTAATAATATCAATAATAATAATAATAATAACCAAAAACTATTTGATTATATTTGTAGACATAGCACTTGGATGTCAATATTTGGAAGAAAATCATTTTATTCATAGGGATATAGCGGCCAGAAATTGTTTGCTTACGAGTAAAACAAAATCATTGATGGCTACCAATAATGTCGTTAATATGAACCAAGCATTTAATTATTGCAATTATTCAAACGGTTATAATAATAGCGCAATTGTTGTTAAAATTGCAGACTTTGGTGAGATTTCTAATTTATTACATAATTGTTTTTCGATWTTTTTAAACTAAATTTATTATWTTTATTTTATTTACAGGTATGGCAAGGTATGCATCGTTTTTAAGCTATTATTATTAGTAGTAATTTAATTTTTATATATTAAATATACTAAATTTAAATTGTAATTATAGAGATATATACAGAGCTGATTATTATCGCAAAGGTGGTAAAGCAATGCTTCCGGTCAAATGGATGCCTCCCGAAGCATTTCTCGACGGCATATTTACATCAAAAACTGATGGTTTGTTATATCATTTTTTTTGTATTAATCTACAGTAATTGTATTGTTTCATAAATATTTAATAATTTCATAAATTTAATTGATAGTATGGAGTTTCGGTGTTTTACTTTGGGAAGTCATGTCAATGGGATATATGCCATATCCGGGTCGAGGAAATCAAGAGGTGATGCAAATGGTGACGGCTGGCGGTCGACTCGAACCGCCAAATCCATCGACACCGTCACAAGTCTACGCCATAATGACTCAGAGCTGGAATGCCGTCCCCGACCAAAGGCCGTCGTTTACAACAATTATCGAAAGAATAGGCTATTGTTTACAAGACCCGGATGTCCTCAATACAAAGTTACCTATATTTCATAGGGCACCGTCTATGGAAAGAGATGTATGTTTTTATATATTAAATACTAAAAATTATTTAATTTAAGATTATTATGAGAAATCATAATTATAATGTAATGTAAAAAATAGATGACATTAATGCGTCCGCCGCCCGACTCGACCGACTATTTAGTGCCAAACAATCCCTGTTCTAACTCCAACTCAAACTATAGTATGAGTACCGAAAAGACTGAATTACTGTCACCCGACACCTGCTCGACGTTCAGCTGCGGCACAACCAATGATGATAACAAACTTCTTGAACTATTGGATGACGTGAATCCACCGCCAGTAATACCGCCGCGAAGTGGAAACTGGAAAGAAACTTGTTTTACGGGCGCAAACTCCAATCAGAAGAATCTAATCGAGTTGTCCACTGCTGCTAAAAGTAACGGCATTAAGTCGGGTATAGTGGCCAACAAGAGTACAGCAGCTACCGGTGCCGCCGCCACCGCCGCTCAGCCGTTATTGTTAGACGCGTCCACTTTATTACAGCAACCGTCGCGTTATGTCAACGTTAATGTCAATGACTCTGTAGATGTGCTCAACACTAACGCCAGAATCAATGAAAAACAAGTCAATTGTTAAACATTTGATTTTTTWAAATTTCATTTCTCAAGTCATCTAATTTTTGTACACAATTTTCACTACATTTTCACCGAAAAAAATGACATTTTATTATTATATTTATTATTTTAAATAGAGTTTATCTACATTTTTACATTTCGATTCATAAACACAAAAAATACTAATTTATAATTCGTTAATTAATAATTATATTAATTGTCAAATTAAATTACGAGTTATATTGTATTACATTATATTTAATATTATAGACTTTGTTTGAATTAGTAATTTACAAATTATAAATCAGTTTAAGTAATTTAATGAAAGTACAATTTAACAACAAATATTAGTTGAAATATTTTAAATTAAAAAATAGATGACTTGTTCAAAGTTGAAAAATGACCCATGTCAATCATTAATCGACAGCTAGTATATCATATTTTTTAATTAATTAATCTATTTTTATGTGTAATTTAATGCAAATTTTAGTGTAATTAGATGTTCAAAGCTTTTTAAGTATTTATATTTATTGAAAGATATTAAACTCAAAACTAATTATTTTTTATTGATAATTATTATCGCTTTGTAATAACATTTGATGATATATTTTTAAAAGTCATTTTTACTTTAATTTATTTTAGATATAAACTTTTTTCAATATTATAAATTATATACAGTACATAAACCAGGGTTATTTTTATATAGATTTATTACAAACAAATTCATAATTATTTAAGACATAAAAAATCACATTAAAGTCTATATAAGTAATTCTGGTCACAAAATAAATTATTGATCATAAAAATAGTAATTTTTTTGAAAATTACTTTAATTATGTCATATATTTAGTAATTTATACTAAATATAATTAAATTGTTTATTTCTTGTTAAAGTAATTATTATATAGGTATTTGTATATATAGTATATAAAGATTATAATATTACAATAGTATAAACTGTATATAAATTAMCAAAAATTGATCATGATAAAAAATAACACATTATTAATATTGTAAATAAGTCAATGCTTTACAATTGACTGGTTGTCCAGTGAAACCAAAATGACTGTGATATAAGGCGAATATTAAATGAGATTTATTACCATAAAAAACAATATAAAAAATATATTATTTAAATACAAACATAAAAATTACATTTCAAAATACTAACAAATACATCGACTTTTTTGAATTTCAAATGGCTTTTATTTGCTTTATAACTGTGTATTACACAGTATTTTTTGAATATGAATTTTTGCTAAACTAAGCATTAAAATTGAAAATAAAACTTTTTTTGTCCGTTTTGTTCTTCAAATATAAGTATTTTTAATCATTTAAATTGCAAATTATTTTATTTCTTTTTTTTTAATGTGTACATCAAAAACACATGTTTTTAGGCATAAATTGTTGGAAAACTCAAATAATTAAATTTTAATGTATATTAAACTATTAAACTTAAATAAAATGTATTATAATGACAAATATTATGGTATTTTTATCAATCACTAAACAGCAAACAAAGTGATATATCGTCGTCCAAAGTGTTTTGGCGATTGTTTTTCGTATAAAAAATTGGTTTCAAATTCTTAATCTCAACGCTTTGGTATTTATATAACTGTCCGATATTTTTCTATAATAATAATATATATATAAAAGCACTTTAATATAAATAGTATAATATAACAATTTATCATCAAATATATGAGTCCTTCAAATCAATACTCACTCCAATAACTTGTGATAAAAGCTTTTTAATGATTTCTTTTTTCTTTTTGTCTGTCAATACATATTTAGTATTTGGTTCACAAGTCTTATGAAGTTTTTGATCGAAATCAATCCAATCCTTTAGTGAAGATCCAGTTATTTGACTTAATTGCTGTTTAATTGAGTCAAATCCCATTTTAATGGCAATCCCTTCATAAAGAGTTAGTACTAATTGTAACAAAATTGACTGATTCTGTTCGTGTTCACCGAAATAAGATAATCCGCTAATCAATTGTTCAAAAAGAAAATATACAGCGTTTTCACTTTTAATCATATTATCACTAATTATTTTTTGAATTAAAAGTTGATTCAATTGAGCMGTTTTTAATGCTATGTTTGTGTCAATCCATGAAAGTGTTTTAGCGATTGGATATATAATAACATTTGGGATAACATTCAATAAATAATTTCCTAAATCTGAGATCTTTGTGTCAAAAGAATTACTATTCATATCTGAAGTATCACACGATTGCGTGACTTTGCTTGGCGTGAGAATAGCGACCATTATATCAATGAATTCTCTGGACAACAACCGATTGATTTCATCGCTAATCACTTCGGTTTCAATCGGATCGCTCTTGTCTTTCATATCATCAGTTTCTGACAATTGATTTCTTGCTTTAATTTCATCCCATTTTACATTCAAATTGTTAAATAAATATTGCAATAGTAATGATAAAATAGATTCAATTTTGTTGAACATAATCTGATTTTGTGGACAATTGGTTATAAATGGTCGAACAAAACTTCTGGCAATCATTCGTAGCTTCCATTGCGGTAAAAATTCGATGTCTGTGAAGATTAATTTGAAATCACAAATTTGGTCGTAAAAATGCGGCTGAAGAACACTAGTGGCCACTCCTAATGTCGCGTAACAGTTCTCATGCAAATTCCATACAAATATTTGCATCCTATAGGCCGCAGATTTTGTCAACATTTCGCTGACATCAGAGAGCGGCTGATCCAAGATATTCTTCTTATCGGTTTCGCTAATATCTGCGTAAACCATATTCTTGTAATTGACACAACATTTTTGCTGATATTCTGATCTCCAAATAGTGTTCAAATTGGAGATCAAATTAAACAGTCCGTCAATTACTGGAAAGATATTTGGTATGAAAACAACTGATCGTTCAGTTTTTATGCGTTTTAAGAAACTTAATGTTAGATTAACAACATATGATAAATTGGCCCGTCTTTGGCTTAAAACCACATCATCTATTGAGTCAACATTAAGGCCGATATCGCATATAAAATCATTAGGATTTGGTTTATAACTATTTATCCAAACAATTGTATCAATCAGTTCTTTGGCAAATAGTTTTTGATGTTCAATATTTTCAAATTCGTTGCTATAAATAWTTAAATTTGCATATAATTAAATTTTTAAAAATAATTACCATGGTAATTAATTTCAATTATGACAAAATARCCCCAACAAACCTAATTAACAAAAGGCCCTCATTTAATGAGCATTTTTCCATTTGACTAAAATTTTCATTATTCAAACCAATATATTGTCTTATAGTTGTAAATAATGGCTTAAATATTTAGAAAATTATTTTTTTTAAATATCTATAAGTATTAAAATTAAAATCATAGCTTACGACTAATAAAGTTGGATATGTTTGACATATTTTGATAAATAGTGAACACGAGTGTCGACGCAAATCTTTTACTTCTTTACTTTTGATTGTTTCATTAGTCAACGTAAATGTCGCTAATAGTAATGTCTGTAAAATTATATTWTTAAATATAAATTCATTTAAATTAATATTAATAAAATTTCATTACTAACTCTTTCAATGATTTGATTGAGCAAATGATTAGAAATATTTGGCAAAAATACAGTTAATGCTGAGATACACGACAATTGACTGGATATGACATTTGGATTATCTTTATTGCATTTGTCTATCAATGACTTCAATAGTGTTTCGCTTTCAATGCAAAACTAAATAATATTAAATATAAAATTTTCATTTTAATACTAATTACAGATAATATTCTAATTAAATATTCACTTGTCTTTTATCACTGATTTTGTTAAAAACTGCAGCAGAAAGCTGTGCTAATATTTCCCAATTTTTTGGATCACTATTTGATTCATTCAATGATTTCTCTATTGATTGACCGACAAATACTAGACATAAATTTTGATCCAAAACTATTTAAAAAATAATTAAATTTTAATATAAAATTTTATATATAAAAATAAAATTAATAGCAATATTACCGGTTAAATGTTTGAGTAGTTCAAGTGTGTCGGTTCGGACTTTTAAGAAAAAGTGGTCAAAATCTTTGTTGTCGTCAAACTCGAAACCTAACAAACTCTGGTTAAACATTGGTTTAACTATTTTGTGTGCAATATTAACCAATAAATTGTTAAATATATTAGTATCGATAGACATATGATTATTAGTTAATCGTTTATAGTTTTTTACAAAAACAATCCAAAACTGAATCGATAAATCATTTAAAATAATGTTATCGTTTGTAAATAATATAAATATCACAGAAATATATTGATTCCATATAACAGTTGATATTTGATTTGAATTATTGTCGATCACCAGTTGCTGACCAACTAATGATAAGAGAGATACCAATCGTTTCAGTAATGTCTGAACGTCTTGATCTTTTGAATTAATTTCAAGATATTTCCTAATATTAAAAATTTTAAATCTTATTTAAGTAAAACATTAACAATAATTTAATTAAAAAATTAAACTAACCCGACATTTGAGATAATTAATGAAATATTATTATCACTAAAAAGTACTTTAATTGCATTTTTATCGCTATCTTTAGTTAATTTACGGCTAAGACAAGTAAGAAGACAATCGCATATCAATTGCTTTATTTGGTGACATTTGTCATTTTGATAATCAATAGCTAACAATTGCATCAAATTATTTAAAAGAGTTGCATCTAATTGTGTCCATTCAAGCATCACATTCAATGTATTCAAAGATATCAAACAGARATTAATGTCTCCAGAAGTGAAACATTTGCCAATATATGCATAGATATCAGTCATATGTTTGTTGAGTTCATTAGTCATTTCTCTTCTTCGCTGAGGATTATTTGGTCTAAAGAAGACACCGACTTCTTCAGTCAACTGCCAAATACAATATAAACTTAGATAAGACTCTCTTTGCAATAAATAAGACATGAATTGCGGCCAATTTTGAGGCCACTCTCGGATGACAACTTCAACAACACAACGGCCGGAAGCGTTCATCAAATGTCGCCATTCATGGCTCGGATAATCCTGTGAAGACATATCATTGTTGAACCAGCTTTGCATCAATTGTTTCAACTGATTCTTGAGATTGTCATCCATTGAATTCCAGTGATATTTGATGACATTATTAAGTGTCTGAAAACCGAACAGTTTGTAGGCAACAGATTTGTTTGTCATTTGTAGTGATGACTGTTGAAGAAGTTTTAGTGAAACTTCGTATGTCATCAACGGATTATCACTGGATTTGAATGAATCGATCAGTTGATTGCATTCATGTCTTAGTTGTTGACCACTGTTTGAGTCCATCACTACATCAATCGATTGGCACAGTTGTCGACAAACGACATCAATGTTGTCATCCATTTTTATCGTCGACACAAGTGATTACCAGAAAAGACAATTAATAATAAGTGATTGCAAATCAAATCAAAAAATTTTATTTTTTCAAAAAACAATGAAAACATTGAAATCAATGCTTCAATACAAGTGTTGCAAACAATTTCGTTCAATAACTTTATTACTATAACTGTTTGTAATATTATATACGAGACGTACTGTACTTAACGTTATTGTATTGAATGTATAATACATTTTGAGATTAATGTTAACATGAGTTACAATTTGATAAACAATTTAACATTTTGTTTGTTTGTTATCAATACTCAATACAATTATAATAGACTATATTAAATGCATTAATAAGAAAAACACAATTAAAATATAATAATAATATAAAATCAAAACAAACTTATATATAAAACATTTGATAAAATATAATCAGATCTAAAAACAACATTTGTTTTTAGTTACACATTAATAGAGAGACAATTAGGATATGAGATATAATATTATAAGCACTGGTATCCCAAATAGTGGTCATAACAGTGATGGTCGAGTAGTTGCTCATCAAAATCAATGGATTTTATTATTCTTCTATCGGTTTATGACATTTGGGTGTCAGGTAAACGATAACACCGGACACGACCAACATTGCCACCCAAACGATCCAAAACAAGACAAACAACGACATCCTGAGTCTGACCCAAAATGGGTCGTTTGCGTACTTCATCAGCTCTTTCTTGTTCATACCTACAGATCGGGCCAATCTAGTGTCGCCCACTTCGACCACAGCCTCGCCATTCTTGTTGTCGGTAAACTTGACAATTGACGGTCCGCCGCTGGTGTCCGCAGTCGGATTCAGTTTATCAGTTTCGGCCGCTTCTGTATCCATATCTAACGGTTCCCTTTCCTCCAATGTTGGCTCTTTAGTTGCCTTCTCTGTCTTGACGTCTGACATTTTGTTTCAATTTAAACTAATAATAATTAATAACAATTGATAACAATTGGTAACAATTAGTGTCAATTTGAGACACAATTTAAAGCCAAAGGGATGTCAATTGAGTGGTGTATTCACTCAATCAATGCTAACACTCAATGTTTGACTGCAGTGGGAGTCGAGTCGTGTCTCTCAACAGTCCTATCATATCATATGACACGTGATTATGCAATACAACACTTGTATTGCTGTTTGAGTGTAGGCTTACTATTAATATTAATACAGTATATCATTATACAGTATATATGGCAAACAAACTGTTAGTTTCAGTACTTTAAGCCCTGTTTTGCCATTTTTGGCGTTTTTTTGCTAATCATTCATTGGCTTCACTTAACTATTAAAAAATATTTATTAATATTCATATCATATCTCTTAACAGTAGTCACTACTGTAGTGCTTATTATTATTAATTAACATTTAAAAACATATTTAACTATACATTGCATAGCATTTTAAAAAGTTTACAAAATAAAATTGATGTAAATTAATGTAATGCTTATAATGTTGAATATAATTTATATTTATAATTCGTAAAAATGATAAAATTAGATTAATAAGTGTTAAATTATTTTATTTTAAAAAATTAACTAGCTTAATTTTAAAAATTGTTTAATTTATAATTTTAATTTACTTTCCATTATAAACAATAGGCTATAAATACTTAAACTTTATAACATATGATATTTGTTATCATATGGTTGTCAATACATTTAAAAGGACTGGTATTTATCACATGTTTAACACATTGCACATCCATTACCTTACAGTGCTTTTCATTGTTTATTTAAATTTTTAATTTCTTATACATTATTTTGACAACTTTTTAGACCAATTGTTGTGATTATATATGATTTTTTAATTAGTAATTACTGTCAAAAAATTATATGATTAAAAACATCTGTTGTAATGAATGTCTTAACTGTTGAAAAGTATCAAAACTTAGACAAACAATCATTCAATGAATTGATAGAAAAAGTAAGTCATGTTATAATAAAAATATTTAATTAATTTAAACCATTACTTGAATTGGTTGTCCTATTCAAGGATATACCGTTTGTCATAAGAGACGCTGATTTTGGTTACTGTATGACACAATGGTCGGCCGATTATTTGAAGGACAGGTTAGGAGAGACCAAAGTAACGGTTCACCAGTCGATGCAATCAATGCTTAATTTTATTGATAAAAACTTCTTATATAAAACATTGCCATTCAATGAAATGATCGACAAATGTCTTAATGATGACCAACACTATTATTATTTGAGATCAATTGGTAGCGATCGTCGGGCTAGAGATGTGGCCGATATTAGAGCTCAGTTTACCGAGATTTCAGACGATGTGACGATTCCATCGTTTATGTCCATCTGCCAGAAGACAGACGAATGTCGATCCACTCAAGATTGTCACCAAACTGGTCACAGACAGCTATTTTCAAGTGTTTTTCGTATTTCATCTAAAGATTTAGTTCTTTGGACGCATTACGACATATTAGACAATATTTTAGTTCAAATAAAAGGCCGAAAACGTGTCGTATTGTTTCCACCGGATAACTGTCAGTACCTCTACTTAGAGTCAGACAAGTCTCGGGTCATTGACATCGATGAACCTGAAGACCTATTGAGAGAGAAGTTTCCGCTCTTTTTGAATGTCGATCGCTATGAATGTGTTCTCGAAGAGGGAGAGTCACTATTCATACCTTCCCTTTGGTTTCACAATACAACTGCACTCGAGTTCAGTATTGGTATGAATTTCTTTTGGAAAGACAAACAATTAATCGATGATAATATGTATAACAAGAGTGATGTCTACGGAAATAAAGATTTGAATCCAGCTGTTGATGCCTTCGCTAATGTCGATAAACTGGTCAAACATTTAGATAAAATGCCAAAAAAGTTCACAGATTTTTATTTAAGAGTTATTATTAATAAATTACAAAATAAGTTAAATTAATTAATAAACTAATAAATATTTTAATTCTTTGTTTAATTTAATATAAATATATTATTTTTATAATCATAATAATAATAAATAAAATTATGCTTTTAATTTCATAAGTTAAATATCTTTTTTAACTCATAATTTATTTGTATTACATGTAATAGATTATTAGTGTTTATAATTTTATTTTTTATAATTTTAAAAATAGAAAATAATATTTGCATTAAATTTTATATGCAATTAAAATTACTTAAATGTAACATTATATGAAATGTCAATATATAATGTGTTAATTAACGTATGTATTATTTTGTTTGCAATAAAATAAATATAATTTTTGAATTTTGCACAAAACAAGTGAATTTCAAATAAAGTAAAAATTATTTTCATATTTGACYAAAAAACAAGTTAATGATTTAATAGCTTTTTTATACATAAACTATTGAAAATCTATACTAAAAAATTAATGTTAATTGTCATAAAAAAATTATTTAATATGATTAAACTTCAAAATATTTAGCTATACTTAAGTCTTCAATACAACTGATGATAATTATATTAAGTAATAAATAAATTAATAATTTTTTAATGAATTAAATTTAGGACTTTATTTCCTGGCAGTAAAATCAATAAAAGACATTATAAACTCTTCTTTTAAAAAAGATATAATTGAAACTACTTTATAGAAACTTTTGATCGATTATTATATATATATATATAWATATAATACTGTATTATATATAATATATATATATATAATACTGTATTATATATATTATTAATAAATCAAAATAAATATGACATTTAGAAATTGACTTTTTTTGGGTAAATCATTACAATAAAATATTATTATTTATTGAAAATCAGATAGAAATAAATGTAAAGTTTGTTTTAATATTTAATATCACATATAAAAAAATATTATATAAGAAATGGAAATCCATTAATATGTGGTAACCCTAACAACAACTGAAGACTATTTGAAGGATTAATTTAATAATTTCATTGACAATGGATTTCGTGTTTTTGTTACATAAATCCTAGAGATCGGCCCTAAACTTGTATCGTTAAAAAAACATTTCCACTTATTTACCATTTTTTCATTACTTTTTTATTATTTTATAAATTCATACTTATTTATACTTATATATATATATATATTAATATCTGAAAGAAATGAGTTAATATTTTGTTTTAAAAAATATGTTCAATGAATGAATGGATTAAATAAATAGATAAAAATGTTTTATATTAAAGATACACCCATTTTATACCATTAGCTTATATTCTATAAGTTATATACTAAACTACAGTTTATTATATAATATAGTATTACATTGCATGACGATAACAATGATTTACTTAAAATCATTTTTTTAATTTTTATATAAACATTATTAATTTTAATATATTTAATGACCATTTGATCTTATTTGACAATTTGAATTAGTGAGCATTGAACTATAGTTGAAACTAATTTTATATAATTACTTGAAATTGATTGTAACTTACTATTAATTATTAAACAAATGAAATATCTTACACTTAAGTTAAAGAAAAATGTGAAATTAAATATTTTTAATTAGTAATAATTTCACAATAGTTATTAAATGAAATTAAATATTTACAATAAAACATATTTGTTTATATTATAATATTTAATATATAAAACATTAAAATAAAATTTACTTTATATTTATTTTATTTGTCATTTAGTCAAACCATCAATTATCTTGGTATGTGTATTATATTATTAAAATATTTCAGATAAATTAAAATTAATTAAAAATTATAATTATATTAATTTGATTTACTATAATATTTTTTTAAAAGTCAAAGAGATTACTCCTTTTTTTATAGATGTTAAGTAATAAAATTAATTAAAAAAAATATTTAGAAATTATTGACAAATACTATATAAATATTTTATGTTAATAAAAAACTATAGCATTATAGTACAGTATTAATAGTTGTTTAGCTCATGTTTACCAAAAATAGTGAAGTTGTTATGAAAATGTTTTTTTCTCCAAATATTAATCTTTTCAATCAAAATATGACTAAAATTATGTCTTTAATGTCACTTAATAATAGTTTGATATATAGTTTGGTGTAAATATTTAGATCTAGTAAGTGATTAATAGATAATCACAAAAAATATTATTAAAGTTATGCATTAATAGGTGTATATAGTTTTTTGCGGATCAATGACTTTGCATTCAAGCAATTGCTATACAAACTTAAAAGCTTTATCCCTGTATTCAATGTTATACACATTTAATAGTTGTATTGATTTTTGTATGATTTTTACACCTGAGAAGCGCTGAAATTTAGTTTTGTTTTATTCATACAATTACTTATATATATATATATATATATTCTTGTCTTTCCTTTTTATTATAATTTTTATTTTATATAAATCAAAATGTATTAACTAAATATATTAACTAATTTCATGAATATTAATATAGTTTAATACAGTATATATAATATACAGTATTATAAGTACAATTATAGTGCAATAATTTAAAAAATAATGAAAAAACTACATATTATTTCGTTTTGTCGAAAACATCATTATTATTATTATTTAATATCAAACGTATCGTTAAATTCCGAGTCTCTATAAACTTATTGTCCAATCATTTGTTTCAATAACTCATTTATATTAGTAGATTGTTGAGAGCATAATCATTGATTACTTTTTGTTGTTAATAATAATATATAAAAACTATACAAAAGTATATTATAATAATAATAATCAGTATATATTTTTGATACAAAATTTAAAATATTTGTTTTTTATGTAAATTTTTGTTTGTGTATCACATAAATGGCAAAGAATGAGATGATATCATTGAAATTCTTGTACAACAATCCGTTGGGAAAATTATTCACAAACGACAAGATATCCAAAAATAGTGTCGTAATTCTTGCCGAAACTGATCCCGACTTGGATTCAGACCAACAACGCGCACAATATGTCCGGTCTATTCCTAAAGCACTTCTCTTTAAGAATCTTCTACTTCAGGGATATCTTGTGAATCCAAAGTTTTTGAAAAAGATCGACAATTTTCAGATCAAATCGGATGACTTATGGTTAGCAACATATCCTAAGTCAGGCACCACTTGGACTGAAGAAATAATTTCACTGATCTATAATAACGGAGATATTGATAAAGTAAAAGACAAGTTATTAGCCACTCGTGTCGTCCACTTTGAAGTGGGACCACCATTAGGTCATTCACGTTGGCTTAAAAAGTTAAAATCTCCCCGATTGCTGGCCACTCATCTACCCGTAACACACATACCGTCACAACTCAAACAATCTAAATGCAAGGTAATAAAAATTATGAATTTTATGAAACTTTAATATTATAGAATAAACATTTAATAAAATTTATATTTATTAATTGATTTCAAATGTAAATGAAACACAGTTTTGTTATATTGATATAATTATGACAAATAATAAATTATTATTTCAATAAATGTAAAGATAATATATGTGATGCGTAACCCCAAAGACAATGCCGTGTCATACTATCATCACCACCGCATCAGCACATACTTAGGCAACTATAGGGGTCCGTGGAATACATTTGTCGACCTCTTTGCAAACGGACATCTGGCACACGGAGATTGGTTTGAACACATCAAAGGGTATCGACAACTGTCCATACAATACCCAAATAGAGTACTATTTATATCATATGAAGAATTAAAAACAGTAAGAGTTTTACATTTATTTTGTAATAATTATTTCTTATTTTAAATTTTTAGTTTTTTTTATTAAAAAATATTATTTATTTAGTATTATAACCATTATATTTTAAGGTAGTAGTTGTTCTGAAATAATATTTATTAATAATTATTTGAATCTATGCTAACATTTAATTAATAATTATATATTTAAACTATTCAACAAAAATAGGATTTGCCAAAAATGATTGAATTAATAGCAAACTTTGTTGAACGCAAACTATCTCAAGAAGTAATTGATAGGATTGCCAAACACTGCTCTTTCGATGAAATGAAGACCAATAATATGGTTAATAGAGAGAAGATTCCAATCAAAGATCTGTTTGATATGACTGAATCCAAGTTCATGAGGAAAGGTATTATTGGTGACTGGAAAACACATTTCTCAACTCAACAAAGCAAACAATTTGATGATAAATACAACGATAAACTCAATGAATTGGGTTTAACTGTTTGCTATGATAGCGAAGATGCTTACCATCGAATGCAAACAAACGGAAGAATTATTAATAAAAATTTTCAATCATTTGATGACAACCAGAATATTACAGACAATAGTGATAGTGGTTATGACATAAGCTTATGAATTAAATTAATATTACTTTATTTATTAACCATTTCTTAGCTATGAATACAAATACAGTATTACATATAAAATACTTTTTAAATTTTTTTTACCTTTACTGGCAAATACAGTACAGTATATCAAGAATCTTGATTTATGAAAATATGATAGTAATTGTGTTAAATATATTTATCAAAAAATATTTATACATTTACACTATTTTTAGAAGTACTTTACAGTAATGATATCATTTATTTATAGTACATAATCCAATATTACTTATAAGTACCGGTAATTATATATTTGGGAAAATTATTAGTTTTCCAAATTAATTAAAAAATGCAATTCATGAATGTGTTATCATATTTATAGCTATGATACATATTTTAATTTAAATTCAATAGTTTAATTTTAACATATAATCAATGTTATTTACTAGTAGTTTGTTATATTGTAACTATGCAAACAAAATAATAAGATAGTATTGTCAACAAAATGTATTAATAACAATATATTATAATTTACCATTATCAAATAATCAATTATTAATGCTAATACCGATAATATTATAAAAAAATATATCAAAAAATAATAATAATTTACAAATTTGGAAAAAAATAATTTATTTAAAAATACATGATTATAATCAATGGATTAATTAGTAGTTACTTGAGATGCGGGACATGAAAGCAGTTTAGTTATCATTGAATTAATGGTTTCGTCGTTACATTTAATGATTTGTTTTTTACTTAAATCAATCTCCACTTCATTGTTATCAATATTACAGCACATTATCTTTCCTTCGCCTTTTGTGGTCAACTCTTCGACGCCAAACATTTCTTTCAATAATTCAAACATAAGAGTCGGATCTAATGGTTTGTTCAGCTGTTTGTTTTGTTCGCTGTTTTCGTTTTTCAGTATCAGTGCCACAACAGAGTCGGCGTACATATCGGTGACCGGACTGGCCACCCAATCAAGTGTAATAAATTTACTGTTTGTATTCAACGCAATGTTTATTTTGCGCAAAACTCTTAAAGTTTTGGAACCGTTCTTCTCGATAATCTCGCAATCAAAATGAGATAAAATGTCGAACAATTCTTGAAAAGTGCCGCCGAAATGGACACTAAGTTTTTGGCTGATTGTACTCATAACCATATCGGTATATTTGCTCAAATCTGTCGGCGCCAACAAATGGTAGCTGAAGTTACGCTTTACGAGAACACCGGACACCTTGTGGCCGGCTTTTGGCGCGTCAATGGCTAAACTGCCCATAACTTTGGCCGTCTTTTCTCCTCTGAAGTGCAACTGAACGGGAATCGTATTTTTCGGATTATGAAGAGTCGGTGGATTATCTGAGTCTTCGTATTCTCGATAAAGAGCGGCCTTTAGTCGATTCATTTCGTTGGCCTCGCCGTGAACTAGCATTATGTGCGGTGGTCTGAGAGCTCTGATAAATTCACTCGTTTGCTTGTAATCGGTGTGAGCCGAAAAAGATATGTACTCTATCTGACATTTACGGGCTATTTTTTGGCCACTCAATGTGGTTATCTCTTCGGGTTCGGCCAACACCTGTTTAGCTAGTGTTCCTTCGACACAATAGCCGGCAATTATGCAACAGTTGCGAGTGTCGGGACACCATAACTCAAATAGTTCGCGACTCAATCCGTTTTGCATCATTCCCGGTGTGGCCATCACAACACACGGTCCCACGTCCTCGAAGTGATCAATTGATTTCAAGTTTGAAATGTGTTTGAATACAAACGGATTGTTGATTGCAATCTGTCGTTTGATGCGATCATTCATTGCGTTAATATATGTCTGATATACAGACATACACTTCTTGGCCAATGAGGACGCATAGTATATGGGAATGTCATGTAATTCCGGGTGTTGTGTCCAATACTCGTCCAAAATAAGTAGCAGTTCCTGTGCCCGACCCAATGCAAACACTGGGATCAGACAACGGCCGCCACGACTGACCGTATCGTAAACTATTCCCGTAAATCTGGCCTCACGTTCCTCTCTCGGCTCATGTATATGTGTGCCATATGTCGATTCAACAATGAGTACATCCGGTCTGATGGCTGGTATTTCGGCACTCATGAGATGCCTGTCCTCTTGTCGTGAGAAGTCTCCGGTATATAAGATCTTGACGCCCGCTATCTCTATCATAAACATAGCGGCGCCCAACACATGGCCCGCATTGTAACACCAAAATCTGATTCCCGACACTTCTTTTTCTTCGTGAAAGTTAATCGTTTCAATTCTGTCCATCGATTGTTCCAAATCTGATTCCGTGTAAAGCATCAGATCTGTCGATATATTCGACACTTTAATACAATCGGCTAAAAGCCATCTGTAGATGGCTTTCGTCGCGTGTGTCATAAAACAGCGACCTTTGAATGTTGTCTTCTGTAGAAACCACGGCAAAGACCCGCAATGGTCTAAATGAAAGTGCGATATCAACAACAGATCGATCTGTTCCGGATCGATGACGTCGACAAATGGCAGCGCATCCATACCATTAAGACCCGGATGTATACCACAATCAAGAAGAATGCGTTTGCCTTTGAATGACAGGTAAATACAGCTGCGGCCGACCTCTTGGCCGGCGCCCAATGCCGTCAACTCAAGCAAATCACTTTCTGTGTCCTCCGTCTGCAGTCTTTGTTTCGACACATCGATGGACTCACTTCTGTTCAATACAATCAACGATTCTTTCGGTGGCTTTGATTCCATTGTCAACAACTTATGTCAAACAACAAAGTCTTGAAAAAATCGTCTTTTTATATATCAGTTGACAATCACATCACATGTTTGTTACATAAAAAAAATACAGAAATTTGTGACCACAAGTGACACCTATTGTCATATATTTTATGACCAATTGATTGAATCGTTGAAAACAATGTCAAAAATTGCCACTTCTTGACAATTGTCATCACTTATGTCTCTTTAGTTATCAATTGTTTATTATTTTTATTATTTTAGTTTATTTAATGATTTTTATGTTTTAAATATTTTAATTATTATTACTTTCAATAATCTGAGTTACAATTCGTGACAATTGGTGACAATCGGCCGATAAATATGTTGAAATACTCGGCCGCAGACCGTAATAAAGATGCCATTCTTCAAGTGTTGACTACAATAGTGAAGAGTCACTACAATAATCAAGACATACAACCATTGAATGCTTTGGAAATAGGTTTGTATTTTTCATGTCTTATGAAATAAGTTTTAAATCAATTTATTTAAAGTCTTAATAAAATTATTTAATAACAATTATTGTTGGATCTAATGTACTTCTAGGGAGTGGTTCGGGACAACACGTGACACATATGGCCAGACATTTACCTCACATCCGATGGCAACCAACAGATGTGGATCAAAGTCTATTTGAATCGATTAACTCATATATAAAACACTTTAATTTGACAAACGTTTGTCCGGCCGTTCAATTGGATGTGTCTTCTCCTAGCAATCGGTGGCCAATCTTTGAGTCAGAAAAGTTTGATCTCATATATTGTGCTAATGTTATACACATCAGTCCGTGGAAGTGCACTATCGGTCTGTTTGAAGGCTCGTCAATGATATTGTCGCCCAAATCGGGACTTTTGCTGACATACGGTCCCTATGCTTGTGATGGTGTCATAACACCTGACAGTAACGTCTCATTTGACGATAGTCTTCGGCAATCAAACCCTGAATGGGGTCTTCGAGATATACGTGATCTCAAAGAGTTGGCCACAACTAATGGACTATCATTTGTGTCAATGCATGAAATGCCGGCTAATAATAAAATATTGGTTTTTAAGAAAACATAAACAATTTTTTGTGATTTTTAAAACTTATATATATATCATATATTTATTCATCATTAAAATCAGTTTATTTTTAGTTATTTTTTTTATAAATATTAATAACGCGTCGATAAATATGTGATAAGTGAGTAACTTTTATAATCATTAATACAAAATAATATTAGAATTATATATTTATATATATATTTATAATTATAAATAACTTGAAAATTATATTATTATTTTTTAAATAAACATTAAAAATATATTAACAAGGACAAATAATGTATATAATATTTTTATAATAACTTGTATGGCATACCAGATAAATACATACAATATATCTTAAAATATTAGTAGCATTGCTAATAACTACCGTATTTTTTAGTTTAATAGCTTACAAATATTGTATGCAATTTAAACACTTAAAAACAAACAACAATTATTATATAAATATTATTATTTAAATAATCTATAATAGCATACAAACAAATTGTTAGCTAATATAATAAGACTCTTATAGTATAAGAGTAAACATTTGATAAAATGAAATGGCATTTGTTTTTTTGTACCAAACATTTTGGATAATAAATGCCATCATTTTTTCAGGACAATATAAATCAACTTTTAGCTGACAATTATTATTATTATTAAATAAGTTTACAATTATTTTATGATTTCATTTGTATTGTAGATATGATTTCATCAAAAAATAGTTTGTTTATAAAAAGTTGACACATGTTCTCATTTCAATGTTATTTCTGGAAATTATTTAACATTATTATCTAATATAATGATTATAATGTTTATAATTTCAATGACAGAATAACTTAAATTTTGCAATTATTGCAATAATATAATATTAATCTTGATTTTCATTTTTTTTGTAATTTAATTTATTTTAAATATAAATTTTTGATTAAATATTAGTAAATCTTAGCAAGTTGGTATTTTTTTTTGATTCTATTTATTATTTTATGATTTTCACTATAAAAATCAATTATAATTACGGTAGTTATTAAGAAACATCTGTTATTATTAAATAAAGATAATTTACTTAAATTAAATGTATATTATAGATAAATTAAAGATAAATTATATATTTTTTAAGTTACTCTCTTATCTTGCGATACGTTAATTAATATTAAATTAATTGATTAAATAGTAAAACGATTGATAAAAATATCATAACATTTTGTTAAATATTGGGGACAGTCTTTTTTAAATATACAAATTTCATGATTTTTTTTACATTATTTTATAATTTTTATATATTTATATTTGTATATATAATTAATGCTATTATTATGTAATAATAGATTTAATTAATTATGAATCAAAATGAGTGCTATTTATGTGCAAATGTATGACTTGATATATGAACGGATAACGTAAACCTAAAATAATTAAATAGACAGACAAATGTCGGCAATAATTACAATATAACCAATCGGTCGGCTATTAATAAGCGGTCATCTGAGATGACCTCTAATTTTAAATGTACATTAATTCTAATAAAACCAAATACCGTAATTACATCAACAACAACAACAATCCATTATAATATTATCATTGATGAGTAGACTTCTTTTGGCAGTCATCGCAAACCCGAACCGATGTATCCCAACCTCTTTCAAGAACTGATCTGCGAGTTTGGGAACAGCAATCACAGACTCCTTGACCACAAGCTCTGCAGTGATGTATTGCTAACTTTTCGTTAAACTCGATTTTACAGACAAAACAATTAGTGATATCTTTATCGGGAATCCAATATTCAGGTCGAGCCGTGTCTTTGATCCATTCTTTAATAAGAAATAATAACATTTTTAATACATTAAATTTGATTAACAGATAAAGTGTTAACAATACTAACCAATGGGATAATCGATTGCCTGAACAATAGTTTCGATGCCGTTTTGTATCATTTCTCCCACAATACGAGGGGTCACTTCAGTATTGGGTGATTCCACTGTTCTTTCACCTGATTATTAATTAGCGTATTATAAAATCAATAGTATATTTCAAACCAATCATCCGATACAAACATACCCTTTTCAAAGCATTCGTCACATACTCTGACCGGTTGGTCACCCCATCCACGTTCGGGAACCGGACGACTCTTTGACGAACAATCTTCGCAATAGCCTCCACCACATAAACGGCTAATAATTATATTATTTAATGAAATATTCATTAGTATTTGACAATATTTATATGTAAACAATATACAGTATGACATACCAGTGATGCTTTTGATCCAAAGGTTGAAACTCTTTCTTACATCCGCCACAATGCTGTGGAGAAAGCATATAATCAATTGGTATTCAATAATAGATTAATAATTAGTGTAATAATCCGAACCTGAATTCTGTTATTTGGTACCCAATATGCCGGTGCAATCTTATCTGCCATCCAATCAGCCAATACTTTTGATGGTCCGGCTGTTATCTGTGAGACACTTGTCGACACATAACCCAATGTATCAATTGCTCTCTGACCAACATTTTGGGAACCTTGAGATGGCATTGGTTCCTATTTAAAAAATGGTGCAAAACAAACATTTTTATTTTGTTTTAAACTTTTTTATAAAAAAAACTTTAGTGACTAACATCAGGCCAGACGTGTTGTATTTCTGTACGAACAACACTCTGTTCGGTTGGCTCTTTATTTCCGTACCAATATTGTCGGCTCCGGTATATAATACCGCAGAACTTGCACTCTAATATATAGCCACTCCACGCATATTTAGCAATACCGAGCCAAGTGGACTCATCAGATGCTGCTGTCTTAGGGATCACTATATTTTGCTCTCCCCTATCATTACAATCTTTGCAAATAAAGATTTGGTTATTGTATTGGTGTTGATATTTGCATTTGTGTGAAGCCGTGTGTGACTTGCCATCGGACAAATGGTTCATCGAGTGATCGCATTGAGCGCTGAAAATAACATTGAATTATAATTAAAATCCAATTAAGACAACAGTCTAAAGAAGCTTTTGACTCACTTGCAAGACATACACCGCGAAGAACACTTGAAATACTCGTCAAAGAATGGCTTCGAAACACATTTATTTATATCTCCGGAAAACTTTTCGTTTAACATCTGAATTAAAATAATAATAATTATTATTTATTAAAAATCTTAATTAAATTAAACCAATTAATTACTTTTAAGGCCGTGAATACAGCAGCTGAAGTACGACTCGAGCGAACTGTTGTATTGTTGAGATGTCGTCTAACAGTCTCTTGGAGTGGTTTGAAATTAGTCGGCGGTGTTATGGTTTGAGTTCCAACGTATTCAAGTGCACTAAAAGCTTCTATAGACTGATCCGATTGTTGGAAGCGCTTTCTTATGTAATCTTCAGGTGTGAGATCATTTTCTGTTTGAAAAAATCACATTACAGTAATATAGTGTTCAATATTTATTACGGTAAGAGCATATGAAAGACATACCAGTGCAAAGAGTTTCAGTGTGTAGTGTCTCATGAAATATGATAACAGTTGGTCCCTATTTATGTTAATTTAAAAAATCAATCAATAAATGTTTCAATTATTAATAACGGATGTCATACCAGATCGGAAAGAGGACACAACAGTTTGCACCTCTGAATGGCTGCTTTGAGCTCTTTGGAAAAATGTTGGACATAAACTCGTGATGCGTCGCCCAGGAATGTGAACAGGTCTTCATGGAGTCGTTCGGCACGAGTTCTATAGATTATTATGTCAGAAATGGCCAATACTTTGAGTAGAAGACGAGTGCGTCGATTGTTGTTCTCGGATATGCCAAGTAGTCCTTCCGTATCGATTGTAATAACTTTAGCGTATGGATCGTATGCACACCAGATGCCTATTGTGCACGAGTTTTGTGCGGCCGATGTTTTAAACATCTCCTTTCCCTCGAAGAATGTATAGTTCAAAGTGTGAGACTTGCCTTCGCCAGTATTTCCAAAAATTGAGACCACTTTGATGAGTGCCGTTGGAGAGCAACCCATTTTGGCTGCAAACTCATCACTGGAACTAACTTTCATCAGTTCATTCTCATCGATCAGAAAAAAACTTTGGCGGACATCGGGTTCACTGATATCCGAATGCATTATAAGAGTACCAGTTCTCGTCATTTTACCGCATGTTTGACCATTGATGGGACTATCTATAGATAGCTGTGCGATATCTTCTGAATATGATTTACCTTTACATTTGTTAATCACCACTTCATCGGATCCAACCGTTCCATTGCATTGATTTCTGAGCGATGGCTCGTCTTCCTCCTCACCGCTCGAATTCAAATCTATATTATCTAAAGGCTCCGTTGCCTCAGATTTTCGTTTACTATCACCTTTGGATGATATGTATTGACACGAATAAAACTCGTCGCTGTCCTCTTTGTCTTCGTTTTGTTCAATGGGTTTCTTTTGATGTTTTTTCTTATTATGTGATGTATGCAGTGATTGGTCGCAAAGAAAACAAAAGTTTTTATTACATTCAACGCAATGAATGTCAGCTAAGTTTCTGGTTTGACAGTTATTGTCACAAATGATTTGATCATCAGTTACGACCAGTCGCTGTCTATCGTGAGACTCGAGTCCACGATTTTCATGCAATAGTTCTTCGCATAGACTGCACTGATATGAGTTGCAGTCACGACATAGATATTGAGCTTCAGGTTTGGCACCTAATGGTTAAATGAAGACAAAACAAAAAGCCAATTGAGAGTCGATTGTCACCTTAAAAAAATAAGTGTCAATAAAAGTGGGCCAACCTTTGCAAGCGAGACGTTCGCCACACAACTGTTTTGTGGGACGTACTCTCAGATTTGGTTTATTGTTGTTTTTCTTGTGGTTATTATTAACTCCTTTGTGATGTTTATTATGATCACTACTACTACTACTACTACTACTCTTGACCGATGTCTTGGCTTTAGAGTCGCGATTTGTTTGCATTGATTGGATTCGCCAATCAAATGATGCAAAGGATTTCAGACGACGTACGAGTGATTCACTCGACAGACAGGAATTGATTCAATCAATCACAACAACAATGTCTTCAACAGTCGTATTACGCAATCAGATACACAACTCAATCACTTAATATGTTAATCAATGAATCCAATAGTAAATCATATGACAAATTAATTAAACAAATGATAGACTAATAAAATAAAAATATATATTTGATATTAAATTTAAATCATATAAATCCTTAAATATAAAAACAAGTGTTTTATTGTGCGATTCACTCGACTCAAGGCTATAACACTAATAACTGTAAACTCAGTCTCTCTTTATTGTTGTTGTCATTCATTGCTCTCTCTATAATAGGCTCTCAAACATACATACAGTGTATATACAAGACATCAGATGATTGCAAGTAAACAATACGTGAATACTATTGGACACAACAATACAGCACACAATCGTTACTAAAGACAACACACTGTACTTGAAAACAATGTTTAGTTAATAGTCATTCAATACAGTAATACCAATCATTTAGTGACAAATAGAGGAGTGAATACATTACTGACTGCTATTATACTGTATTTAATATAAATATAAATGTATTACTCATTTGACTTCAATTACGTCAACATATTTTTAGTCAAACAAATGTTTTACCAATTATTACAATATTTTATTTGATTATTACTTAATATTTATATTCAAAATTAGTAGATATTATTTCATTATCAATACAACTATCAAATTATATTTAATATATTTTTAACAAATTTTCTATTTATTTAATTTTTAAGAAAAAAATTAGTAAAAGTAAAACCAATATTTAATGACTTTTAATTAACTTTAGTTATATTAATGAAAAGTTGATATCATTTTACTATTTCAAAAAAATGATATCAATTTGAATGACGTTTTGTTTAACAATTTATTTATTTATTTGAAATGATTGAGTGATAAAGCAATCAATTAATTGAATGAATGAATGAATGAATGAATGCATACATTCATACAATTATTTAACTTTTTATGACTAATAATATTTTAATAAATAAATAGAAAAAAACTAAATAAATAAAAAACATTTTCTTAATGTTTGACAAATCAATTGAATGATTCAATCGAATTGTTATTAAAATATAAACCAATCACTGGCTATAACTTCCCCATCACTTCCCCCCCGAAACTGCCCCTCCCTTTGGCACCTCTTATAAATGTTAGCGTCATTTATGGTAAGTATAGCAACAAATGCGTTGTCGTTTGGAATTCACACCAAAAAAAATAGAGTCAGTCATACAGTTTTGCAGACAATCTTATGGTTTGAATACTATTATTATTGAATAGATTTTGTCAACAAAATGATTGGATCAATGAAATGATTGGTTGTGTTGTTAATACATTTGGCGCTATTTATGTGTCGTTTGTAATACTATTTGCATTTGCATTGCATTTGACTTTAATTTAATAAACAATTGAAACGTTTGTCTCAATTGGTGTCCACTTCTTAATCCAATCTTTACCATTGATTATCACTGACGGCTCTACAGACTAATGGCACGACTGTTTGACAGTCAAACGGACCAAATGAACGATTGGTTGAACTCGTCTTCAGACGACAAACACAGTGTCGATAGTATGCAGGACTCGATGCGAACGCCAAAGAGGAAGAAGACAACAACAGTCGATAAAGTTGTGAATTTGTCGCCAATTGTCGGACACAACGACTCGATGGACGACACGGCCTATTCAAGTGTCTATGATATGGATTCAGATTTAGATCTGACTTTCGATCGGAATAAAAGCAAACGTCAGTATTCGTCAGCAAACAAGAAATGGTTTGACTTTTCGCCACAATTGGGTTCAACACCTAAACCAACGAAGAATCGATGGCAAAGACGACAAAAGCAGAATATGTCGCGAAAAAGGAAGTCACAGAAGAATGAGTTTAGTCTTTGGGATAAAGCAATGATGAAAAATGTAAGACATTTGTCATTAAATTATTAAATGTTTTAATTTTACGAATTTATTCTCAAATTGACTGTTATTTTAATGTCTGATTTTAAAGCCTGAACTCGAACTTTGGATCAATAGTTTTAATGAAGACTTGAAGAGAATCGAGTCATCGGAACTGTCTGTTGTTAACAGTTCTGTCGCGTCAATGGTTTAAACATTTTTGTAAATTCATATTTTTTTATTTGATTGAAATGTTAATAATTTATTACACAAATACTTAATTTTATAGTTTTTTAATTTGATTCAGTATTGTAACAATAAAACTACTTATGATTATAAAAGATTTATAATAAACATGTGTATAATTGTTTTGTACTTATATTTAAATACTATGTATAATTGATTATAAACAATATCTGAAATAAAACATTTTTGTGATTGATTACCTATATTTTGAAATTGTTTTTTTTAACTTATAGTTTGAAATAAATAATTTACCTAATATTAAATATTATTGATATATTAAAAATAGTTTTTTAAAAATCAACGTTGAATTAGTAAAAAAAATAGCTATAAAATAATATAATTTTATWGATAAAACTATTTTTAAAATAGATAAGATGTGTGTGTGTGTGTGTGTGTGTGTGTGTGTGTGTGTGTGTGTGTGTGTGTGTGTGTGTGTGTGTGTGTAATACACAGTATAATACTGTATAATACAGTATATAACCGTATAATGTATAACAGTGGTACAGTGTATATATATACCATAATTTACTAGAAATACAATTGAAACCAATTACAGTATTATTTTGTAATTATTTGAGATTTAATTTTGTGTTACAAAATATTATAAGAGCTACAGTTTAATCTATAATTGAAATAATCATAAATTTAATACAGATTATCAAGGAATTGGATTAATAAATGTGTCAATATTTTTCTAATACTATATAATTTTTCAATAAAATTTCTAATCATTAATAAAGTAATTGTCCAGAAATGGATCAAATGTTTTTAGATTATATTGAAATTTTCACATAACATAGAGAAAAGCAAAAGTTATAAAAAGATATAAAAAAAACAGGAAAAAAAAGTTATTTAAGTTTTTATATTAAAACTACAACTTCTCATAACTTTTTACCAAATTTATAATATTTAAAGTTTTCTTTCAATGTTCTAATACTAATAATACTAAGACTCTATTGTATAAACATGAGCTCAAAATAAGTTGTAATAATATATTAAAATTAAATAATAATTTATATGTCATTTTTTACATTATTACCTCACAGTATCCACAGATGTTTTACATATAAAAATTTATTATTAGATTAAATGTTATTTTTACTTAATTATTCTATAAAATCATTAATATTTTTAATGAATTATGATTACAATACATAAAGTTACAATTTAAAAAGAGTAATGTTGTCAAATTTAACAAAATATTTATTTAATAATTATTGTAACTTTTGTTAATATAGTTGATTTTACTATTTTAAATATAAAATATTGTTATCATTAATTTGCAATTAATTAAAAAAATAATTTTAAAAATTTTATTTTTATCATATTTTGATACTTCATAATTTTATAATGTAAGAATTATATATATTTTATTGTTATAAATGTAATATTTTTGTTTATAATTTGTTATTTTATTTTAATAATCCGTACCCTAACAATATAACAATCCGTTACAATATAATTAATTTCTTTTTGTGACAAGTTGTTTAGATATTTTTTTTGTTAAATAAATTCATCATTGAAATCATACAATATGATTAATTGCATTTTATAAAAATTTATAATATTGTTTTTAATTATTAGTAAAATGTATTGTATATTATCGATTAATAAAATAAATGACTAAACATTATATTCAAATAATTTTATTATTATTTTCCAAAATTGTATTTTATTAAAATATGTAAACCATTAAATATCCATAAATAATAATCACACCGGTATATACTATATATATATACTATATTAATCATTAATATACCGATCACTTATACATAATTATCAGATAAAACTTTACAATCAATCAAATGGGTGGCAATTTCATAGAAATTATCCATAAATTGTGGTAATAATTGACTCATTAATGGCAGTGATTAAGTAGCCCTTTGTATTAATCCAAGCGTTCAAACTCCCAAATATCCCGATCATAACCTTCAACCACATGATCGCACAGCACTTTGCGTCTGTCCTCAACATATCTGCTTATATTAATAACTTCTTTCTTCATTTCTGTAATATCTTTGACTTCTTGCAGATCCTTTTCCATGAGTTCAGACAACCTTTCGACCATTACTTCGAGATTCGACTGATTGTCTTCAAAAATATACGATTGATTGCTTCGTTTTAGATAATATGCAAACGGATAGGTATACATAAGTGTTTGTCTGCAATTACATAGAGTAGTAAATGCATTCATAAGAAACTGGACCTCAACCCAAGTCATTTTCAGAAATTGCAATTCTTCCATCTTATTGTTCACTTCGGCAATCAATTTCTTTTCGCAATTGAGACTTTGCTGATGATTATGAAATCGTGTCCAGTAATGAATGTATCGTTGGAGTCGAGCTCGTGCTGTCTGAGTCTCTTTGCTCTCTTCATACTTATTACAGCTCTGTTGATAGCCATGTTTGGACCAATCGGCTAAACAGATCCAACAGAACTCAAATCTGCACTGAAGATTACGACAAGTCATATGATTACAGCCACCATTCTTCTCGATGGCAGCCTTGCATTTGGGACATTCCTAAATAAATTACAAATACATTCAATTAATATATTTGAATATTTAAATACAATATAATATATACCTTAGTAAAAGACAGAATCCAATTGGCAGTCTCGCAGTCAATCTTCTCTCCAGATTCTCCCAAACACTTCTTTTGCCAACTCTTAAGTACATCACAACGGGTCGGTTCGTGCCATTTCTCGCCGCAAATAAAGCAGAAAACGGCGCCACACTTGCATTCAATGGGAATAAATTCAATATAATTGTCAACTTTGATGGCACTCATACAGTCTGGTGTTGGACACCATCTGAGAAATCGATTTGAACTGACAAAACTGTTTGTTATTAAATATCTATATTTGACTAAAACTTTTTCATTTTTAATAATATTAGTAATGGTATTGTCGTCGACAATAATATCGCATCCGTTTTGTGCGCAACTGATTCCGTTACAGACGCCTTCGCTAATAATTTTGTTTGTTAGGTATTGTCGCCAACAATCTGTCAATAGATTCATAAATCAAATCAATCAACAAAAAAAATTATTATAATATCTATTTATAGCACTCAATGACTAGTTTCATAAAACAAATTATGGCTAAAAACAAAAAATACTTACAAAAACAAAATTCGTGGCCACAAGATATCGATGTCATATCATCAATGGTTACATCATTATAGCAGATCAAACAGACCAGTTCATTGTGTTTGTTCTTCTTGTTGGCCGAAGATGTCGACGGTTTGTTCGTATCGATAATGTGGGCGTCATTGAAGAGTTGTTCTTTGTCTGAATCAAAATACTTTTCCAATAGTTTTGTTTGATCCCAATTAAAGTAATTCAATAATATTCTTATAATATTATTTGGCTGATCACTGATGACGGACTGTATTTCACTGATCGATTGGTTCATAAGTTCTGTAATCTCGTCTAAACTCAATACATGGTATTTATCTCTTATACGAACACTTGATTCGGGTTCGGCTTCGAGTATATCATCGGCGATATCGAGTGGTGTGTCGTCCATCAGTTGATCTTCTTCGCTATGACCCGAATGRTCTCCGCCGCCAACAGCTATCGATCTGRCCGTACATTCTTTACTACGTCCGTCGTTGTTGTCGACGACGACCTCAACAATGTCTTCTTCACTATCGGATTCGTACGACAAATCATAATCATCGGTATCCATGACTTCTTGTATTATAATTGTAATCTTGACTTTCACTTCACAATTAAACAGTGCTTTCAAATTGAAAAAATCTAAATCTTTTTTATATATGATATTCAAGTCATTCAAAACAAATCAAACACTAAATTATTATTAGATTTACTTATAGTTAGAAAAAACTCTGAGTTATTAACATTACATACATTGAGCTCAATATCATAATAATAATAATACACTAATAATTGACTCCATAATACTATTGATTCCCAAAAACAACGTTACATATTGTATGGGATATTGCAATCTATTTCTAAACACACACACAATATAATTGCCAATTAAAGTCAATCGAGTTGTTGTTGACACCCAAACATATTAGGGGACAAACTATGAGTCTAAACAAAATTTGTACGACATTTGTGTTGTGTTGCCATACGTTTACAACAAATATTAGAGTAATTTCCTATATTTATTGCAATTGATTGCGTCATAGATATAATAGTTGACTTCATAAATACAGGTAATATATTGAATACTATTGAATATAATATATATTTTTTGATTAACACGTTTGACATACGTTTGTAACACATTTCGTGTAATTATTATATCGTTTATTATTATAGCTGTAATACAATATAATTTATAGTCTATTTGCATATTTATCAATAGATTATTATTAGTATTATTATTATTATTATGTATAAATGTTTTCAATTGTTTTGTAATAATTATTTAATTTTTTTAGTAATTTTTTTATTGAAAAAATTAGTTTATATATATATTTAATTATTATTATTATTATTATTAATTACATTATCGTTATTTAGCATTTTGAATATTTATTATCATTATTAATTAATAATAAAAATACTATAAATTAATAAATTAAATATTTAACAAAAAACAACCATGATAATTTAGAAATATACTACTAATAATAATAATTAGCAAAATAAATAAATTTATAAAACAAAACAAAAAATATTTAAAGAGATAATTTAGTTAACAATTATTGTCTATTAATTGGTAGACTATTTCAAAATATATAGATTTATTTTAGTATCAGAATATATATTAATATTTTATGTAATACTAAATTGATTGAAAATATATTTTAAAATTAAATTTATATTTTAATATTTATATTAAAAGTAATATTTTAAATTGGATAATTTTGTCAAATTAGTAAAATTAAGTTTTTAAAAAAAGTTATTGAAGCAAATATATATAATGTATTTATTTACATTATTGTATGCATTGTATATAATTTATATTTTAAAGTAATTTTACTTTTTCTACTTTTTAAAACATATTTTACGGTTAATGAATCGAAAAAAACATTATTTTAAATTGAATTTCTATTACATTATTATAATTGATAAATTGACGTTTAAGTTATGATAAATATATTAAATAATAAATTATATCATACTGTATATACAGTATATATTTAAATTTATAACAATATAATTATTAATTAGTACAATATATAAAATTTAAAGAATAATTTTTTATTTTTAATTAACAATTATTAATTTTCATTATATAATGCAAGCTATCAATCAAAATACAATACAAACAATGTTTGTGAAAATCCAATGTTATATTTGTAAAATATAAGTTGAGTTTTACGGTAATTGTTTATTAGGCGCACCAATACATTAAAAAACTGATTGTATTTTTGAAATTATAATTTTATTTGATTATGAATTTGTTATACATTTGTATTTTATAAGTTGCAGTCGTGAAAGCACTGACATATCGGAGCATAAAAGGTATGGTCAGTGCTATCCCTTATATAGAGATTTAAGACAATAGATTGATCCATAAAATACAGTTATTTAACACTAATAAAGTTATAGAAAGTAAATATTTTCTATAAATGACATAAATCTTGAATTTATGTAAAATTGTTAATTAAATTATTGTTAAATTTTAGTGAAATATTGGTATCTTTTAAGTTACTTTACATATTTATTTATTTTTTAAAAATATTTATTTTGTTTAACTTTAAATAATTATTTTATTTTATTTATAAATCTATATTAATTAGAAATATGGTGTACTTATTATTTAGGATATTGTCAACTAAACTGATAGTTAATTGTTAGATCAGTAATCAGTGATAATGTATTGTACATTACATTAAACAAAAGTACAATATATGTGAAAGTTTAGAAAATAATACATTATATAAGATTTACTAATATTAAATTAAATTTGTATTAAAAACATTTGTCAAGTTTTATAGATGACTGACTTTTTTTGTTACAAATTTAAGTATTAGAATAATTTAGTAATAGTATTAAATCAATTAAAGTATTGCTAATTTTTAACTTAAACTAAATTTAAAATACTCTAATATTTATGAGGTATTTATGATATTAATAAATTTACAATTTTATATATTTATTATTGTGAATATAGATTTTTTTAAATCTCTAATATCTATTAATATATCAATATGTATTTTGAGTTAATGCATGAATTTTTTTTTAAAAATAATTTTCTATTACTGAGTATAATTTAATTGTAATACATTTCAGTAACCTTTATATAAATATAAATAAACAATGATTTAGTCACATATTTTTCAATTAGCACTACTGTATCATAACTATTACATTCAAAATGATATTCTGGGTATGAATTTAATTAAAAACTGTATTACTTTATGATATGGTCTTTAAAAATGTTAAGTTATTTAAATATGAAATATTTATAACTTCTAGGTTTATCATCTTAAGAGATATCAGTCTTTATAATAAAGGGTTAGAGTATATGACAACTAGAGTTCGGGTAACTTTCCAAGGGACGGAAGTTCCCTAATAAAATCCCTCAATTTTCCGGGAAAATAAAATATATTGATTAATTAGGAAATATAAAATTTATTTAAATTAATCAGTAACCAGATATTTACAGAATTTTTAGAAATAAAATTATTAGTTTTTTGTTTAATATCTTCTATACCCTATGTATTTCAGTATTTCAAATGATAACTCCCTGTACTAACAACATACCGGTTCCATATACTGTACACATAGAAAGTGATTATAATACCAATAATAAACTTTCTAAGAACCCATAATTGTCACAAAAAATTATGATATACTTTGATTTGTAGAACAAGTTTCTAACTAAATAAAAAAATCCAGTTTTACCTATTTTCAAAGTGAGCCTATATTGAAAAAATAACACACATTTTGTGTGTAAAATTCAGCTCAGGTATGTGAAGATAGATGGACACCATATCTTGAAATGTATGTTAGATAAATAATATTAAATATAATTAATTGAAATTGTATTAATAATTAAAATTTATACAAATAATATTTTAGGAGTTTTAGAATTATGTTAAAATTTTAATTAAATTTTTCAAAATTCTACAATATTTTGACTTGATTACATTTAAAAAATTTGTAATTTGAGCTAGTTCACTGTCTCAATATACTATTAGATCAAAAACTTGTTTTATCTATATTGACAATAATTTCATTTACTTTATATAATCTACCGGAAGTATAAAGTTTGCAAAATATTTTCAATATTATTGATAATAATTTATTTTACACTAAATTTTTTATTGGTTTTGAGAATACCTTAGATTATACAAAATATGACTGTATGTAAAAAGCATTAAAGTATTTTTAAAACATATTAGAACTCTAAAAATTAGTCACATTTTTAGATAAAATATTATTTATTTAATATAAAAAACCTAAATAATATTATATAATGAAAACTTTCATTTTCTTCTAATTAAACATAATTTAAATTATTAAGTAATTAAGATAATATTAGTGTATTGTGTTAATAATTTATTTGCACTTAATAATGTACAGTACAATAATACCTTACTAAATAATACATATTTTAATTTACATATAAATAAATAATCGCAATTTAACATATGTTTTTATATAAGATTTAACTTTATATTCACTATTAATGGTACTGAATATCAAATATTTCACATAAATTTCTAATTATTATGCAATAACACGAGTTATTAGTTTATATTAGAATATTTGTTTATTTCATAATTAACATGGACAAGTTTTATATTAAATTTATATCAAATCAAAATCATGATCTCATATATAATATAAATTTTTGTTTAATATTTTTATTTGTATGTATCATATTTGAAATGACTTACAACAGTTATAATTATATATATATATATTATTTTTTATAAAAATTATAATTTACAAAATGATGAAAGTTTTGAACAAAATTACARCCAATAAACTACAGTATAGTTGTATTTTAGATAATGTGGTGTAAACTGTGTAAACTTTTTTAAAGATACAAATTTACATCAATGTGTGACCCATTGGACTCTAAATATTTATGAACCATAAAGATATTAAATATTATTAATAGTAACGGTGCTCTGTATTTAGTTAAACGTTTGATGCACTTTAACATACCATACCATACATACCATACCCACATGTGCCCAGTTATATGATGAGTACAGAGTAGTAGTGATTGAACTTAAAATAGGGTCCAAAGTTTTTTTTACATTTTGTTTAGTTTGAAAAAATTAATTTATATATATATATATATATATATATATATCTTTGAAATTTGATATAATTGATATTTGGAAAAATATGCAATTATTTAAAATTATATATATATATATATATATATATAAATTAAACAAAAATATATTTAGATAAATTGTACCAGAAACTCAATGGTGATAAAATACAGTATTATTAGTACTATAATATTATTCGTAATTATTATCAATAATTTAATAAAAACAACATAAAATATTTTTTGATAAAATCGACAATTTAGCAAAAGTGTACATTTAATAATAATATTATTTTTTATTATTATTTCATTTCCATTGCCAATAATCAAGAAAAATAGCTTAGTTTAAGAGTTAGTCCTTTAATGATTATAGTCTTTTAATCATTTCTATAGTCAACTATAATAAACAATAAATTGTGTGCTTTTTATAAGAAGTTGGTATCAGAAAGATAACGATTAGACCGCAAACTATAGTTATGATCAACAATGGGTAAGGCATACAAATCTCCAGTTCAGTCATATCCACAAATACAACTGTTTCATCAATTGAATGTTTAGTCTAATAAAAACAGTAATAAAAATAGTTAATAAAAACAGAGAATATTTGTATATTGATATTAAAAAAGTATGGTTTTTGTTGTTCAGGATATTATCACAAGTAATGACTCGCAATCGGGTGTCTTATCACAAACTTTTGCCGTTTATCAACAATTATTGCTGTGTTTTAGTTAAGTTCAACAATATTATATGAGTCCCCCTTATGTTTGAAAGCTATAAAATAATTTTCTAAATAACACTTATCTAACATAAATATTGAGATAAAATAGAAATTATCTATACTTTTAAAATTTTTAGATAACAACCCAATACAGTACATGGGGTATAAAATTGCAATTTAATTTACTGGTTGTGACATAACTATTAGTTTGAAATCAAAATATTTTTTCAATTATTTATTTCATTTCTATTTATAAACATTTAAATTAAATTATCATATAATTAAAAATTATCAAATAAAATGTAATTTAAATTCGTATGATTCACACCAATTGACTTCCACTTGACACCAATTGATTTACCAATTTATGACTAAACTAAAAATATATATAATTACTAATTATTATTAAAGATTGCAAGGAATAGGACAGAGACGAGACAATTAATTAATAGTATAGTTGACACTAATTTACTACATTATTAAGGTATATATATATATATATAAAAATCGCTAATATCGTAATTTTATAGACATTTTGACAAATTTGTTTTTTATTTACAATCAAAATAATATTTTTTGAATGATTTGCAAATACGACATTAAAATAGTTAATAGGCTTTTATAATAATAGGCATTACAATGAATGTTTTGTTTTTTAATATATATATATAATTTAAGTGCATATGATTTTTGATACGACTTCCAAGATTTACATAAGTTATGAATAAAAAGCAAAACAATCGCTAAATATACTGTAAATCCAATTCAAACTTTCAATTTTTCATTCACTGCTTCTTTCCTTTTTAATTTTGAACTGTTGTTGCGCTGATGTGTTTGAACTGGTATTTGGAGTACCAGTGCTATGTTCTGGACCCGCATTTACCGTATTGTTGTTGTTGTTTGTTTGTGAAGTGCCGGTGCTCTGGTCCTCCTGTAAAATGGTTGCAATTTCATTTTGCATGAAAGCCCAGGGAACGTTAGATCCAAGTAATGGACATTTCTCTCCTGAAGGACAATATACTTCGCCTGAACCGGCAGTTGTGGCACCGTTTGTATGCTGTTGTTGTTGCTGTTTGATTGATGATCGGGAACAGGGAAAACAAAATTTGTGCGCTGGAACTGACGGGCACTGAACAAAGTGTGTGTCCTCTAGTCGTTCTTGACATAGAGTACACTTCAATGGCGCCGCCTGTGCTGCTGGAGGTGTGGCCGTTGCCGGCGGCGTTGTGTTGGCAGTAGAGGGCGGTTGACTTGAACTCTCGCTAACTCTTGGCTTCTTTGCCGCAACGCTAGAGTTAACGCTTGATAGTGGGGGTGAAGAGGTTGTCGTTACCGAATAGAAGGCGCCTTTGCCGGCGTTGGCCGTTGCGATAGGTATTGTAGCCGTTTTTGTTACGGTTGCGTCAAATGAGTAAACTCTGCCTACCATAGGTGGATGGGTGTGATGGCCTAAAACGTGTGGTTCACGAGTCAATTTGCGCAGACCTGTGTCGGCTATTGATACACCCGGTGCTGCCATTACAGCTGGTAGACTCTCACCTCTGGTCAATGGTGGTCGCGTCACATTCACAATACCAGACGACTCTTCAATTATCAACTGCTGTCTATTACTTTGGCCATCATTGTCCACTATGGAGTCGGTGTCAACTATGGTGTGAATGGTACGTTTATTGGTTGCATTGGCGGCACGTTGTGTGGTGGCCGCTACGAGTTGTTGTGACGCATAAGCTCGGGCAGGACTGCCGCCACCGCGCGATGAAATGCTCAAATCAAACTGTTGGGCAGCACTACGATTCTCGTAAGGTTGCGGTAGACCTCCGTTTAGCTTATATTGAGTCGGTTGTTGTCTCAACAACGGTGCAGTTACTACGTGATGATCATTTGCGATATTAATAGCATGTGATGATTGTGATGATGGTGTGGCCGACACGTATGATGTGGACGCGTGTGAGTGTGAATGTGAGTGACTTTGACCAGAGGCTGCTCTCTTCAATTGTCTGGCATTTTCAATAATTATTTCAATCCTATCGGCGCCTTCATAGTTGACACAACCCCTGCAAACAACTTCACTGAACTCATGAAGCAAAGCCCACGGCATTCGCGGCAAATCACATAAATAGCAGTGTTGTCGCTGTGCGGCCAAACCAGAGTGTGAACTCATCGGTGATTGAGACACGTGTGACATAATGGGTGATGAATTAGTGTTGGAAGTGATTGCCAACCGATGACCACTTGATGTACCCGACATTTGCCACACTTTCTATATATAAAAAACAAACAAATAAATCAAATTTCTTTTGCTTAATAATAACTAATTTAATAGCTTTTAATTTACAGCAAACTTATGGTATGTTTTTAAAGTATTATTGCTTTTAAGTTATGTTCAATAGTTGATAATAATTGCAGATATCATATATGATATATATATATATATATATATATATCATATATATGTAGAGCTAAGAGATGGATGTTTTAACAAATATTAATATAAATACTGAATATTATAAACACTAATACTGTGTAATAAAGTGAATAAAATTGTTGGAGAAATATATGTAGATTTTTGTGTCCAATTGTTAGGCATTTGATTTGGCAAACCCTAAGCAGTGGAGAGCCTAACATACAGTATAACCAGTAGAGAGTAATCCATACTTTCATATATACAGCGTTGGCTTTAGTAGTGAACGCAATCGCTATGGAAAGCATTGGCAGAAAAATTGTTGTAAAACTATTATAGTCTGAGAGAGAGAAAGAGAGAGCACAGGGAGGCATAACACGGTCTTATCAGTCTATATGTGTGAGAGACAGCACTGGCGATACCCCCCACAGACCTTTATGTAGGCTATGAAAGGCATTGAAATAGTTGTGTTAAATGTAGGCTTTCATACAAATCGATAGCAACTCTATTGGACTCGTGTTTAGTGTTTCATACAAACTGTGTATTTATTTGCGCACAAGTAGTAGAAGTGGCACTCAGTTAGACAAACTAAGTGGACGCCAATGTCGGGCCATTCTAGTGGCCACTAAGGCATACAAACTCTTAAGCCATCAGTATATCGACTATTAACTGGATTGGCATTCAATGAACAATCCGGGAGTAAGTGTTTATACATACATCTATGCTATTACTATATACCCGATCCGTGCCATACAATGGTGACCAACAATAATGGCATTAAAATAGTGCTATCGGTCGGCAAAGTTACGGCACTTGTAGTCATATACGTCACACATTACGTATGCATTACGTCTCCAGCGATGTCAGTGACAAGTTGTCAGTGACTACACTAACCTATAGGCCGACCCATACCTGTGACGTATGTCTGGATGTGACGTCACATATATGCTGTGCTTTTAGTTTTGTTGGTTTGTCTATAGTCTATACAGTAGTCTCTCTCTCTCTCTCTCTCTCTCTCTCTGTTGTATTATAAGCTATGAATTGAATACTACAGTACAGTATTGCTACACATTTCATAAAATAATATTTTAATAGTTTAGTAAATAATATGATTATGAATGTAGTTATGAATTTGTATTATAACACAAAATAATGCTGAGTTAGTCTGAGAAGTAGATGTACATACCATGTCATGATAGGGTGATAACAGTGCCTCACATCCAACGGTGCCATTTGTCACCAATTAAACCATTGACTGTTTGATAACACTTATAACTAAACATACAGTTTGTATTTAATTGCATTTAAAAACTAGGATTAGATAACTGTCGCAAATGAATAATTGCTTATCATATATGAATAGTGTGTTTAATATACAGTATATATTCAGTATTTATATTAATATTTGTTAAAACATCCATCTCTTAGCTCTACATATATATGATATATATTTATATATATATATATATATCATATATGATATCTGCAATTATTATCAACTATTGAACATAACTTAAAAGCAATAATACTTTAAAAACATACCATAAGTTTGCTGTAAATTAAAAGCTATTAAATTAGTTATTATTAAGCAAAAGAAATTTGATTTATTTGTTTGTTTTTTATATATAGAAAGTGTGGCAAATGTCGGGTACATCAAGTGGTCATCGGTTGGCAATCACTTCCAACACTAATTCATCACCCATTATGTCACACGTGTCTCAATCACCGATGAGTTCACACTCTGGTTTGGCCGCACAGCGACAACACTGCTATTTATGTGATTTGCCGCGAATGCCGTGGGCTTTGCTTCATGAGTTCAGTGAAGTTGTTTGCAGGGGTTGTGTCAACTATGAAGGCGCCGATAGGATTGAAATAATTATTGAAAATGCCAGACAATTGAAGAGAGCAGCCTCTGGTCAAAGTCACTCACATTCACACTCACACGCGTCCACATCATACGTGTCGGCCACACCATCATCACAATCATCACATGCTATTAATATCGCAAATGATCATCACGTAGTAACTGCACCGTTGTTGAGACAACAACCGACTCAATATAAGCTAAACGGAGGTCTACCGCAACCTTACGAGAATCGTAGTGCTGCCCAACAGTTTGATTTGAGCATTTCATCGCGCGGTGGCGGCAGTCCTGCCCGAGCTTATGCGTCACAACAACTCGTAGCGGCCACCACACAACGTGCCGCCAATGCAACCAATAAACGTACCATTCACACCATAGTTGACACCGACTCCATAGTGGACAATGATGGCCAAAGTAATAGACAGCAGTTGATAATTGAAGAGTCGTCTGGTATTGTGAATGTGACGCGACCACCATTGACCAGAGGTGAGAGTCTACCAGCTGTAATGGCAGCACCGGGTGTATCAATAGCCGACACAGGTCTGCGCAAATTGACTCGTGAACCACACGTTTTAGGCCATCACACCCATCCACCTATGGTAGGCAGAGTTTACTCATTTGACGCAACCGTAACAAAAACGGCTACAATACCTATCGCAACGGCCAACGCCGGCAAAGGCGCCTTCTATTCGGTAACGACAACCTCTTCACCCCCACTATCAAGCGTTAACTCTAGCGTTGCGGCAAAGAAGCCAAGAGTTAGCGAGAGTTCAAGTCAACCGCCCTCTACTGCCAACACAACGCCGCCGGCAACGGCCACACCTCCAGCAGCACAGGCGGCGCCATTGAAGTGTACTCTATGTCAAGAACGACTAGAGGACACACACTTTGTTCAGTGCCCGTCAGTTCCAGCGCACAAATTTTGTTTTCCCTGTTCCCGATCATCAATCAAACAGCAACAACAACAGCATACAAACGGTGCCACAACTGCCGGTTCAGGCGAAGTATATTGTCCTTCAGGAGAGAAATGTCCATTACTTGGATCTAACGTTCCCTGGGCTTTCATGCAAAATGAAATTGCAACCATTTTACAGGAGGACCAGAGCACCGGCACTTCACAAACAAACAACAACAACAATACGGTAAATGCGGGTCCAGAACATAGCACTGGTACTCCAAATACCAGTTCAAACACATCAGCGCAACAACAGTTCAAAATTAAAAAGGAAAGAAGCAGTGAATGAAAAATTGAAAGTTTGAATTGGATTTACAGTATATTTAGCGATTGTTTTGCTTTTTATTCATAACTTATGTAAATCTTGGAAGTCGTATCAAAAATCATATGCACTTAAATTATATATATATATTAAAAAACAAAACATTCATTGTAATGCCTATTATTATAAAAGCCTATTAACTATTTTAATGTCGTATTTGCAAATCATTCAAAAAATATTATTTTGATTGTAAATAAAAAACAAATTTGTCAAAATGTCTATAAAATTACGATATTAGCGATTTTTATATATATATATATATACCTTAATAATGTAGTAAATTAGTGTCAACTATACTATTAATTAATTGTCTCGTCTCTGTCCTATTCCTTGCAATCTTTAATAATAATTAGTAATTATATATATATTTTTTAGTTTAGTCACAAATCAATATTTTGAATGTTTCAATAAAAATATTTTAAAAATAAAAAACATTTATTGTATTCATTTATTTTGACGAATGAAAGTAATATTTGTGTGAATCCTACGAATTTAAATTACATTTTATTTGATAAAATTTAATTATTTGATTATTTAATTTAAATGTTCATAAATAGAAATAAAATAAATAATTGAAAAAATATTTTGATTTCCAAACTAATAGTTATGTCACAACCAGTAAATTAAATTGCAATTTTATACCCCATGTACTGTATTGGGTTGTTATCTAAAAATTTTAAAAGTATAGATAATTTCTATTTTATCTCAATATTTATGTTATTAATAGATAAGTGTTATTTAGAAAATTATTTTATAGCTTTCAAACATAAGGGGGACTCATATAATATTATTGAACTTAATTAAAACACAGCAATAAAATAATTTGTAAATACTTATTATAGGAAAAAATTACAAATAAATAAAATTAATTATTAATAATAAAAATTAATTTTTTAAAAGCATTTTATTAATTATGAAAAGGGCTTATAGTTTACACAGTATTTGTTGTCAAATGTCGTAATTGATTGCAATGTATTTGAGTTGTATTTTGATCGGCATTTCAATCACTTGAGAGTCAAATCCAGACATTTGTCCACAAAATCAGTGATAATATTAAATGAGTGACCAATTGGTCGACAAAAATGAAAAATGACTTTCGGTTAAATCAATTGTCCAGCAAATGAAGTGTTTCTTTAGTTAAATTTATCCAATTATATAACAATCACTGACCAGTCGTTAATTGGCCCGCAATGGATCCAAATGCTTTCGGTTCAATGACGCCGATGTCCAACCACGCGGATGGCTTCGATCTCGAGGAACAGCATTTGGCTCTATTGGCCGGACAGTTGGTACAGCCGTCACCGATGCAGCCGCAACATCATGATGACTCTCACCAACCGGCCAGTGCATCGACACCGGCAACTCCATCGGGCAAACGTATCGGTCCCAACACTCCCAGTGTCATTCAGAGTACTCCACCATCTGTTTCGGGTCCGGCCAGCCATATGCCGGCATCAGTACTCTCCGGTATTGGCCCATCGGGTCCAATGACTCCGATGACACCTATGACTCCAGTGACTCCTGTATCGACAGATCCGGGTATTGTGCCTCAGTTGCAGAATATAGTGTCCACTGTGAACCTCGGCTGTCGGTTAGATCTCAAAAAGATTGCACTTCACGCCAGAAATGCTGAATACAATCCAAAACGTTTTGCAGCCGTTATTATGCGTATTCGTGAGCCCAGGACTACTGCACTTATATTTAGTTCGGGCAAAATGGTCTGTACGGGTGCTAAAAGTGAAGAACAGTCACGACTGGCCGCAAGAAAATACGCCCGAATTGTCCAGAAGTTGGGTTTCGATGTAATTTTAAAATCATTATATATTAAAGCAATTGAAGGATTGTGTGTTTAATATAATATTTGTTTATTATTTGAATATTAGGCAAAATTCTCTGACTTTAAGATCCAAAATATGGTCGGCAGTTGTGACGTAAAGTTTCCGATTCGTTTGGAAGGACTGGTATTAACTCACAGCCAGTTCTCCAGCTATGAACCGGAACTGTTTCCCGGTCTTATTTACCGTATGGTTAAGCCTCGTATTGTACTATTAATATTCGTGTCCGGGAAAGTTGTCCTCACGGGTATGCAATTAAGTCTATATATTAGTGGTAATAACTATTCTATTGTTTTTTTAGGTGCAAAAGTAAGAACAGAAATATATGAGGCGTTTGATAATATCTATCCAATCCTTAAAGGATTTCGTAAACAATAAATTAATTGTTTTTTGCATTTTTGAATGTTTTCATACAACGATAATAATCATAAATTATATACAATTATTAATTAAATCCATTTTATTCATTTTATTGTCATTTGAATTTAAGTTAATTTAATTTAATTTTGAGTAAAATCATATTTTAAATAATTATATACTGTTTATTTTGTACCGGTATTTGTTTTTTAGATTGTCAATTTTTAAAAGCAACCTTGCTTACCTTACAAACTGTACCATGGTACGGTAATGTATTTTTGTTTTTTTGGTGCTCAAAATTATGATATGAATAGCAGGTTAACAGTAATTAAAAAATTTATTTTTTTGATAAAATGTACAAACGGGTAATTAAAACAATATTTCATAACAATTACCAGTAATTTACAATATTGTTAGTTTATCACATATCAAACCATTCTTTAAGATAAACACATTTCAGCGGCGATATTATGCCATCGATGTGACAGTCTTTATAAACGGGACATACACTACATGGCATACGCATAAAACCCGGATCTTTGGCCAGTGATGTAATATATCGGTATAATTTGTTAGAACCGGTACTCGTGTTTTCGGTGCTGACATGTTTGTCGACTTTGCCGTCATAGACGAGTGTGTCGAGAATGCTTTCAATGTCATCGACACTGAGCTCTACTTTACTAATGCCGACGTCGTTAATAAATTTGAGGACATCTCTTGAGGTGACAAATGATTGATTTTGGCGAGCGATGGGATTTTTGGCATTTTGTTTCTCTTTATTAGTCTAAATACAAATAAATGGAAATCAATCGGTAATAAAAATGAACCAAAATTTAAGGACAAACCTTTTCCCATAAAAACCGAAGACATTGTTGGGCTAAGACTTCAATAAATTCTGACTCGTAATCATTTCCCGAATACCACGAACCTCCGGTCACTGATCGGTCCGGTTCGACGTCGTAAAGCATATATACTTTTTTCTTGCTGGCCGTCACTGATTTAACCGATTTTATCAATTTCTTTGTTTCCATATTCTTAAGCACTTTATTCAGTAGTGTTTGCGATAGATTTGATTGAAACCTAATATCTCTGATCCAAATGCCTTTATTGGATGCTTTCTCAATGATGGCAAACACAATCTTCTCCTCTTCATCAGAACCTATGAAATAACATTAATGGCAAATCACTGGGGGTTTAGTCAATTGAATATCACATATCAATCATTAGTTTTTTATTAACCTTTATTAGCACTTGTCTTGTCTTTAATTCTGTAGAGAAGTTGTATCCCTTGTTTGCAGATTTCAATCTTGTTTTGGCCCAACAATTGGTTGACGGCATCGGCTCTGACCAATGGATTGACTCCAGTCATTGCTATTTGCAATGTCTTTTCGGTGATACCCTTCTCATTGTCCATACATAACTCGATGATACTGTCGGTGTTCATCAAGTGATTAATTAATTAAATTTAGCAAAAGTTTAACAAATAGTTTTCAATAATAATCAATACTTATTCATAATTGTACTCAAAGTCATTGAATCGCCGGCGACGGCGCCCACGATCTCATTGTTGGCCATTTCGGTAACTATTATCTTCTAATATAAACTTTATAAATTACTTTTTGACAAATAATCCAGCATAAAATATTAAATTATTATTTTCAGATTAATCAAAATGCATGCAATAATTATTATATTAAATATAAATATTTTTTAAATGTTAAACAACAACAACATTGACATATCGTAAACATGTTGTTATGTTTACTGCATAACAAATAACGTTTAATATTAATAACATATACAGTATTTGTATAATTTGTAATTATTATACAATTATTGTACAATAGATTATGCAATTTTTAAAATATTTATTATTAGTAAATTATTATATAATTATATATATTTAAAAAGAAATTATAATTAAAAAAAACAATAAAAACAGTTAGTTTTAATGTACTAGAATTACTCAATTAAAGCAAATTACTATTAATTAAATTCAACTAATTGTAAGTATAATTTTTGTTAGATATTTATAGCAATAATTATTAGTATTTTATTCTATATTTTAATAAACTTATATTAATTTATTTTATGTATAAATTAAATAACTTTATAGTATATTCATTCATTCAAAGTCCAGATTAGTCATTAATTAATTACATATAAAATCTATTTTTGTAAATAACAATATTATTAACAATTTAAGCAAAAAAAATGTGCGTAAGAATGATATAATCATAAATGTATTAATTGTAATAATGTCAATGATATTAATACTGTCATAATTATAATACTGGTATAATAATAATTAGCAATTTGTCAATTATTGCAAAACTTATTTAAAACATCATGATATGATAGAAAATTATTATTATTTTTCAGCAAATAAATCTTAATATTAAAATTTATTAAATAATTCAACCATAAATGAGACCTTAATAGAGGAATAGGGGGTTCATTTGTTTAACCAACCCATACCTCCTACTGGTATATGTGTTTATACTTTCTTTTGACCGGCACATCAACTTTTATCTACATTTCCCATCAGAATCAGTAATATTATATTTATGTATTATATTAATATATACATTATATTGAATTTTAATTTCTATGAAATATTGAAATATTTCTCAACAAAAAAATTTCATTGTTGATAACCAACAAAAAATTGGTCATGTATGAATACACGCAGTGTTAATATATATTATATTTATATATAATAAATAATAATAATATATTTCAGGTTAATTATGTTGATGTCATTTTTTTGCAGTGACATAACATTTCAATAGCTATTGTTTATAAGAAAATAAATTATATCTGTTTTTAAGGTTTTTTAATGATACGGTGAGTAATAATTTAAATTGAAAAGTGAAAAAAGTTTTTTGATTTGAAAACATAAACTTTTGCTACAAAACGGGTCTGCAATTGGTTTGAATGGTTTGATTGGATGCGCGCATGTATTGCATGAGAATCAGTGAATCGTATTCATTACATACAGAAAATTACATTACAATTACAATCATTGCCTAACTTTTTCTCTAAGTGTATGTGATTTTTGTCTCTCTTTCTCTCTCATTGAAAATGTATCGCAACTTTTAATAATCAAATTACGATTAAATAATAATAAAATACAGTGTTTATTATGATGGTGTTATTCATTGCATGTATTCAGTCATTGCAATTATTATATTAGTGTATCATATGTATTGACAGATACTAAACAAATGTCAAATAATAATAATAATGATAATAATATTTTCCATTATTTAAATGCTTAATTAATAGCATTAGTTGTTTTTTTAAATAAATAATTTCATATACCGATATGATATGAATAATATTAATTACATAATAAATATAATAATAGATTATAATTTTTTTTATAAAAATATGTAATTGTCATTAGTAAGTAATTTTCAAATATTCATTTTCAATTTAGTCAATTTAATGAATCTTGTATTAGAAAATAATTAATTTTTTATATTTGCTAAATATCTAATGATTGAATATTTGATGTTTATATACAAAATGAGGTGAGAAATATATATTTAAATCGTAATAAAGTTATTTTTTGAAGATATTTACAAATATAAATTTTGCAAAAAAAAACTTTTTAAAATAAAAATATATAATCGACTCTCAAACTTGAATGCAAAAGTAAGACAAAAAAGTTTGACAAACTCGATGTCTACGATATTTTTGATGCCAAAGCCCGGAGCAAACCTAACGATAGAAAGTTTTGTCCCATTTATTGCTTTAATTAACACATTTTTCACAAACTTTTCACTTTTGGATTTCCTCTTAATATAATCAAAACATTTTTTCAACTTTTTCTTCTGTAATATGTTTGCATTTAATTTTTAATGACATTTTGCTCTTAATTTTAAATTAATTATTAGTAAAATTACATTAACATTTATTTTTTATTATAAATATAATATATTAAAATATTACGACATACCATTTACTGGTTTGTGTATATTTAAATTATATTATATTTTATAAAGTTTTTTTTATTTATATAAAATAATAATATTTAGTGATAACATTGTTATTATGTGAAATACAATATTCATATGTAATTTGAATAGATGAACCTGGTGATATACAGTATATACATGGGTATATGTTTTTACATACTGTATATACAGTACAAACCAGTAGGATATATATTTAAGTTACGTGTCAATGATCTCATTGATGATATGCAATCCAAGTACTGTTCAAAACTTATAATTTTTATTTATATAATAACAATATTATTGWATGATTGTGTTATATATTTAATGGTTTTTAAATGCACTTTTCTAATAAATGTTTATAATATATTGTCAAAAATAAATACATTTTATTGCAATTATTGCAAATTTCACTCTTAAAGGTTTACTGTAAATTAATAAAAGTATACACAAATAAGTGTTAAGTAATGAATTACATTTAATTAATTATATTAAAAGGAAATAATATAATATGCGACCAATTAGTTAATTATTACTACAATAATATACAGTATTATTGTTATAATCTTGATTTGCATTAATAAAGTTGTTTGTGTCGTATTTTATTAGCATAACTATTAATTATATAATTTGTATAAAGTGTTTGTAAAATATCCCTTTTTATTTAATTATAATATCTTAACTGATTTTAAATATGATTATCAAAATTAACTAAAAACTTATATATATATATACTGTATATTATACTGTATATTATAATTATAAAAAATATTTATTGTATGTAGTCGTAAATGACAATACAATTTTTGAAAATATTTTTGATTATTGTTTTTATTATTATTAATATTCAATAGTATATTTATTATAATATAATATATTAATATTAATTACTAATAATTGTTACGATGTTAGATAAAAAAATTGTTTTTTTCTAATTATATCTCATTTTTACAGATAATATATAATAGCAAATGAATCTAATATTATGGACGATAAACATGAATCCATATATTTGGAGCCATCATTATTGGCCACAAGAGAAACAAATTCATTGTCATCCAAATGGTTTACTTCTGCAAATGTATGCGACAGTTATCTTCGTAAATGTATTTCTTGTCCACAAATCAATGTACTGAACAAACATTTGCATAAAACAAAAGCAAACATAAATCGGTCGCTTTCTTGGGATTCAATTGCAACCTATTTGAGGACAAGGCTTATGCTTAAAATGATAGATATATCGACCCTCACTACAGATTATTGTCAAATCAAATTGTTTGTGAACAATACAAATATGAAAGACATAGATAATAATTCAAGCAGTAATGAGTTTATTGAAAATTTCAAGAATAATGACATTGATTATTATGATAACCTATATGTTGGGAATAGTATCCAAATAAGACTCAGCCCTTCTAGTGGTGGCGGAGACGGCTCATCCAGTCTTGATGTGTCTCCCAGTGATTACACTAATTTACAATTATTATCTAATAATAGCAATGATGAGACCGATGATTGGGAGTCCGATTGCAATTCATGTAACTGTGATAAAACTGAGTGTCAACTAAACAAAACAGCCAACAAATTAACCACTATTTCAAAGTGCAGATCACATATCACTTGTATTAATGCCAAACATAGACAACTAGCAAATTATGAGTACATTAATCAAGATATTTGTTGTCACCGGTAATTTAATTATTTATATATATATATATTATTTTTATTTTTTTTTTTATAAACTTTATACTGTATGTCATTTAACTATAGTAGTAAATTACTAGCAATGATATACACACTTTTACAATAACATCAATATTAATTTGATAACTGTTATCAAATAAAATTATTTATATATGATATTTAGGTCTAACAGTAGTGATTCAGCTATAATTATACCATTTATTGATTGCGATATTGAAGACGATTCCGGTTCAGATCAATCTAAGTGTGATTTACAAACAACATGTAATAAAACTGATTCACAAATGGATTTTGAATCAAAACATTATTCATATGATCAACAATTGTCACAAACGTATCATTTAAGCTCACATTTAAGTACTCCAAGTGTTATAATCAGTGATCACAGCACTGATTCTGATGTAAATTTTTATTTTAATAATTTATAATTCATAAAAAACCAATTTATGATTGAATAATAAAAATAGAGAGAAATAATTATAGATTTAAAATAACAATTTATTTAACATTAAAAAAAATTTATGAACAGATTAACGACAATAAAAATGATGACCACAACTATAATGAAATAATCCAAGATTTTGACTCCTATTTTAATCAGACGCCTAAATGCCAATTAAGACGTGACTCAATAAGTAGCATATCTTCGAGTACTTCCAGTCTTTCATCTCTGGGTGAAGAAGATTATGTTGAATGCGATATTCAGACCACATCTTATAAATTATCACCAGTGAGTATCAAATATTTTATTTTTTATATTTTAATCATAGAGTATATTCAAAAAATTTCATATTTTATCATTTTATATCATACAATAACACACTACTATCACACGCCTAATGAATAAACTTTTTTTATTAATAAACTATTAGTGTTTATATCATTTTTTATATTTTAGTAAACTAAAAATATCATATGTTATTGATAATAATAAGTTCATTATAATTTCCCAAAAAAAGTAATATCAAATTTATGATAACTTTATTTATTTATATTATGCTGGTATCATTTTTTAATAGAAATAATGTAAACAATTTTTAATAATAATAATAATTGCAAATTATCAGTTCCTACAAATCATTGATTTCCTGATAAAATTACATTTATAATACAATATATATATATACATTTATTATATATATATATATATATATATATATATATATATATATATATATATATATATATATAAATATATATGTATATAATTTTAAATATAGTTATAAATATACTAAATGTATTAATAGTCTTATTTGTTTTTATACTTTAAATTTTTAATATATTTTTTACGAAAAATATAATGAATTCTTTATATTTTATTTTTATCCACTCCTTAGTCTATTAACAAATTAGTATATGTTTGTATGAGTGTACAAAAAAATGTACTAATAGTACATGTATACCAAATTATTTTAATTTGTTTTAATAAAAAAATCCACAACAAAAAGTATTTTCTATTAATTGATTAGAAAAAATACATTAGATTTTATTAGAGAATATGATATATCATATGTAAGTGAGAAATACCTATACATTGAAAATAAATTGTTTTGCCAACAAATATATATATATATATATAATTGTTTGAGCCCTAATTAGCTAATTAAATATGTTAAAATAATTTATTTAAGTAAAATTTGTTTTTTGTTAGTGTATTTAATTTAATATTATATTTATTTGCACATTAATATTAGTCAGTAAATTGTCTCAAATGATAGGGTCGGCCAACGAGAGGCCAGCCTTCAAGCCTTCAAACAGTTTAAGGTTATTATTTGCGTCAGTCCACACGTCATGTCATTAATATTTTTTGCTAATATTTTAATATTATTCAAATAATCTTTATTTTCCTCTCAAATATAGCACTAAAAAGTAATGTTTATTTTTTATTTTTATATATATATACATTTTTTTTAAATATTGACTTCAATTCATACCTTATTTGAAAGCTATACACGACTGGACAGACGTTTAACTTCTTTTTATTTATTTATTATTTTTTTGAAACGATTTCTATGATATTATTATAAAAATATGTTTAATACATATTTTTAGCTTTCAAATGATAAGATCTGAAGTTTGCAATATTGCAACAAATCCTTTAAAATATCAGTAATTGATTGTCGATTGCATTGAAAATACATTTGTCATTAAATGATATATTATTAGTGTAAATGTGTTTTAAGTGTTTGTTTGCGTTTATTATCTGGAGTTTCACGACTGCAAACCTGACAATAATCGTCATAATTATTAATAATAATAATAAGTTTTTTAATAAATTATAAGAGTTATAATAATAATGACATTTTCACGTTATGGAAAAACTATAGAAAAACTATTGAATTGTAGAATAATATGCATTGAATTGTGTTAAACGATTAGTTGATTTGTATTTTATTTAATTATATTGATTATGATATTAATGAGCCCAAAGACAGGTGTATTTTTTAAATGACTTTCAAATCATATCTATTATTAATTTTATAAATGTATTTAATATTTATATACTGTATATATGATGTCTAAATAGCTATAAAGCAATAATAGATTATATAATAATAATAATAAATGAATTGAAAATTTGCAGAACATATTCCTATAGAAATCAAGTTTTTATATAATAATTATATAAAAAAAATAAATATGAATTTTAGTAATATATTAAATATTAAATACATTAAATATATTTTATCTGATTTGACACATAAGTAATGTTCCCACATATGCATTCAAATGGCACTCTAACAGCATATTTAATATAAAAACATTTTTTTGACAAGAATATTGAATTTTTCAATACAACTAAAAATGTTTGGCTGTTTGTATGTGTCGTTTAAAAAAGCATACAAAAAGCATACCATAAATGCAAACAACAAACTCATATGTTATGATTGTTTTTTAGTTTAAACAAATCCTGTAATTTATTTTACTGTTAAAATAAATTGCGTCAATACTACACACAGTAGTTATTATAGCGACGTTTGATTTTCAATGCATTCAACTGTTTTAAAGCAAAAATTACATATGAGATAACACACACATATATCATAGACTTGTATCATATCTCGGTGTGTGGACTAACCTTAACTATAGTGACTGTCCTCCTATTGGGGACTTTGTCTTATCCCATACCTATGCATCATCTTATCCATAACCATAGCCTACCTAAGGCTATACCACAAATCGTGTTAATAGTGTTTGTGAAGTCTAACACAGTGTGTCTTTCAGTCAGTCAACTAAACGGTTTCCCATTTAAATAAAAGTTTGTTTTAATTTAATTTTTATTTTTTTAAAGAGCAGTGCTTTATAATTGATTCATAAAAACTTAATTTTTATATCAAAGTTTAAGGATGTTATCATATTTTTTATATTGTTATCGTGTTTTCAATATACAGTATTTACTCAATTATTTGTTTATTTTTATCTATTAATTGTAAGCCATTAAAATTGATTAATTTGTTATTTGCAATACTATAAAGGTGATTTTTATATATATCATACAGTATATATATATAAAGTTATATATATATATAGTCTATAATCATTTCTACTGCTAGCTTATTAATGGCTTATATTTTATTATTGCTGTGTTTTAATTTGTTTTCATAATTACAAATGTTGTTTTTAGTATAATAATTGGTTTTTTAAATATATGTATTTATTAAAAATAATATTAAATGATGTGTGAGATTAAAGAGAGTAATAATTTGCAAATAAATGGATATCAAGAATATTCTCTAATTGTTGATAAAACTGGACCAAAGCTTGAATACGGAGAAGCGTCCAGTGATGACCTCAGCAGTGATTGGGATACCGAAGAGTTGTCTGATTTGAATAATAAGCCAAAGGTTTACAAATATTTTTAAAAGTTTAATATTAATTGAAATTAAATACTGTATTTTATTAGTAAATTTGAAACATATCGTATGATGATATTATTTTTTATGGATACAAAAATATGTTTGTGTTTTACACTAATTTTTTTTTGTTAGTTTGTTATTAGCTTTAGAAGAATTATGACTTTTGTTTGATAACATTTTATTGATTGTTTTGTTGTAACTTTATATAAATATTACTTAAAAATATAACATTAATACTACTGTGTATATAAATAAATAAAATATTTACACAACTATCACATCACTATTATTATTATACAATATATACAGTATATATATATATATATATATGTAGAGTACACAATTTTTTGATACAATTTAAATGATATATCATATGATTATATTATTGGTATTAAATTTTTTATGATGCTATACACTACTGTGTGTACATAAATAGGATGACACCTGCATAATTTGCAGATACACTATAATAATAATAATAATGTGCTGGTTGTAAAAATTTATATATAAATAATATGATCAGGGTGGTTATTATTTAATTTTAAAAAAATGATATATTTACAATATGAATAGATATCAGCATGGAGAAAAGTACGGTCTCTCGTCACCTCACCATTCATTCAAACGTACAAAAAGCAAAAGTATCCGTGGGTTCAGTTGGCCGGACACCAGGGTTTGTGTCAATATATTTATTTTTATTATTATTAGTATTATTTGGATTCAATATATTCTAATATTAATTAATAATTTCAGGAAATTTCATTTGTGGTCAAACTCAGGGAACTATTCTAAAGAAACTGAACGCAACTGAAGAAAACTGCTTTCATCTAATAGCTAACGATGTTATCAAACCATTGGTTCCCGAATATAGAAAAACAATTAAAATCAATAGCGAATGTAATTTTTAAAAATAATTAATATTTACATATTTTACTTAAATTATTTTTTAAAAGTTAGTTTAAATTATATGAAAAAAACATTTAAAAAATAGAATTATTGTATTTTTTTGTTTGTTTCCAATAGTTTACTTGGAATTGGAGGACCTATTGGCCAAATTTGACAATCCGTCGATAATGGACATTAAAATGGGTGTTCGGACCTATTTGGAGGAAGAATTGACAAAAGCAAGAGTTAGACCCAAACTTAGGAAAGATATGTACGAAAAGATGATTGCCATCGATCCGGTCGAACCAACCGATGAGGAAAATCAACTGAAGGCAGTAACCAAACCTCGATATATGGTTTGGAGAGAAACTATTAGTTCTACAGCTAGTCTTGGATTCAGAATTGAAGGCATCAAACAGTCAAATGGCAAAGCATTGAAAGACTTTAAGCGAACCAAATCTGAAGACAACGTTAAGACAGCATTCATGAGATTCATTGACAATCATCCGCATTATGCCGTATGTCATAGTATTTTATATACTAAATAGTTTTTAAATAGTTTTTTAAAATAAACTAATTATAAACTGAATTTCAAACATTTTCATACAGTCGTCATATTTAAATAAATTAGTTATAATCAAAGAGACGGTAAAATTATCGCATTTCTTCAGATCACATGAGGTATTTGCGCCATTTTTTTCGTGTAGTTAAATGGATATTAACTGTAGATTTTATTGTTAATATGGGATCAGATAATCGGCAGTTCCCTTCTGTTTGTTCACGACGACCATAAAGCAGACATTTGGTTAATAGATTTTGCCAAAACATATCCCTTACCAAATGGCATACAAATTACTCATCAGAGCGAATGGCAGGTCGGCAATCATGAGGACGGGTATCTCAAAGGTCTCGATAACCTCATCAGAATCTTTAGCACTCTTTAGTATTTTTTTTGAACACTTATACACATAAATATTTTTTTATATATATGTATAAAACAATTTTATTTTTTTGGTTAAATCCCTTTTGTACAAACATTTCTTTATATATTTAATATACTAAAATTTAAATATTTATAGTATATTTTAAATATTATTATTTAACTTTTTGTATAACTAAAAGGAGTTTCAAATTAGATGTGTAATCTCTTTTTTTGGGGAATATATTTTTGTCAATAAAAATATTTTTATATAATTTGTTTTGCAAAATGTCAATAAAAATTATTTTATCAATTGCATACTATCCGAAAATACAAATTTATATAAAACCAATAATATAATTATACAAATTTTAAACTAATTAAAGTGATAAAAATTAACTCTCGTTATGCAAATTTTTTATTAATTTTTAATAAGTTATATTTATTTAAAATAATAGATAATTTAAAATTAGTACATAATTTAAAAAACTAATAATAGATAATTTATTACATTTTATTTTTGAAATTATAATAATTGACAATTCATAATAAATTAATAGCCTTGGTAAATCACTTTTGTGCTTTTATATGAATTATTTTAAAAAATATAAATTATTTAAATTCTAAACAAATATCTTTTTGTATTTGTAAACAATAATTTTTAATTATATTTACATTTGGGTGTAAATTATATATATATATGCAAATTATAGGAATATTTATAGTGACAATATTTATACTGTATTATTATTACTGTATTATTACATACAATACATACCATACGGTTAATTATAAATGCTTCACAACAATTAGTTTTGCAATTAGATAACAAAATATATGATATTATATATATATATATATATATATATATATATAAATATTTCATATCCATAAATATGTGGGGAACGGGTGGTGGGAATGAATATATATATATATTTAAATCACATCAGTAGCCATTCCTTTAGTATTATTGCATTTAATTAGATAACTGAGTGTTTCGTTGTGACCGAAAACCGCTGCCAAATGAAGGGGATGCCAGCCGTCATGGTTTGACAGGTTTGTATTCGCACCGTTCAGCACCAGTTGACGACACCACGACACGTCCCGACCTATCAATTCAAAAATACAATTACAATATAGTTATATAACCAATCAACTTTTGTTTTTATTATATAACAAAAAATATATAGCATTGAAAAATTGTGTAATTATTTATACATATTTTTTTAATCGGTAATTTAGTTACCATGTAGTATTAAATTACTAAAAAAATATTTTTTCCAATACATATATAGTTTTTTGTTTGTAATTCAAACCAATTAGTTGCTAATGTATATATCAATATTTTTTTAATTATTTCATTTCCCGATAACTTTCCCATAGTTTACAAAATGTTTTAAATATCATTTAAAATATATTTTTTGACATATCATTTAAATTGTTATTATTAATTACTTAATTAACTACAAAATTCTTGTTTATAAGTTATTCATCATAAGTATCAAAGAATTTATTTATTATTAAATAGATATATAATTTTTAAATTGATTTTCTTTATATGAGCATTAATATAATATATTGCTAAGTTATTAATGCAGTTCAAATAAAGGCTATTATTGAGCATACCATACTACTAGGGTAGCATATCTCCAGGGTAGGGCAACACTAGGTTAGGGAAATGCGGCAAACACTGGATACACACAATAAATGCTTGATTATTACTGGTATAACATATTGTACATTAAATTATACGATTTTAGTTTATTCCCATAAAATAAAATTTAATATTAAAATTATTCGACTTTGGTTATATATATAAAGTATATTTACTGATATAGATTTTTTTATTGATAACAACAACATATAACATAATTTCTAAAAATATATACCAACTAAACGATAGCAGCAAACAAAGTGATTGCTGTAAGAAATTAACACAATGTTTAGTTACTTCAAAGCATTTCAAAATATATTCAAATATTTTGAAACAGAGTCCAAATAATTTGAAAATATTATTTAATTATCATTATATATCATATATAATGTATACTTTTTGTTAAAAAAACAATTTTTATAACAATTAAAATCTACAAACATTTAGATTACTGTATATACTATTGGTTTATTACGGGTAGCAATGGAAACGTCAAAAGTAAAGCACGGATTGTTAACAATTCATATTYAATGATAGTATTACCTAATAGTAGACAATAGTGAAGAGCCGTTTGGCCATTGATGAAGACATTGAGGTCAGGCTTTGATCTTAAAATAGTGACCAATTGATCGAAGTCATCGTCACGAATCACAGACACGATTTGTTTGGCAATCATTGTCTTTTGGTTGGCATTGCTATTGAGTGACATTACTTCAACGGTTATATATATTTTAATATATAAGTTATTTATATGTATATATATATATATGTTTTTAACAAATATTTGTCACTCAAAAATTAATAAATACTATAACTTAAAATTAGTTGTCATCACAATATTAACAAAACTATATTTGAAACTATACATGAAATTAGTTGCACATTATATATACAGTATATATAATTTAATATATTAATAAAAAATAAAGTTTTTTTTAAAACTAAAAAATTTTTAACTAAAAATTTATACACAAAAACATATTTTTAAATGTGAGCTTCATTTATATATATATATAAATGTATGGATAGCTTGAGTAGTAGAGGTAGTAGTAGTAGTAGTAGTATTGGCAGTCAGTCCTATCCGTTGTATATTAGCCGCCGATCCCACTCTAATCCCCACTTTGGAGGTGCGGATAGTATTGTATGTATATATGAACTGAATATATGTGAATATATGTGAGTGTATGTGTGTGTGTGTGTGTGTGTGTGTGTGTGTGTGTGTGTGTGTGTGTGTGTGTGTGTGTGTGTGTGTGTGTGTGTGTGTGTGTGTATGCATGCCCAGTGTTCTGCCTTAAAACATAGTCCGGATAGGGAATGGTATGTGTATTGTAAATGAATGTGTAGTAATGCCAGCCCCAGTGCCCTGACTCCACCCGTGCGCGCGTTTGTGTTGTTTGTTATATATGTTGTCTCCAATTGTTAGTCACATATCGTGGGAAACAAATTCTTGTGAACTTTCAGTGATTGGCTTCATATGGGAAATGTAGAGAAAATGGGAAAATCTAATTGTTTTCTCATAGGAATACCCATAGAATTAGTGAAAACTTAAGAGAATTTCCCACTGAAGCCAATCATTGAAAGTTTCACAAGAATTTGTTTCCCACGATATTGTGTCTAACAATTGAAGACTAACTCTATTAACAACACAAACGCGCGCATCGATCGAGTCATTCGTTTATCACATTTTCATTATTTACACATTTTTTTTAAATTTATTTATTTATTATTTCAAATCTATTATATAATAATATCTATTAACTAATTGTCATCTAATATATAGTAATTAATTATTTTAAACAAAATATTTACAAAAAACAAAACAAATTATGTTTGTTTGTATCAAATAAAATATGTAAGAATATAAAGCAAACTATAATTGTATGAAATATTTGTTTCTAAAAAATCCAATTTTACAATATTCTAAAGTTTAGATATTTTATCATGGTAATTTTTTATTTGGTTTATTTATTTAAAAATTGATGAAACACATATCCAATCAATTTTTAAAAAATAAGTATACAATACAGTACTATACAATAAATACATTTTTTTCATATCTATCATATCATAGGTTGTAAGATATGRAAACTTGAGATAACATTTTTTTTACTATAACTTATTGTATTTATATAACTAAATCATTGTATCGGTTCAATAAAAATCATAGAACTAAATAAAATACATTTTTTTCTAGCTATATATAAATTATAGAATAATAGTATATAATAATATTAAATAAGTTATACTAAAAAAACTGTGTCCAACCAATTTTATCAAAACAAAACATTTAATTTAATAATTTAACAAAATGTTGAAAATCGTAACGTTATTTATGAACGACATTTGTTTACCAAATAAATGTCAACAAAAAAATGTATGAAATGTTTGATTGAAGTAAACAATAATTGTTTTGTGAAATCAAATGATAAAAAAAAATTTGACAACAATTAAGACAAATGGTCTGTCAATTGATGACTAAAAATAGTGACAATTGATGACAATTGACGACAATTGACGAACAATTGACGACAATTGACGAACAATTAGCTATTAATTAGTGCTATTGTTTGGTGAAGAAGAAATAGTGACCAATTGGTTGACATCAATGCCATTAACACCTCAACTCAATGATTATCTTTTGTGTCCCATTTGTTTCAATCATTTTTCAACCACAAGAAAGCCGTTTACTTTGATYTGTTCCCATACTTACTGTTCAAAYTGTCTTCAGGTATGTATTTGCAGTCAAATAGGTTTCCATTTTGTTGTTGTTGTTGTCGATGATAATGAAAGTCAATGTCTGTGTTTGTTTTCAGTCAATCCAAAGTTGTCCATTTGATTCAACACCGATTGAGAGAAAATTTCCCGAAAATGAAGCCATTCTTGCATTGGTTCAGTTAAATGGTTGTCCAAATGGCTCGCATTCGGCACAACAACAACACAACTCAAGACCTAACGATAGGTCAACCGTTGGTCAGAGTTATGATTGCGTTGAGATCAAAGACATTCCCTATTTCCGCAAATGTGTCGATTGTATTAAACAGATGGCATTTCTTTTGCGACCTCAACATCAAAGTAATTTCAGAAATTGATGGATGATTATTGACAATCAATTGATTTGATTTGTTTAGGTCAAGCATTGTCTCGTCCGATGCAACGAAAACTAATAACACTATTGCACTGTCAGGTGGTTGAAGGCGAGTGTCGGACCCGTGCCCTCAGAAATGCCCGATCTATTGGTGAACGAGCTTTGGGTGAACTTCTTGTTAAACATCAAGACTCACATCAATTGAGGTTTGATWTGTTTATGATTTAATAAAATCATATTTAATACGTTATAATAACTTATATACCACTSTATTGTACGTATAGTTCCAATTTATGGGCGGCTGTGAGGGCTCGGGGATGTCAGTTCTTAGGACCGGCGATGCAGGAGGAAGTGCTTCGGTATGTTAATAATGTTGTGTTAGTTTGGATTTGGATTACAAGTGATTTTATTTTTATTGATTATACAGATTAGTGTTATTAGCACTGGAAGATGGAAGTGCTCTTTCACGAAAAGTTTTGGTTATGTTTGTTGTTCAACGATTGTCGCCTCACTTTCCACATCAGGCCAGCAAAACAGCTATAGGACACGTCATTCAACTTTTATATCGCGCCTCTTGTTTTAAGGTATTATAATAACCAGTAATGCTGTCACTAATATGATGTTTACCGGTAATTATCGTATATTTTTCAAAACTATAAAACAGTTGACTAAAAGAGATAGCGATTCTAGTTTAATGCAATTGAAAGAAGAGTACTGTTCTTATGAAGCATTAAGACGAGAACACGACACACAAATCGTTTCGATAGCACTCGAGGCCGGACTCAGGATATCACCCGATCAATGGTCATCACTGTTATACGGCGACAGTCACCACAAGTCGCACATGCAGTCAATTATAGATAAAGTAGTCTTTTTGTTTTTTATTTGATGTATTTGATGATGTATTGCTAAATTTGCTAATTAATTAATTTTATATAATTTAAATGATAGCTTCAATCACCCGCTTCTTTTGCTCAATCGATACAAGAGTTTATTATTGCTCTTCAAAGGACGGGTGATCCATGCGGTTTGGTCGCCATTAAACAACCTTTAGAGAGATTAGCTATTGTTGATCCAAATCCATTAACTGGTAATTTTAGAAATTTGTTACTTATCGTAATATATATGATATAATCATGTAATTTATAATAAAAAATAGTGACTCATCCGACTCTTGAGGAATTAGGCGATGCTCTTGAATGCGCTAAAGTTGTAATCTTTCAGTTGATTGAATTCTTACAACGATTTGGTTCATCGCATAACAATCTATCAAATAATAACATCAATAGAAATAAATTAATAACAAATATCACTCAAAACAGTAATCAAAGACAAAGAGTGAATCGCGTTCGGCCTTTAATTGATGAGCAATCGATTTCAAGACAATTAAGTTCAGAGCCTTTTCCATCAATGAATGTATTATCTCCTACAGCAGCCCGTCATCCATCCATACCAACTGTTATCAGGCCGTGTGTGTCAGTGCAACCCTCGAGAATTATCGGTGCCACCAATTTGATGGTTTCACCGACACTGGCAATGAGTCCGCATTCACTCTTATCTGCGACACCAGGAGATAGTGATATAGGAGCAGTCGATTCGAGTTTTGAACCCCATTTGAATACTTTATCTTCAATATCTCTTCCTGTTTTAGTTACAACTACAGCCTCGCATACATTGATCCAAAATACCCCTCCAATCGGCGCATCCCTACTAACGTGTGGAACTAATACCACTACTATTCCACCCTCTCTTCCCTCAGAAGACGATCAAATTATCCCATTCTCTGATCGTCCATTTGTTTCTAAGTACGGTCCGGTACGATCCAAATACGGCGTTAATCTTATCAACACACCCACAATGACTGGACTGGGGAATGGTATGTCCCAGCAAATGACAGTGCCTGGAACGCATCCAACGAATGTGATCTTAGGTCGATCTGCGGTGCCATCGTTAACACTGATCCAACCATTACAAATACTAACCACTACTTTTCTAACGGATCCTAATTCTAACTCACAATACGGAAGGACTTTCATTCCAGATCCAACCTATCAGAGCACATATGTTTCAGGGCTTATGGATTTAGAGACGGGAGATAATTAATTCAATAGTCTAAAGGGATAAAACATATAATAAGTTGTTTATCAGATTATGTCTTAAGATTATTATTATATTAATATTATTACAATATTTTTTTTAAATGTCATCGGATCTAAATCTTAAGATATTGTATTATCTTTTTATTTAAAATGTTTGTTGCTTATTTATATATATCTAAAAAATCAATTATTGAAAAAATTATAGAAGAAATATATATATATAATATATAATGTTTTTGAAGTATATTTCAAATAACTATTAATTGTTAAATATTTTAAATCCTGTTTAACTCTTTTTTAGACAAAATAACTATGAATTGATATTAAGGTGTATATAATGTGAAGTTATATTTGTCTTAATTATGGTCGGTTCCAATGGTAACATATTATTAGATATCAGTTTTATTGATTACTTATTTTAATTAATTTTTATTTTTATTTAAGTGATTAAATTAAATCATAATTTTAAATTGTTACTTTGTTTTAGTATTATTATTATTAAAAAAGTGATTTTTTAATATTTATTTTAATTTTATGATTTAATGAAAATCAATGTAATTCTTTAAAATTATATTAATTATTATTTTAAATATTTTTATAAAATTGTCGATTAATTTTGTTGATTTGTTAAATGATAAATTGATTAATTGATCGATTTATGATTAATTAGATTTGAAAAATAATTTAATTTCATTTATAATAAGTTTATTTGTATTTAACATTTATTACAAATAAAATAAAACAAACTTTATTTACCTGGTTAAATTACTGTTTTATTGATTAATTATTTATGATATATATACTGTACTAATTTAATCTAATGCTTTTTTTGCTTATAATTTTATTTATTAACAACTAAATAGTACATTGTTTTTAATTAGCAAAATGTTTAGTTTAAATTCATATTTATTATAATCATTTATCAGCTTTTTTATTTTTAATAATAATAATATTTATTCATATACTTGTTATGAGGTTATAATTTATAAATATACATCAAAATCATAACATAATCATAACCAAAAAATATTTATACAATAAATTTAATCAATTAAAATAGTTTTATCAGTTATGCAGATTTATTAAAATTATATTCATTTAGTGGTAAATTATTAAATAATTTAATAAAACTATTAACTATTATTATTATATAAATAGAAATTAATTGAATTATTACACATCAGTGACATTATACTAATACAGTATATACTGATATTATATATATAGTATTAATAGGACTATAAAGTATTACTTTTTTTAAATATCACTGATACTAAAAGATACTGTATACTATTATTATTAATGTATTAGAAATATATACAAATATTTTAACTTGTAATTTATAAAAATTAATGTATAATTTGTAATTATTCAGTGGTGTAATCAACAATTGAATGGTTCATATAATTTGCAATTAAAAAGTTGCAAAAATAATGCCAAAGTTTAAGGTTAAGTGATAGATCCAAATATTTTTTTAATTTAATGTTTTACATTATATAATATCCAAAGAAATTGATTGAAAATTATAAAATCAATAAAAGTTTAATTATCGCCTATCGATATAATTTAAATGCTACATATATCTTAAACTAAAATTTACTATTATATCCTATAATATCATTTTTACAAAAAATATTATAACCCGTTTTAAGTATTAATTTTATAAAGTAATTTATTTAGTTATTAGTTTTATTTTAGTAATAAATAATTTTATCAAATTCAGTAAAATTGAGTTAATTATAATAATAATTATTATTATATGACTAGAAAACAATTATTAGTTAAACAATTAGTAGCAAAAATAACAAAATTGCATGCATTAGTTGTTAACAGATTAATGTTAAATCAAATAAATTGATTAATAAATTATATATTTTAAATAGTTTATAGATTACTATTGAGTATATTTATCTTTAGGTTTAACAATTTCTTACAAAAATCAAGTATTAAAAAAACTCAGTATTCACTCATTTTATTTAACTTTTGGCCAAACAATTATTTTTTATGTTTAGTTGTTTTTCTAAAATTAAAAAATAAAACAAAAGTAAGTGTTTGATTAGTAATTATATTATTATTATATAATGATTAAATAAAAATATTATTTTAAAATTTACTAATAAATGTGTCACTTACCAAAATGAATCACCATTATCATTTTTGAATAAACTAAAGGAAATTTAAGGAAAAATTATGCTTGCTTAATATCAAATATCAATTATATTAAATATATTTTTTATAATAAGCGGTGAATGGGTTTATAATTTAATCTAACCACCTAATCAATGGGTTAGGGTGTCAGGGTTAATTTTGCAATTAACACACACACACACATTAGTAGTTATTTTTATTTTATTAATAAATACAACTAATTGTACTTAACATGAATTACTACTATACATCATTATTATCTATTATCATATTTTATGAATACATAGTTTAGATAATTATATGAAATACTAATAAATAATTTTTTCAATTATATGTTTAAAACTGATTTCAATTAAATTTTTTGGTGTTGCTAATTAATTAATTTAATTGAAAACAATGTTAAAGTTTTATATACATCAACATTATATAAAAAATATTAGCAATAAATTATATCTTAAATAGTTTATTCTCATATTTAAATTATCAATTAATTATTTTATCTCTAACTAAAAATATACATATTAATATAAATACAAATATTATCTATTTGAAAATTAAAAGATAATCAACTGTATTTATTCGGTGGTATATTTTTATTTTTTAAAAACATTAATTTAAATATTTTTTAAAATTATAGTACAACTATAAATATATTTATATTATTTACTAGTATTAATAATTTACAATTTGTAATTTGTAAATTACAAATCAAGTATTTATAGCTAAAATCTTATCTTAATATGTATTCTATTCATAATTGTTATATTTTAAATTAATTATATAAAATTATATAATTATAAATATAAATTGGCCTAGTGCCAATTATTTGTTACATGTGTTAACATGCCCACTAATTTATAAAATGGTCAATTCATTCATGTACTTAAAATTATACTTAATATCTATTTGTCATATTTTGAAAAAAATCTACTGATTATCTACTAATTTAATTGACATTAATTTAAATAAAATATTAAATTATCATATTTACATTATTGTCAAATAAATTTATCAGTTTTACCGCTATATTTATAAATGAAATTGCAATTTATTATAAACTAATTAATCAATATTTAATAAAAAGACTTGTCATAATAAAACTTTTTATATATTGGACCGGATTTTGAGAAAAAAATAATACTGTATTTTGGGTCAATAATCATCATAAAATCAATGTAATACTAATGTAAACAAAATTATAAATCATAAATATATTATAATATTTTATAATTAATCTCATTAATTACATATAAAATTAAAATTTTGAAAAATCTTATTATGTGTACAAATTATCGATATTTTTATGCTATTTAAGAATTTATATATAATAATGAAATTATATAAATACGAAAAATTTATACAAGTTTATCATATAATTATGAATACTTCTTAATGTTCATCTCATAATATGATTTTACTGTATATGACTACGATATAATGTACAATAATTAAATTATATACTAATTAAATAAAATACTAATTTATATATTTTAATCTTTTATAGCTAAGTTCTGACAATTATATTATTTTTTTCACATAATTTTCATATTTATGCAATTTAAATCTAAATTTAAATAACATTTTTAATTTTATTATGACAACAACTTTGGTCAAATAAGTTGTATTAATAATAATTAGTCAGTTTTTTGATAAGACAAATAGTGAAAAAACATTTAAAATGGTATCAATTAATAGAATAATTTGCTTATTTTAATAATTTTTTAATAAAAAGTATTAATAAAAAGTTGTTTTTATTTAAATATGTTTTCCAAATATGATCTGAAAATAATTGAACTTTGCTTTGTTTTGCATAAAAACACGGAATATTAAATAATTTTAAAATTCATATTTATTTAATACTTGTATCAATACTGTAGTAACTAATGAATTGTTATCAATTGGTCTTAAATTATTGGTCGCTATTATTGGTATTTCAATATTTAATAGACATGTGATAGTCATGTCTGAGGCAAAGGTCTGTCATGTCTTTAATGTGTCATTAGATTTAAACATAATTACAATATAATGGATGAAAATGAGAGAGAATGTCAAGGATTTTGAGCAAAAATCTAGGGATCGGTACTTGAGTTGAGTCTGTTTATGACTTATATAACTATAACTTTTGTATGCAATGCGAGATGTGGGACAGGGAGGTAGTTGTTCAGTCTAATGGTTATTATATTAATGTATATGTAATTGAATAAAAACGAGGAAATATAAGTATATTCAGGGCTCAAACCAGTTGTTTGTTATACTGTATATTACTTATACAGTGTATAACTTATACATAAAAAAATACGTTAAACTAAACTAATATATATATAAATTAAATTATTAGTTTTAAAAAAATAAAAAGTGAAATAAGAGGGCATTTAGTAAACAGTTTTTTGTCTCTCTCTCTCTCTCTCTCTCTTTAAGAGATGTTATGTTGCTATGCATGTGTTGTTTGGTCTCTCAATTTAGTTAACCAAAAAAAGTTTATGAATGACAAAAAAAAATTTAAAAAATAATTTGTTTTTTTTTGTTAGACTTTGATTACATAGTTTGCAAGTATATAAAGAAAAACATTTAGTCATAAGTGAGCTAAAAGATGGGATCAATTAGTAAAATAAAAATAAATGAAAAAAATTAAGTAAAACTAAACAAAAAAATGCAAATTTATTGGTCATTAACTGGTCTTTAAGTTTCCAAGACGTCAGTAATTATTAATTTTAAAAGCATTAGCTGTCGGAGTATTTTGATTTAAAAAATGACTTTTTGTTTATTATTTTTATTTTTTATTAGTTATAATCTGCAGAAAAGCAAACTTCAGAGAGAAGTCTTCAAAATCGATACCTAAAGCCAAAACCAGAGCTGGAGTTGAGTTCAAAGTGACTCTCTATTCGTCAACAGACTTCTAACAGCCTTTAAAAAGGTGTCGTCTCTCAGTTGACTACTACTGGCGCTGTTGACTAAACTTTTATACCGTTTTTCTAAACTAACTTTCCATAAGTTTTTTTTCACTTAATCGGTCAGTCAGTCAGTCATCAGTCAATTAGTTTGTGCCAAAAGTCTTTCACTAAAAATATTCAACAATGAGTTTAAAAGTGATTGCAAACAATAAACTGTTTATATATTTGACGGCAATTCTGGTGGTGCTGTCCATGACTTTCAACTGTTGTGATAATTATATTGTCTTAGAAACCGAGAAGACATACCAAAGTCTTTTGAATAGTTTTTTTGAAACCAAACAAATCGATAACAATGATCTTCAATTAGATAGTAGTAGTGATGTAAATGTCGACAATAGTGTCCAACACATCCATAATGATTCAAATTTAACGACAAACCAAATAAAACCTAAAAAAGTGAATCCAACAGAAAAGCCGTGTTCTTCGTGTATTAAAGAAGAGTTTGAGTTAAGTCAGACACTTATAGAGGAACAACAATTACAACGATTAGAGTATATTAAACAACAGATACTTTCCAAACTAGGGATGAGTGAAGCGCCCAAACTATTATACAACTCTATCCACACTAATAATTGTGAGTATAATTTTGTTTTGTATTAATTTTAAACAAAAAAATATTTTTAATCCCTTTGTAACGATTATATATATATATATATATATATAAAACAGTCGTCCAGTTATTGGAAGCGTCATCATTGGCACTGCCAGTACCGCAACCAACACCCGAACCGGTTGCCAAACGCGAGATTAAAGACAGGGATAAAGTGTTTATATTTCCGACACTAAACGTTTCGCGTCTAAATAAACCACAATTCAATATATCTGTTAACGATAACAAACAATTTTATTCAGTCAAATCAATTAATAAAATTACATTATTTGTCAAAAAGACATCTAAATTATTGGCAGTCAATGATGATGACAACAGTCACGTTGATAATGATCTTACAATTATATCGACAACAGTTCCAGTGTTGACCCGTTTACAGGAAATTCTGAATATGAGAGTTCTCGGCATTTTAAGTCCACAACCGGTTAACAATAATATCAATGAAATCGATAGACTCTTCAATTGGATTCAATATGATTTAACTGATATATTGAGACATGAAGTGATCAATACAAACAAATTGGTCTCATTTGACAGCGATAGCTATGATCTAAAGGATTCATTTATAACTATTGAACACAACTATAATAATGTATGTATTGTTGATTATAAATATTATTTATTACTTAATTTATTCAGTATTTATAGTATAAAATCTAAAAATGATTATTAAGATTATTTTAATAATCAATATTACTGTATACCATATGCAATGTAATGCTATATACATATTAATAGCAATAAGACCTTATAATAATCGCAATAATTCAATATTTTATATGCGTTTAATTATATTGAATATATATTTATTTTTATCAACTATATCAACATTTTATTAAAAAATTAATTATCAAAGATTAATTTAAAGAAATTTAAATATATATATTATTTAATATAACAATAGCTAATAAATAGCAGTAAATTTGTTTTATTCGTAATGTTTTGTATTGAATTCAAAACATTATTTTTATTCAATATTTTAAAAATACAGTATATTTATTATTTGCAATTTTATTATTTTTAATTATAAATTTTTCAACAACAAAAAAATACTAGACAAGCTTTTATTTATCAAAATACTTTTTAGTATCATAATTATTACATGTTTTAAGCATTATTTTTACTATAAAAGTGCTTATTTGAAAACAATATTGTGTTTAGAAAATATTTTTTATGCTGATCTACAATATTTGTCAAATAAGCAATTTATGTCGTAATAAATATATAGTATTTAATAAGATATGCTTATAATACATATACTGTGTACATATATTGTTATCAAACATTAATTAAAAGCTATATTTGTGTGGATATATCTATTATTTATTAAAATGCTATCTTTAAATAAAATAAAAAGTTTAAACTTTTTTAATATTAGATTATAATGAATTTCAAAATATCATTTATATTTATTTATTAAACAGTTATTCTTTAGTTAATTTGTATTCAGAAAACATTTAAAAAGAGTTTGAAAACATTAGGCATTGAATTTAATCGTTTATATACTGTACTACTAATACATTAACTAATTTATAGATATTTATGTCCAGAATATTCTCATATATATATCTAACAAAGTCGTGAATTTTAATAAAGCTATGCTTGTTGTTGATCACATGTTCAACACATGTATATATATATATATATATATTAATTTGTGTGTACTTTGAATTTACCATAATTTAAATGTTAATTTTTTGCATTTTAAAAAAGTACCTTGCTTAATCAGTGTAATAGTCAATCATAGATTTAAAATGTTTTTATTTATCTATATTTTAATTTATTGAGAAAAAAATTAACGATAGTATATTTTGAGAGATAAAATATCTTGTTATTTTTTATAAAACATTAAAGTGTCATTTAATAAAAAATAAAAACAAAAACAAATTAATTTAGATATAACTTTTTTTATATAAAAATAATACAATTATGGGTACAAATTAAGTACAAGTTTTTATAATTTATAATTTTAATGTTAAATTAATTATAATAAATTTTAAATAATAAATTTAAAAACATAAATTACTAGCTTATGTCATATTTAGTTATTTTATTTAAATTAGTTATTGTAATTATAAACTACTAAAATCTAAATTTTTTGTTATATTATTTGAAAATTTATTTATTACTTTATATAAAATTTATGTATAGTAACTAAAAAATCATTATTTTATTAAATAATTATATATTAATATAGATATATTAGAGATAAACCAGTTTCTTATAAGTACAGTATGACATTGATTATTTCTTTATTTATGATATTTGTTAATATATATATATATATATATATTATTTATATATTAAATAAATTTTCACAATAAAGCCACAGCTGGTAATTATAAACCAAATCACGATTTTATTGATATTTTCAAAAAAGTAAAAATAAATTTTAAATTATTAGTTAATAATTCAAAATTCAAACTGAAGGACAACACATCGAGATTAGTGAACGATTTTTGGTTTACATAATTAATAGTTAATATTAATTTATTATAATTTTTATTATTACTTAGATTCATACTTAGATTCAGATTTTTTAAAAGAAAATAATAGAAAAATTTAAATTATTATTTTAAATGTCAATTTTGATTTGCTTATGAAAATTAAATTTTTTTAACCAATCTCTAGTTGAGATAATACTATAATATATCATATAAATGTTTTTCATATGACATAACAATCATTTTGTTTACATTAAAAAAACTTGAAAAAATTACATAATTTATTGGTCGTAATAAAAATGTTAACAATTTATCAATTAAAACACTATTATAAAAATAAATGACAAATATTTTATTACCCGTTTGACTAAAAACAGATTCGTCGAAGTCGTCGAAATTTTGAATGTAATGCCAACTCTACTTCGTGTTGTAGGGAAAGCTTTTATGTCAACTTTACAACTATTGGTATAAAAAATATAATTGAATTAATAATTGAATTATATTTTTGTTAATTATAATTACTGTCCAAAAAATAGGTTGGAATGATTGGATATTACAGCCACCCGGCTATTATGGCAACTATTGCAGAGGTATTGTATGAAGTCATATATATATATATATATATATATATATATATTTATGATTGTATATGACATCACTAATAAAAAAAACTTAATTTATTAATAAATATGACATAAAATAGGCAAATGTGACATAAGTAATGCCCGATACCATCACACAACTGTCATTGGTTTGTAACCAAACTTTTTGTTTCTCGAAAAAATAAAATAAATTTATTTAATTAATTAATTAACTAATTAATTAATAGGCAAATATCCAGCTATTAGTTTATGTTGTTCGCCCAGAGAGATGTCTCACGTAATTATTATTTTTATTATTATTTTAATGATTAGTTTTAGATAATAATAATAATTAATTATTTTGTTTGATATAAAAATAGATATCATTGATATATTTGGACGACACTGGAACTGTTTACCAGAAGAATTTGAATAATATGGTTGTCGACGCCTGTGATTGCGCTTAACATAACATAACATAACAAAACTCATAATCAAATTTGTTTTGTTTGTTTGATTGATTTTGGTCTCATTACTCATAATCACATTCATATCTTTCTTATCATAATTTATGTTATTTTAATTAATTAATTATCTTTTAGTACATTATTTTTAAAATAAGTATTTTATATTTTTTACAAATTTACATTTTAATTGATTGATTTTTGTTGTTGTGATAAAATGATTAATAAATATAAATTACTATTTTTTAAATATCTATTTATATTCAAATATTAGTAATAATTATCAAATTGTAAAGTAAATGAATGTTTTTAGATTTTTAAATCTCATTATCTATTTATCAATTATTATGATATAAAATAACAATTTTATATTTTAATCGATTATTAGTAGCAAACAATTACCTGTAATATTGAAAGTGTTTATACTATAGTTATAACTGTTTCTAATTACAGTATTAATATAACCTTGGTCAGTTTTGCTATTTTATTTTTAAATTAAAATTACTTTAGTTAATTATAATATTTTCAAAAAATTAACCATCTAATATATGTTTATTAGAAAATTATGCAAAAATAACATTTCAATAATGACATTATGATATGTTTATGCTAAAGAAAAAAATGATACAAAAAAAAATGATACAAAAAAAGATGTTTACAAAAATATTATAAATTATTGCTATCATAATACTGTATAACTCATATATATTTTATTTACAATAATGTAAAATAAAACTGACTATTGTTTAGTATGTATCGTAATTACAATAAATAAATATAACAATAGATTTAAAATACAAAATAATGATAGAGTAATTTAATACATTATTAATGTATATATGAATGATTGATTCAAAACTTTATATTTTACATATTAATGATTATAATATTTAAAATAATAACTTATATATAAAAAATATCTATAACTTTATGGCTTTTTAAGATTTAAAACTTCTTCTTGTAGATCAAATACATGTCATTCTTTGACTTTTCTTTGACATCAATATCACACTCTTTGATCAAATCTTTAAAGAGATCATTAAAACAACTGTAGCCATACTGTTTGGGATCAATTGGTTCAATATATGCCAATTCATATGCGTCGCCAAAGTCTTTAACACGAAGACCTCTGTCCGCATTTGAACATCGATTAGTCATTTGGATTACATTTATGACTCTTTTCTTGAATTTATTATCAAATTTGGTAGTCTTTGGCGATGTAAATGTAATTGTGTTTAGTTTGTTCTCCAAATCAGATGTCGTTCGCAACAAAAGCCATTCACTACTATCTAATGAACCGTTTTTGTCAATTGAAAACACCTGAGGAATGGATCCAAATAACTCAATTGGAGAACAATATCCAAGTTTGGAAGCCATCAATGGCTCTCTGAATGTAATTAAATACAATCTCACAAACATCTTAATTGTCAATCCTTTGGGATATTTATCTAAAATAATCTTAAATCGATTCAGTTCTTGTCTTTTCACAGAAGACTCGCCTTTATTGCTATCGTTTTTTAAGTCGACATTATTTCCATTGATTAATTGATTTCGGTTATAATTATCATTTGTGTGACCGCAGGCCGTAATCAATAAACCATCGGATGATTTGTCCAAACGAACCAATTCCGGTATTTTATGTAAAAACTGTTCAAAAGTTGTTGAACCAAAACGATTGATATCGAGTTCGGTTCCGTAAACAACTTGATAGACAATTGGAAAGCAAACCAAACTAATTGACTTATACTTAGCCAACAAATGGCTTATTTTGACTTTAATTTCATTGGGAATAACCGATGAGTCGGGCAGTGGACAGACAGCCTTTCGCTTAATATTCTTCGGTATCAATCGATTGACTAACAAATCGTCAAAATCGTCACATATTTCAGTTGTCTTATCCTCATCTGTTGTTGTCTTCAGATTCAACGAGAATGGCTTCATAGAGACTGTTCTATCTCTGACTCTTGTTTTCAATCGGAAAATATTGGGAATCGGCCGAAGAACACAACATTCGTCTTCTTCTTCCTCTTGTCCTCTTTGATTGGCCACCAAATCTGCGATGTGATCAGTGTTGGCGTTGGCCTTACAAAACACTTCATATTCGCCATAATTTCGATGTTTATCTTTAACTCTGATAACCAGTTCATCGTTCATGTGTTGAATCAACTCCAACACCGATCCGAAGCCATATCGCGTGACCGGCAAAGCGTGACCTTCGCTCTGGCGATACTCTCGGCACAGATCAGCTATTGTCAAATGATTGCCACTGGAGATGATCAACGATCGCAACACTGTCTTCAACTGATCCATTGTCTGTTTGTTGTTCGCATCCATTATTGTCGTCATTATTGTCCAAAAAACCGATTATTCACTAAATCATTGACTAAACGACGCAATAATTATTATTTCATTCATTCATTCAATTAATTTATAAACAAAAACATTGACTCAAAAAATATTATACAAAAACAAACATTGAGTTCACGTTTGCCTCAAAAAAACATTCAAATGTGTGTATAATTTAGGGGACAATCACCACATCAATCAACAGTTGATTTGATTATCAATACTCTTAACATTCAATCGAGTAATCAATCGATAAAATTAACTAAAAAAATATATTAATCATTGATTTGATCGTTAATTTTGTTTGATTACATCAATTGTTTCATTAATTATAATGTGTTTATATATATATGATATTTAGTGTGAATACAGTCCCTCAACAAAACACTACAACTATTTATAGCGCCATTGCTTTCATTCAATGATTAAACTTTATAAATGTTGCGACAGATATGTGTCAGCCATTACAACTAAATGTATACCTTTTAATACTACATTAGAGTATATTAAACCTATTGAACACAAATGTCCGCTAAGTTTGCACTACGACTACATTGAAGAGACATTGGAAGGCACAGATGTGATCGTTAGTTGATAAGGCTTTTCAATTGATGTTATCATTTGTTACACAAAAATAATAATCAAAAAACAGTTGTTTTTATTTGAGTCAGTTTTGAATTGAATGTCAGTATTCAGTGTTAAACTGATTTGTCTATCAATTGGTGTCCACACCTCAAGACATTGTTAATGATGGCTATGTTGTTGTTGTTGTTGTTGTTGGACATAGTTTGTATTGTTTGAATGATTTGATGACCAATTGATGTCATCAAACAGTTATTCGGKTTTAAATCAATTGAATGCCAAAAGATTATTGTCATTACAAAACAAACGTATGAATCAATTGATAGACAGGGATCAGCTGAAGACAACAATGGATGAACCAATAGATAGCGATAAGGATGATACCAATGATGACTCTGAGACCGATTCGCAATCTGGATCTGATGGCGACGAGAGTTCCGGTATTACATGACATAGATTTTTGTTAACTCAATTGTCGACATATTTATAACACAATTGTTTGATTTCAATGACTTAGACATTGATGAAGAAGAGTGTGACCGAAGAAAAGATGAATGTACTCTTCAAATGAGTGATTTGGAGAAACAATTTCTGGCACTTAAAGAACAACTATATGTTGAACGACTGTCTCAAGTGGAGCGCAAACTGGAGGAAGTGAAAGCCGGAAAAGCTCACGAATATCTGCAACCGTTGGAAGAGTTGCAGGAAAATATGAGAGTCCGTACCGAAGTGGCCGGCATTGTCTACCAATTGAAACTGACAAACATTAAGTGTCAGTTTGAGGCCGAATTGGTGGCAAACGACCAGAACTTAGAGGTTTGTTGTCTTTTACTATTATTACCAAATACTGTGATTTTAATTATAATATAATATATCGTTAGAGTGAAAAACAGTTATTAAAAGACAGCATAAGGCAAGACGTAGAGGAAAAGTTACGGCGACTCGAAGAGGATAGAAATAGTATCGATAGTGACATTTGGAGCGATACTTATAATAAGAAAAAGAGACGGTATGGCGGGTCAGGTGGCTATGGATATGATAGAGACAATAGGGATTCATTTAGTTTACAAGACAGACGTCGCAAACCAGTGACAGTGTCGGGACCTTATATTGTGTATATGCTTAAGGATAGCGACATTATGGAGGACTGGAATGTCATACGACGCGCCCTTAAATCAGTTTCCTCTTCATATTTGTAAATAATGTAAAATTGATTATTAATTTAATAATTTTTTAAGTATTATATAATGTATTTTCATTTATGACTTTAATATTTATGTAATGTTTTTGACGAAAAAATACAATATTTTTAATCAATTAAGTTATATTTAAAAAATACATAAATTTACAATTAATGATTGATTGGGTTTTCTCTTTTAATAATTATTAATTACATTTGATTTTTGAGTGCCTCAGCCCTGACAGCAGCGATCAGGTCTTGATTGATAAGAAATACAAATCTAAGACCAGCGATCTCTACGACTGAGTTATTGCTAATTTTTAGACAATTACCGGATCCCAGTACTGGCTTCGAGTCTATATAAAAGGGACGTTTGCCAGTATTGGCAATAATAAAGTCACCGTTTGGTTGCAATTTTATGATTCCCTGTTTGCGCGATATCTTCGTGGCCGGACCTTCAAGCTGTAGGTCTACATCGACAACAGTATCTTTAGTACAGCGACCTAATGTAATCTCACGCGAGCGCATCAGATATCGGACAAGTCGTCCACGAAGAACAGCCAGTGTCTGGTTATCGAAATCGGACGGTGCGACTCCTGTAATACTGTCAACTAAGACCTGCCATTTAGGGATCTCGTTCTCAAGCAATCGTATCTCACGCTTAAGTTTTCTGTCACTAAACACTAGTTCCTGTTGTAGAGTCTCTTCCTTAACATTATTTGCTACCAATGTTGRCAACTGTTGCTGTAATTCTTTATCGACCTGTTCTTCTGCATCACAAAAGTTAATCACTTCTTCATGTCGTGGCAATGGATGTATCGTTTGATCAGATAATAAATGAAAATGTTTAAGAAGTGTCCAATGATTTGACAATGACTTTGTGGTTCGTTGAGGTAAAAACACATCGGGATGTTTGAACATTAACTGTTCAAATGTCTCTAACGTTGGCTGACTTGTCGATGATATCTGTTTAAGAATTGCTTCTTCCGTTTCACTGAACAATGCTTTTGACTGAACCTGTGTTATGATATCTGGATGCAGTTGTCTCATAGCGGCGACGGCCACTTTGGCAATGGTCGCGTCATACAACAGTGCATACCATCGGTCCTCAATGTCTTGAAGAGTGAATTTACACGAAAACTTGACACTTTGGTGGACACAATCCAAGTCGCTTGTCTGTTGAACGCCCAAAATAAGAGCCAAATCATCGGTTGGTTTCCATCGGCCGATATCTTTCATTGCATTGTTGTGTGCATTCCGATAACGGCGTCTCTTGGATGATACGGACGACGCCAATGGCTTTACTTTTTTAGCCGCCGGTTCTAGCGTTGGTGTTGACAGACCACTAGGTAATGGACTGACCATCGATGCTACTGGTGGTCCACCCTTACCACCGGTACTGACGGTAAGACTGTTAGACATCGTTCTCAAACGTTGAGTCTTCGGGTATGTAATACTGCTTTCGACTAACTCGTCGTCAAACTTCTTGCGTTTGATACTTCTCGATGAACTCCTTCGCTGTGTTTGTTGGCCATCAATGCTGTCCCTCTTCGATGAAGACGAAAACACCTGACTTCTCTTAGACGAGCCTTTATTGCTACCGGTGGGCGTCGATATGGGAGAAGTGGCCGGAGTGGTCACTGCCGACAGTGTGGACGACGACATCGATGCCGGCGTAAACTGCGAAGACTGACTCGACTGTCCATTTAGTTCTCTCGATGTCATCTGTGTTTGAATAGTCAACGGATGGCAAACACTTGAATCCATTGACGACTCTAACGGTGTATTCATATCATCGGACATATTGTTGTCGACAAACAATATGTTTGGATCCACTGTTTGTGTCAATCAATTGCTGCCATTTGTTTGCCAATAGATTTATACTATTATTGAAAAACCATTCATTTCACACACAAAGCATTACAAAGGGGTCACACAATTAGTACGTCAAACAAAATACATTACAATACACTGTGTTTTACAATATTTGAAAAAAATTAAGCTTTTTTTATTTGAYAAAAAAAGCTTTCAAATTATAAATATTTACATTTAATTTATTAAATTTAATTAATTAATTAATTTGTAATTTTTATAAATTTTTRATCATTATTATTAAATTTAATGTTAATAGTTTTTTATAATAATACAATAGTAATAGTTTTAGTTTAATTTGTTCAACATTTAAGATGTTTTTATTGTATAATTTTTGAAAAATAAATAAATAATTTCTAATATATCGCTAACTAAAACAAAAAAAATAACAATAAATATTATAATTTTTCATATAATGTAAAGTAATATAAGATAATGTTCAGAGACTTAAATCGATATTATAAAAAATTACATAAATATTTTACTGTATAATATAAAATTAATATATTTAAAAAATGTTTAAACTATTATTAGTAAATTTTTATATTTGCAAAATTTTATTATTTTATAAACTATTTTGAAATTAGTAGTTTTTAAAAACATTAAAAGATTTTAATATTATTTTTGTTTAATATAAAGAATAATTTATATATTTATTAATAATTATGAATAAATGTAGTTAAATTAATAAAGAAATTACAATAAAATTTATTTTTATTAAAAAAATACTTGAAATAATTTTCAAATAAAAATATTTAGTTAATGTTGAGGGAAAAAATCTTTTTGAACTCATAAATTAATCTTAAAATTAAAAAAAAAAACTTTTTATAATTGTTTAAACCATTAGATTCAATAGTTTTTCAAAACTATAGTATTATGTAATAAAATTTTATTATTAAAACAAAATCATAACTACAATTATATGATAAAAAGTGAAACGTTTAGCAAAAAAATGAGTAATTATAAGCCCAGAATATATATAATAATAATAATAGTGAATACTAGTATGTGTTGTCCATTGTATGAACCGGTATTGGATAAGAGTGTATGTGTGCGTCAATAGTGGGTTGTCCCGTATCCCCAAAACGGGCAGTTCAGTTGTTTAACTACCAGTGCATCCAATCTTCAGGTGAGTCACACGGATTGAGAATAAAGTTTACTTTTTTCAGTAACAACTCTAAGACCCAAACGAACGGCATATCACTCTTCTTATCGCTTATTCTTCTTATATATGGTTTTGAGTCGTCTTCTAGTTTTTGTAATCATAATGTGTAACCATTTATTGTGACCACTATTTCTAGTTTAAACAATCGGTGATTACAACAAACATTTTTTGATAACAATGTCTATCAGGTATTTATTCTATTTTTTTTAATTAAAAATTATTATTAGTTATATTTATTTATTAATTAGAATTAATATTTATAATTATTGCATAATATTAATTTTATTTATTTATTTAAAAATAATTAAAAATCTAATAACAATATAAATTTTGTACTAATTTAACTAAATATTTTTTAATATCTAGTATTTTATTTAGTTTTTATTATTAAATATAAGTGCTTTTTAAAGAGCTAGCAGTTTACATAATTTTTAGTATAATTAAGTTATTTTCTTATATAAAGATTATAGAAATATTGTCGAAAAACATTTCTTTTGTCAAACTAATAATATATTAATATTTATGTAAATRTAAATATATTTTMATAAATACATTATTAGTTTGTATGTATTTAAAATCAATTTCAAGATTTTTAGTGTAAAGCTTACGAAATAAGTTAGTATAATAACAAATAACAACTAACAGGTGTAAATGCCAATGAAATTGACATACAATGATAATATGATAATAATATGGGAAATATAATATTAATATTTGTATATTCAAATTATATAGTAATTATGTCAATTTTGTTGCAAACAATGTTTAATAAAAAGTGATATAAATCAGTGTAGAGATAGGCCACCGAAGGACAGGTGCGGCTCTGCTTCCGAAACATTATTCATTGAATAATAACATAAAACACAATTAAAAGCGTGTTTTTAGACACGAATTGATCCCAAATGTGGATAAATAGTTGACTATATGATGGCATGCAATCGATACAAAACAATTGCCATACAATAGCACCAAATGGGCACCAAATGGCAGGTGCAGTGAATCACGAGTCCACTCAATTCACAATTCATTTAATAATAATAGCCGTAAAAACACTAAATACTAAATACTATCCAAATTTTTAACAGTTATTTCTTGTATTTTAATTTTTAAGTATAAATAAATATAAATAGTATTTAACTCTCTCTACACATACTAAATGAAGAGCAGGTGTATTGTAAAATATTTACATTATTTATGATATGTTGTGATTAGATATTTGTAGTAAACTAATGGCAAATCAGTTAAGTCTTAAATACTCTTTTAAAAGTCGTGATGAAGTGTTTGACCATTTCATCAATAAAGTCACGTTTAGAACATAGCGTTCACTATATTTGATGCTTAACTTACTTTACGATATCTATTCAATAATATTAAAGCAATGGATCAATGAATATATTCTATATTCAGTATAAATATACAGTATATATACAGTATATTGTATTATATCCATTCATCTATTGTATTACATATTATTTATAGCATATAATGTATAACATGTATATGAAAGCTTTTTAAAAGATTTTAAAAAAATATCACATCATATTTGTATTATTCAATTCAAATCAATTAACTTAAATTAAAAATATATTTATCTAACATTTTACAAAATTATTTTGTATATAATTTGACAAAATTTCACACATTACATACAGATATAGATTATTGATATATCTCCATATTTATATATAAATAACAATAAAAGTTAATTTACTAATAAAATGATTTGTTATTTTTTAATCCCAAAATAGCATGACTTATAATTTTGATTCACTAAAGTCGACAAAAGGCGCCTCAAAATTGAGGAGAGATCTGATTAATTCAGAGATCGCTAATCTTCGCGATTTACTACCACTTCCATCATCGACTCGGCAAAGACTATCACAGTTGCAGTTAATGGCATTGGTTTGTGTGTACGTAAGGAAAGCCAATTACTTCCAACACGGTATGGACTGCTTTTGACATTATTGTATTTAATAAAAAATATGTATTTAATTACATTTGCCATACAATGTACGGCAAAGCACGGGACAGATGCTGTTGTCTGGAGTATCGATATTATTGTTTTTGTTATTTAAGATTGTGCTACAAATGTATGTATCGATGACTTGTATTGAAACAATTAAATGAAAAGTGTGTTTCAACATTAACCAAAGCAGCTGTATATCACTAATCATAGATATATTAGTTATAGTATTATTGGTAAACCACTTGCAATCCAATAGTATTAACTATCTATTAACTTATTAAAATCAGTGAATAGCAGCTGCAGTAAAGTCTCCCACAAATAAAAAAAAAGTCTCTCCAGTCTCAGCCCTCAAGCAATATGTTTGTCGTGACATTTGTATAATAAGTATCTTATATTATATAATCTAATAATTATACAATAACTATGTCTGATATGTTTTACAATATTGTGTACATTATTGTATTATTATTATCTAAAATTAACATTTATTAGTCATTTATTATTATTATTTTTTCTTAATCGATTTGGAGCTAAAATTACGATTAAAATTAAAAATAACCATACAAACAAAATAGGTTCAACTAAAAAAGCAAGTTTTATGTTAATTCAAAAAAAAATAATAAAATAATTTCAATTATAATGCTTATAATTAATAAAATCATATAATAAATGTTAGTTAGTTATTAAAATTTTTATTTAATAAATAATAATGAATAAAAACTACATAAAAACTAAAAAACGTTAAAAAAAAGTTAGAATTATTAAAATAATAAATATGAACTAAATATATTATAATTTAAAAAATTATCATTAAATTATTATTTATTTTTAAATTAATAAATTTATATAACAATTTATTACATATAACAAGTTAATTATTGGAATTATGCTAATAAATATTGCCAAAACTAAGATTCATATATTTATTAAACATTGATTAGCAGGTAATTAGTGTTTATATTTTGGTTTCATAGGATTTGCCAAAATTATTACTTATAGCAATATTTATCTATGTTTTAGTTTTTGTTGATATAATAAGCAACTTAATTAAAAATATATTGATAAATATTGTACAGTATATTCAATATAAACCAATATATATATATATATATTATGTATAAATTAATTTACTTTTTAAAAATAACAAAAATTTACAAATTATCTCAAAATCTACATATATAGATAAAAAATTATGTATACAAAATAATTTTTGTTTCAAAATCGATTTCTGACTATTTTTAATGATTAAAAAAGTAAATTAAAAAATATTTAGCAAAAAATTGTTTAACAATATATTGAGAGGGTTTACCCATAATTGTGTTTTGAATTGATATTGTTGTTGACTGTCCTTAAGGGCCAAACCATCAGTGGTTTACTTGTAATAAATGAAAAATTAGTTTTTGTTGGTTAAAGTTAAACATTTTTTGTCAAAATATTGCTTGAAGTTTATGTACAGCATATTGCCTGAGGAATGGCTGTATAAATAATCTATTATTTTGCTAATATATATTGTGGTAATTTAAAAGAAAATAAAAAAATTTATTTAAATATTTAAAATAAATTATTATTGCAAAATATGARTGCCAGTTATACACATATAAAACAACTAAAAAAAACTATTGTTAATTGAGATCAAAAAATATTATTATTATTTGTGAAAAAAATTATGAGTTCATTGAGATTTGTGGTATTTTAATGCATTATTCTTTTAAAAAATAACAATAGATTTGATGAAATAAAAATGTATGAGAGAGTCGTCTAAAAAATTGCATCGTTTGCCTAAATATTAGGTGGAGTTAAATACATAATTAAAGTGAGGCCAACACTGGAAACTGCTATTATTGACATTATTATAGCAACCAAATGGTCTCACAATAAGTGCAACAATTTATGATATATATAAAGCAATGCAATCCACCCTCACATTCAAATATTTTGGCACTTTATTTGCCATAAGTTATATACATTATACATATTATTATAACTATTTTCTGACTAAAACACTGCAATACAAAACTATTTATTTTAAGTTAAACTTTGAAATATATATAACTAAGATGTAGGCTTCTGTGTTACTTTAGTTTAGTTATTTAAATGCAAATAATTTTATATATAGCAAAACAATATAAAATCAAAATTAATTTAATTTTAAAGAAAAAAATCAAATTAAATTATTGTATAAAATATTTCATTTGAAAGTTATTAGTAAGTTTAACATGAAAAACTAATATGTAATCACTTTATTAAAATTAAATTTAAAATATTTCATAAAGTAGTTATTTATAAATATGATATTATGCTATTTTTAAAATTATTGTTGATTTGCAGGATTGAAAACTAAAAAAAAAATATTTTAAAGATTGATTTAATTTTTAAAATCCGATTGTAGATATTATATACATAATACAGTCTCTGTTTAGAAAAATATACAAATCATTTTATATTTATTTTTTACAAAAATCAGAAATATAGCCAAATTTTTTTTGATAACTATTATTATAACTATTAGATACATAGCTAACAAATCAAAGTATTATTATTATTAGTAGTATTATTGTACAGTATATTAAATAATATACAATTCAATGTTATGTTAATGGCCTTTACATTACATAACTTTAAGTTGAGTTAAGTTTTAGGAAAAAGACTGAAATTCCCTTTGATTTTGATGGCACAGCAGGTCTTACAATGACTTCCAGAGAGAATGACATTCACTATTGATTACTTCAAAAAAAACTTATGGATCAAAAATACAGACCTCTCACTGTTTAAGAGTATTTGCAAAAGGATTTTCTTTTATTTGATTGCATAACTTATCACTATATTTATATATATACAGCCTATGTATACAAAACATGTCACTTAACATAACATATCCCAGTATAACCCAATTTAGTGGTCATTATAAGATATTTCAATCAGTCAACTAAATAATTATTATTGATTAGCTTATATAATCCTAATGTAAATATTGAATTAAATAAAATATTGTAGACATAAAATTGTATAAATTATTTAATAAAAAAGATAAATATTAATAACTAGAATACACATAATAATACTTAAGCTTAATATGTAATGTTTATAAAATTATTTTATTTTACTATTATATACTATTATATACTATTATGTTATTATATTATTTTACATGTAATTTATTTTATATAATATATAAACTAAACTAAATATAATTTATAATATCTATTATAGTTATTCATTCAATATCTCACTAATATTATATAAAATGTTAGATAAAATTGTGATTATACAGTACATTAAGTTAATTGTTAGTATTATTAAATAATTTTAGTATTTATGCAATTATTATCTAACATATACTATATAATTATAGAAATTATATATGAGTTGTTGTTTAAGTTGTTATAACATATATTGTTTAAGGCTTTGATAAAAATAAGAGCGACATATTTTTTAAAAGCACCGGTACTTTACTGGTATTATAATTGGCAACAAATATTATTTATATGGCTATAAAAAAGAGAGACTATTATTTGTTTGAATTTATATATAATAGCACTTAATTTACTCATAAACTATCTTAAAGGCAAAGTCTCATTCAAATTGAATGGAAATGTATTCACGTATTTCACTGTTGAGATAGAGAGAGACCTGTATTGAGCCAAATATATGTCCGATCTGTATATATGTATACTATGTATATATAATCGTGAGAACCAAATGAATCTATGGATAGATATATGGGCTGTTAGTGCCCTCGGGTTTTATATCACAAACCCATCAATAATATGTTATTTAGTCATATGGTTTACTATGGCTTTACCAATATGTATATAATATGTATATATAGCCCGCATGTAATCTATTTGAGTATTTAATGCTATTAACTGTAAAAAAACTTAAAAACTGATTACGATTTGCATAATCAAAACAATAGTAAACATAAGCAATTAAATTATACAAACTTATTGCTTATTGCTTACAAATTGCATAAATATTATTCAACATTATTAACAAAACAAAATACATTACAATATTTGGATTATTTTAGATTTAATTTATTTTTTTAATTTATTGTTATTCTAGCCTTTCGTAAACATGATTTGACACCAGAGATACCAATGCCTCACTTTGGCTTCTCAAAGGTAATACATTTTTTATTAATATATTTGTTATTATTGCTATACATTTTTATTTTATAATTATTATTATGAATTAATTATTTGACATTAATCATTCAATAATCATTTATTAATATATAATTTTTGCATTGCATATAATTGATACATGTATATCTACAGTCAATATATATATATATACTGTATATATATAATTAAATATATGTTTTAAGCAATTATTCTAAACGTTTGCATAATTTATATTATTTGAAATTGTTATATAAAATTATCGTCGATTGCAGTAGTAGTTAAAAAATTTTTGTGACAAATAATTAATTTAATTTTATGCTCTCTTATTTATTGTAGACTATTATAAATTATAATCATATTTATAAACTGACAATTGAGTAAATGATAGGACAGGGAGGCAAATGGATAATGAAAATCAATGAAATGTCAAATGAAAGTAATAGAGAAACGTTTGGAAAAATAATTATATAGAAGTTGTGTTATGACATCCCATGTATTTATATTATGACTAAATCCAATTGCAGAGCACTATAATTATGAATGTAATAATAAATTAAATGTTTGTATGAATTGATTATAAATAGCGAACAGAATTTTGATGAGAAAATTATATCAATTAGTAATTACAAACACTTATAATGTTATTGACTTTCATGAGAATCAATGCAATAAAATTGATATAATTTTTTCATTTGATTAACAAAATTTTTTATGACGATATACATGTGTATTAACAGCCAAAATGACTGTTAAATAAATTGCCTCTGTGTAGACATGTATGTTATTTTTAATATTAACAATTATTAACAATATTATGACCTAAACCGACAAATAGATATGTGGTTAATGTGTGTGCAATAATTAATTTTAGTGTACTTATTAAAAAACGTTAAAATAAATTATAATGATTAAGTTTGAATTTTATAGAGAAAAAAATTAATATCCATTTATTAATTATAAAATATAGGCTTTAAGTGGATTCTTAATGATGACAACACAAAATGGGAAACTTCTTTACATATCAGACAATGCGGCGGAATATTTGGGACACTCTATGGTAAGTGTGATGATAATAGTCGTGTTATTATAGTAGTGCATAAAAAATGCATCAGATATTTATAGGATAAATAATTTATTTGATAATTATACGTATCACTAATAAATTGTGCAAATGGTCAGCAAAAATAAAAAGTATAATAAGTTTATATATATATAAATAATATATAGAATATATATATATATATATATATATATATAAAGCAAATAATTTGGGAGAGAAGTCATGATTAAAAATCATTGGCACCACTATTCCTATTAATAGCAGTGAAAGATCGGCGCTTTTTTATACATAATATAATAGTATATTTTATTAAAGTTAAGCAAAAGTGATATGCGCTGAGAATTTTAAGTCAAATCCGCATACCATAGGCAGGTGGAGCCAACCCCCCTTATGTACCCCCACTGTCCCCGTACATCATGTGTACCTCATGACAAATATGCATTTCGTGAGAGTTTGTGAACCCGTACTTCTTTACTTGACTCTCGAGCGCCGGTCTTGCGCTACGCCGTCACCACAACCTCACCGGTGCTTATGTTTATACAATTGCTATCGATTTTTTCGTTAATATATTGAGAGAGAGAGAAAGAGAGAGAAAGAGAAAGAGAGAGAGAGAGAGAGAGAGAGAGAGAGAGATTAATTTCTGGGCAGTTATCTAAGTGCTCAATGAGCCAATCTGAGAGCAATCTCACTGTTTTGATGAGCATTTGGTTGGCTTTCGTAATGTTTTAAGCACAGCCTATATGTGATGTTGTGATATCTGTTTTGCAATTATAATCCTAAAGGGGAAGCAAATACACTACAAAAAAGCGATGCTCTGATAGTTAAATGGCCTCACGATTTGTCTTATGATATCATATATAATAAGCCAACAGAAAAATGAAAAATAAGTGAAGATGCAAACGGATGGCAATATAGGTCGTCCCTAATATTGAACGTGTGTGGCGTCTATTGGCGTCAACATAACATATTAGTGAAAGTTATTACTGTATAACATGTTGTCTGCCTCTCAAAAAGCCATCCAATGATGAGTTGCATAATTAGTTGCATCTCATCTCTCTTTCTTTCTTTCTTTCTTTCTCTTAGCCCTTAAGATGTGTTTACAAACCATTTAACTATTTTGTCTCAAATCTTTCCGCTACTGTTATACTACTACAGTATCAGCCGTTTAGGTCCCGGAACTGTTTGCCCCCAAAAGGTCACACTTTTTATGCTTACTTTTTCTAAATAATAATAATAATATCGATTCTGTTTTCTGTATCACAACTTTCCAACTCATGCTTCACTGGTAATAGTTTGGATACAATGTCTGTCGGCCTACACTTTAATATATATTGTATATGAGATCACATTTATTATATAATAATTGCAGTTAATATTGCATTACATACTGTTTATGATTTATTGCACATTAAATGATATTATAGTCCATTAGCATAACAAAGACAGAGACTATCAATGCATTCTTCTTAAGACATCTTAACAATTGCTTTCAAATGCAATAATAAAAATAAAATTGTTGTTATTATTAGAGCTTTGTTTCTGAAATTATATTCAAAAATGCATTGATATTATCAATCATTGTATGGTTCTAATGGTTTGATAGAAAATGACAAACAATTTAACTCATCTTAATTGAGACTTAAAGGTATGCAAAATGTTGTTTAAGTGCATATAAGTTATATACAGTATTAATATATATTATGTTGAATCCATTTAAACGATGACTAGTTTCGGCTTGAAATACATCAAAAGCCACATCAAYATCATCTCTCTCTCTCTCTCTCTCTCTCTCTCTCTCTCTCTCTCTCTCTCTCTCTCTCTCTCTCTCTCTCTCTAATAGATTTTCTACAAAAAAGTGATTTATTTGTCTTATTTCTTATGATATATCAACATAAGAACCCAATCGATGCCAACAAATTTAATCAATATTTAAATTTCTAATAAGTTTTTATGGTATACATATATATAATATATATATATATATATATATATAAGAGTTGATTGAATCACTGGTATATTCATAGTCAAGAGATAACCGGATTCTTGCCATTTGATCGCCTCATTGCTGAAACAGAGCTCATCTTCTAAAAGAGATCCCTTGACTCCAATTTCAAGGACAGCCATTTGGGAAAACTTTATTATATATAATATGTTTTATCGAAAACTTTTATATATTTCTATGATATCTATTAGTTTCGATTACCTATTAAAAAGGCAATTATTTTCTAATATAAATACACATTTTTATATGTATCGGTGGGAATTGAACTTAGTTTGCTTTCTTTTAAATAAAACTCATATATTTAAACATAATAAACTTTTAAAATATACCATTTAGTGCAGTATTTTATTATTAATAACACAAATTAGAAAAGGAAAGTATCTAACGATCCAAAAATTGTATCAAATACTGATAATATGTTTATTGTTTGTATATTTTAATGGAAAAATGCACAAAAAATTACTCAATTTAAAGCAATTATTGTGTGAATCATAGGATTAATAGTCTCTCTCTTTCTCTCTCTCTCTCTCTCTCTCTCTCTCTCTCTCTCTCTCTCTCTATCGGTGTTAAAACTTGTCTCTTTTTTTGGCTGAGGGCTTGAAAACTTGAAAAAACTTGATTTAAACTAATATATAAGCTAACAGTGCAAGCAATTGACACAACACAGTAAGTCAGTGAAAGTGTTCACACACTTAATAAAAAGGTATCATAAATAAAAATTTTATTGTTGTTCAAGACTTTTATTATAGACATTTGAAAAGTAAATTAGCAATTGTTAAACAACTTATTAGTTAGTTATTATTTAGTGTGCAATAATAAAATTAAATAATAAATATAGTCTATGAATCAATTAGGCAACAATATATATTGAATATCATACCTAAATATATACATTATATATATATATATATATATATATATATATATATATATATATATATATACAATTATATATATATCGGTATAAATTTAATAGTATATAATTTATATTGATATTTAATATACCGTAAATTAATGAATTTTAATATTTATTCAAAAGCTATATATTTTGCTACCAGTATTACTTGATAGGTGTGAGAAAGAATAAACCAAATAATAATTTTGATAAACATTTATTGAATGCAAAGTGTGAGTATCTGTTGTATGTGTTGCACAGGTAGCTAATTGTTTGATACAATTTGTTGGCCGCACCTAACAGTTAAATAGATTATACTTTCGAATGTTGAGCTCAATTCACTTGTGCTAACTTTCCTTTACAATTTTTTTATATACCTGTAGCTAAAACTAATATAATTTTGGATGCGCTAAAGTGCTACAGTTTTTTTTTGGGTGTGGGTCTAAAAAACCAGTGCTCAGCTTATGTATATACTGTATATACAGTAAAAGTTAATATAACGTTTGCGGACAGTTTACCGATTAATATATAGTTTTATTCAAACGATTTACTGCTACTGTATTTCATTGAAATGATTATTTGAAATAATTATATTTACACAAAATTTTCAAAAAAACAAATAATACCAATATTACAGAATCAAAAGGGGTGATAGAAAAAAGTGAAAACTATAAAAAATAATAATATTTGATAAATTAAATATCAAAAATTTGTTTTATTGCTATTATATATGCTATAATATATTTTAAGTAAGTCAACATAAATGGTATGTTTTTTTATAAACAAAAAAAATAATTGGCACCAAAAATTTGGCACCAGTATCTGATTTTGATATAATGGTATTTAATATTAATTAATATTTGACTACTTATTTGACGGCAATTTTTGTCATTTATCTTAAAGCGCCAGAGATATTGGCACTAATCAAAAGCTGACATAACTTATCGAGTGAGTAATTCCCATCTCATAACATACCGGTGCTCTTAAATTGCATGTAATATTATTTGAAGTATTTATATGAAACATTTGATTTGTTGCACAGAATTTAGTGAAGTTTAATAAGTTTAGGCAATCAGTGCCAGTGATAGCTCGCCAGTGCCGCAGATATTGAATATGAGAAGCGAGTAATATATTGCAGCAGTGATTGAGGCGCCGGTAACTTAGCCGCCGACGCCAACAAATAGAGCTCCAGGTCTTATGAAGAGCAGCTAAGCGACTGTAAAAAAGCAATCCTAACTACAAATTAAACCCCCCGTCCCTCTCGTCGATGCGGTTTTGAACACAACAGACCCAACCAGACATACAGTATATACAGTACACACTCTCTATGAGCTACACTATTATATACCTGTATATACTATTATAAGGATTATATAGAGTGATGCGAGGGACGACTCGCCAACTAAATTATAACAAACTTTTGCCAACTGTTTTAACTCCTGTATCCTAACGTTTAGTTTATTATTTTGGTTGTTTGTCCACAACTACTGTAGTAATGCATACAAACAACTGATATTTGCAATGTAGAGCTTTTTTGCAAAACCATTATAGTATTATAATACTGTATTAGTAGTGCACTACTCATTTGATTATAGGTTAGTTAGAGTTGTAGACAATTATTAACATTTGTATAGTATTTATATTTGACAGTCACAGCCACTGCACAGGTAGCACCAACAAAAAAAACTATAACTTTATGCTATGTATCAGTTATCTGAGCACCGATATATTTGGTAGCACTTGTAGTATGATTACAATTTGCAATTTTGACACTCGCCTTAATTACAAATTCCGCTATTTTAATGACCGCTTACTTATGCCATTATTGCACATAAAACATAATATTTAAACTAAACATACAGTCCATCCATTACTATGTATATATAATTACTACCAGAGCTGCCGAAACACCATTTGTAGGCAAATGATCCTCTAATACGTCTAACGTTTTTCTATTAATTCAATTTTAATACACGGTTTGTAAAAACATTTCAATTGTCTCTCTCTCTTTAGGAGGATCTTCTCATTCATGGCGATAGTGTTTACGATATCATTGAAAAACAAGACCATCAGACTATACAGTCTGAACTCATGCGGACCCCAAACCCTCTAAGCTTAGCACCGGATACGAGAATATTCTTGTGTCGGATGAATGTGTCGCGTAATGCCAGACGACAAATGAGATTTGGCGACCAAAAAGTATACAATTTAATAAATTTACTACAAATGTGTTTATATTCTTTATTATTAATCACTTGCTTATCAATCAATTTATTTGTATATCMAGGTAGTCCTAATTCAGGGTCATTTTGTTAGCTTTTTGCCGCTTTGCAGTCGCAATGAGCCCGTATTTTTGGCCACTTGTACACCGGTGGCTATGCCCGAGACCAGGGAGTGTGTTGTCCAGGGAAGCACTAATGTATTTACTTCAATACATTCAATGGACATGAAATTTATTCATTTGGACAGAAAGTAAGTCCCAACAAACATCTTTATATACAGTATATACTAACTAATCAATCATTAAGTTTGAAAACAAACAACTATTTTAAAACAAATTGCATTTACACTTTGCATATACAGTCAGTACTGTAGTGTTTTGTACATTACATATACTGTATACAAAAAAGTACATTAAAAATAACTAACTAAACACTTGAAAAACATTGTTTGCAACTAATAGTACGTGAAAATTGTTAATTAGTTTATATATATAAGCAATTAAATGCTGTTTCAATTTCAAATACAATTTAAGCCATCTATACGAACAAACCATTTGTTATACATTTACGTGTTGTTACAACAATATACACCACAAAAACTGCTTTACATTTGTTTAAAAAAAAAGTTTATTAAAAGTTAAGTTCATTCAGAATACTCTATCTTAAGGTCAGACAATTAAATTGAATACAATTTTTGAATAATAGTTTGTTTTGGCCTAAAGTCTATGTAAAAGATATCGTGACTAAGCTATGAGTTCTCATCAATGTTTGCTATAATTTTAATGAATGGCTGTACCTGTTATTGCATATGAAATGTAGTATATGAGTGCATATATGTGTGGGACCGTGAGATATGGATACAGTTTATTGCTTGGAGCTCATTACCACATAAGTCTAGTGAATTGCAAATAAATTTATTTTCTATATACACATCATATATATATATACACTATATATATATACTGACTCCACACCCGCTTTCACATTGTGTATGACACCTGACCTGATGGGTGTTGGAGTGTAGGATAGGCTTATGACATGAGAGATGTTGTGGTGTTTTTAAGTAAAGAATTTGTGGTTAATGTGATTGCAAGAGGTATTGGAGTAATAGTATGTAAAGTAAAAGTCATGACTTGAGATCAATGTTGAGGTCATGAGGCGGACTGAGACACAATAAGTTTACAATATATAGCAAACCGTCAATTTTGAGCAAAAGAGAAAGGCATTACTACATCGTGTCGAACATCAACATACCTGTGCTCTCTATGTTATCCACTATTGTGTCCAACAAAAGAGCACACAATTTACAGAAAGCATCTATTTTTCAACAATTATGCTGAGCTCATGAAATTATTATTTAGTCTATTATGAAAAACATAGATTTTAGTGGTTTAGTGGCACTTGTAATATATATATACTGTATATATAAGCTTTTATTGTTCACAAACATAGCTTGCAGTGGGAGTGAACCGTACAGTGAATACATTTGAATACCATTTTTGAAACACTAGTGATCACTGACTCCGACATTGACTACAAATTTTTGTTAACAAAAAATAGCAATTTTATTAATATATAGTCAAGAAAAAACTTAGACAAATACTTATATTTTTATTATTTATTAAAAAATAGCGGAGAATTTCATTTGGGATACAATAAGGCCTCAGTTCAGGGCCTGTCGTGGTATGACTTTGTCCATTGGGAACACCTTAGAGATGCACAATCTAAGCACAGACTAAGTATGACATCAAAAGTCATTAATTTTATTAGACTTTATTAGATATATATAAATATATATAATAAATACAAATATTATAATTGTCTTCACAAAATAGTTACACAATCAGAACAGGAAAGATCGTGTATATTATTATTGAGACTTCAAACCAATGCCAACACCTGGATATGGGTTCATGTGGTACTCCAGGTTAAGGACAGTAATGATAGCTCACAACAACCTGTCATTGTTTGCACAAATCAAGTGTTGAGGTTAGTTAACAGCATTCAATTTATTGGATTATTTATAGATAATTTAGTGATTTTCAATATTAATAAAAACAACAATAATTTGCAAAATATAGTGAAAAGGAGGCAACAGTAATGCGAGCGAACAGTTGGTTGTATCAGTTTTATTCACTGCACTCTAAAATGCATTACGGATTGGCATACGAGGCTCACACCACACGACTGCCGACTTATTATCCAACGCCAGCTCCCGGTGTCATGAGTCACGCGTACCATCACCACCATCACCATCACTCACACGCCAGTCCTGTCACAGCCGGTGGTGGTGAGGCGGCATCGGTTCCCATGCATTCGGTTCCATATCATATTCATTCTGCAATCACACCTCTAAATGGCACTCCAGGACACCGACACCCACAAGCTGTGCTCCAATACTCACCACAGGCCGGTTCGCTTCCCTATCCAAGTATTGTCGCAGCAGTCAATCATAGCGCTCAGTCTATAACTGATACAGAAGTGCTTAAACAACAAACAGCTATTAAACGATCGCATTCACCAAACAATACACAAACAGAACCTGAAGAATGTGAGTCACCGGAACCGCCAACAAAACGTCTTAATTTAAATCACCATAACCTTCCACCTCCACCATCGTCTACATACCATCATCCGAGAGCATCATCTTTTGCTTATCCGACCTCCATGTTTGGTGCCGGCGGTTTTAGTACATCTTCAATGACAAGTGTAACAGAATTGGGATCAGTTATGTCCGGATACTATGGCGGACCGCAAATGCTGACATCCGTTCCCTATCACTCACAAATAGGACATCACTTTCGCAACCAAAGCAAAATGTCATTCTTAGATGAGTCAGACAACTGTATTGAACAACCATTGAGTGCCAACAACACCGAAGAAGTGTCAAATAAGATTACATTTTCATCGCCAGCTTATCTAAAATACACGTCCGGTCTCATGTCATATCCCTATCCCGAGTTACCCGATAGAGATCTCGAAAAAGTGCGATCACCGGAGTCTATAATCTCCAATACATCAGATTACGGAAGTATGACATCCCAATCACCTCCATCTGCCTTTGAAAAGCCAAATAGAAAAGAAAATTTGACGCTATTATCAAATAATGGTCTCACATATAATGGTAACAACAACAGCAATAATAATAATAACAATATTATTATTAATAATAGCAATAACTGTCAGCAATTGTATCCATCTCTCAAATCTAATTGGACGGCTTCTCCAGTTTATACGGATCTCTCCATATCTCGACCGACACAAGCTATTCATAACACTATAGATAAAGATTTAGATCCATTGGATCATAGATTTGCATTTCCTAATGTGATTTGGGGTTATAATACAGATAACTCGTCAATAAGTCAGTTATCAGCATTTGGATCGGCATTTACTGTCGACACCAATCCAATGCAACATTACTTTAATGATCTAAGAAATGCAAAAAACGATCAAATCATTACTGGTAACGATTCCGGCCATACAATGCATCTGACGCACGGATCGCACGCCAACGGCGGCCATCATCTGAGCAATGGATTGCATGGATCGCATCCGACAAGTCTAGTCAGTGCACCACAAAGTGGTCAGCATATGTCGGACCTACAGCCACAGCCACAAACAGCATCGACAGCTGACATTCCATCGCATAGCTCGTCATCTCCCATATCGACACAAACGGTATCACCGATAGGGCTTAGCTCATCATCTCATGGCGTGGGAAGAGCTGCAGGCTATGCCACTATTAGCAGTGCTATTGGAAAGCCTGAGAGAACCACTGGTGCGACCGCCCAGAACTCTAACTGATCGGTAAACACTTAAGATATTTATATACCGTATATAATATACAGTAATATTTAATATATATAATACTCTACTTTTTTTACTCTATTATCTCAACACTAATATTGCACTCTTTGCCCATAACTATACTATTTTAGTGAATACTGTATTATTTTTTTGTGCTAAACTATGCATTTGTCTGTATATTCATTATATTATTAGCGTATATATACATTGAAAATATTATAATGTTTGCTCTCAGCTATCTATATATTAATATATAACATACCGTAGATTTTTAGTCAAACACATTATATACAGTACTTGAATACCACTGGAATATCTCCGCAGGACTTCTCACATATAATTTAATGCATTTTAAGATTTGTTTACAAACATATGACAATAAGCTTTTATGTATTAAAAAATAACTTTTTATTTTCTAATTATATTTACGGCGTTTAAACAAGAAATACTAGCTTTTGAATATATATAGTATAGTACTGTAATTGCCGTTTCAAAAAATAACTAACATTTTTATATGTCATTTAATAAATATGCATATAATGAAACATTGATTGCATCTGATTTGACACATATGTTGAATGACTTTTTAAAAGTTGTTCATTCAATCAAAAGATTTGATTTGAAAGCATTTAAAAAAACAAAACAAAAATCTGTTAAACTATTTTTCAAACAGTAATGTTTTTTTCAGTGTGATGCCCATTAATTAAAAGCTTTTAATATTATAAGCTAGCAATTAAGTGATATTTATAAAGCTATTTATATTAATATATTTGTATTGTTAGTTGCGTATTGATGTTAACTATGCATTGAAATGTTTGTTTGATGTGAGCTATAATGTGGATAACAATTAAATACTAAAATAACAGTATTATTAGTAAATCACAGAATAAATAATGTTTAAGAAAAAAGTTTAGTAGCCTTTCAATGGGTTTCAGGTGAGGCTGTGGTCTATAGTTTTTAAGCACCAAAAAACAGATGCAGTGGTTTTGCGGTGTTTTCATGGTTTGCATGTATAGTAGGTATATGTATATGCGTTAGGAATGTAATTAACGTGTGGTTTCACCATATAGTGAGTGAGTGAGTCAATGAGTATTAAGCCAAAGCTTGAGTCAGTGAGTCGGCTCATCAATAGACAGACAATAAAGTACATTAACTTACCTGTGCTTACCTGAGTTGAAGTGAACAACCAATTGTGGTCTTAGAGAGCAACAGATTTTGTTTTAAAAAAATTAGAAAATATGTGTTGTATTTAAACTATAGACATGTCTAACAATATATATACATACAACTGATATTTTACTTTATGAGTAAATGAATTTCATTTAAATTTTTAAGTTTAATTTATTTTTTACCCCAATTTTTTCTTGTTTGTAAAATACTAATGAAAAATGTGTTTTCTTTTTTTCTTCAAAAAAAATATTTTCAATTTAGGCCTCAATTGGTCGTCTGTATGGAGGATGTGAAGCGTCTGTAAGCATCAATTGATTGTTATTTTGTGTGTAATTATTACACAAACGGTTGGTTCACGAGTTGGGACCGCTTGGAAAGTACGGCACATTGCCGTCAGTTATATTCATAATATAATAATACTATTATAATTATTATATATTGATATTATTATTATTTTATATATATATATTATATTATATTATATATTATATATTATGTAACATTATTATGGGTTATAATTATATTCGTCGACAATATATTCCAAGTTTTTACTATATATTTTGCAAATTATTAGTTTTTTCTGTCTTTATATATATAAGAAAACAATTTTTTTCGATATTTTTTCATCAAAAAGGCGTTTAAGTTATAGTAAACTTTAATTTTCCAAATTTTCTCTATTATTCGTTAATCTATAAATAAAGCTTAAGGCAATTCACAAGAGTGTCGTAAAACATCATATATTAATATAATACATATTTTCTGGTCTATTACTGAGGGCTCTCTCTCTCTCTCTCTCTCTCTCTCTCTCTCTCTCTCTCATTCACTCACTCACTCTCAATCCACTTAGTTATCCGTAAGGTTGACGTCGAGACAGTGCCAACACATATCCAACGACTTTGACTTATTATATAACAAACTATTATTATATATATATATATATATATTCATAATAATTAAATCAAATTAAATATATTTCATAGAAAAATTCTTGTAATAGACATTGAGAGCCGTTACATATATAAAAAATAATATATTTATCTAAACATTTAGTGATTATATACGCTATTGTCGGTCATTAGTGCCAATGAACTCAATTTCTATCTAATGTCGTCCGAAAATTATATAACTATTCAACAAATAAAATAAGTATCACATTATTAGCAAACATTAATATTATGATTACATTTCGTTCCGTATTCTCATTATTATTATTATTATAAATATTATTATTATTATTATTATGACAATAAGTGCCTTTACATTCCCGGATCTCTTTAACCATATTGTGCTCTCTTATGTCTCGTATTTTTTATATACCAAAACTTTTGCAATATTATTGATATCAGGAAAATATCAAAAAGGTTTGCATAGAAAAAGTGCCGAAACTGTTGTTGTTTTCAATACCTCTCCCCACATAAGGAATAGCAAACTGTGTTTATGTTTAAACTATTGATAAGAAAAATGCCAAACAATATATGAAAATTTCTGTAAAATTACATAATTTCTCTCACTTTTCAATGACAATAATTTTTTTATTATATAAGATTTTGTTACTATTTTTTTCTATAAAAAATATTAACAACACATCATTATATGAAATTTGAAATTTTTAACTATAACTATACAAAACTGAAAATTGTGATATTTTTAAAAATTAAGTTTTTAAAAACATATTTTGTAAGAACTTTTTTATTATTATTATAATTTAATGATATTAACAATTCTATAAACACTTTATTTGTGCCATTAATTGTTCAATCATTTTGATGTAAATTATTATTATTATTATTATTTAAAAATAAATCAAATAAATTTACATAAAATCAGTTTGTTTGTCAAATTTATTAAAATAAAATCATTAAAAAATTAATTTTTTAATCATATATAACGGCAACTGTCAGAAAGCCTGTATGTCCTGTACTCTGGTTTGGCAAATATGTGACCATATAATCACTGGATTTGGTCTCAACATTGTCGCTGTTATCGTCAACTTCGGGCTTATTATCACTTTCTGTTCGCAACTTTTTGGCTGATTTGTCATCATTTGTCACCTCATCGTCAATGGATTCACTCATGCAATCAATTTGTTGACAATTTTCCTAACAAATTGATTGGAGGATAAAATAAACAGTCAATTAATTTAGTCGATTCCGATTGAGAGCTGATAAATATAAATAAGCACCTGTTTGTTGGTAAACTGATATATAGGCAATGAGTGTGACTTGACTTCATAGGGCCTGAGGAGGCACTCGTAGGTGTCGATGTCGACAAAGTGGTTGTCGGTTAGTGCGGTACATGTCTTGCCCACCTGTTCCATACACGGAGAGAAACAGCATATGCGACCACCTGTGCAGCAGTCATACAAAATATTTAAAAAACAGTCAAATAAACAAACAATCAATAAATTATTATCATTGCGCTAACGGTGCTGCTATTTGTGGGGGTTTATCTTAATGTTAAATCGCTATTTAAAAAAAACGTGTCAAATAAGTTGTCGCATCACATCATAAATAACTTAATAGCTTAACCACAACATACATGCATGACATTATAATTAGCTAAATTTTTTAGCGAGTTTTTTATTGAATTAAATATATACAAAAGTAAATATAATAGTAAATATATATTAATATTGTATAGTATATAATCATTCACAAAAAAACATTATGGTATCAATCTATTAATTAGATTAGACTAATTCAATAGTAATATATTTGTGTGTCAATTAAATGATGAAATTTAAACTTATTATTAAAATGTGATATTCAAATATATTTAAAAATGCATTTCTATAATATTAAAATGTTTATAATAATTAAGTTGAATGTATCGATGAAAAGTGAATTACAAAGTGAAACATTTTGTTTATAAATGTTGCGATTGAATTGAGTGTTTATATGATAGTTAATATTAGTTGATTTAGTTGAAAGCAAACGATCCTTTTTGCACAAACATATAAATATTGCTTTCAATTTAGCTCTGCCTTCGGGCTATTTATGCCTTTAGTCAATATATATATATATATTTATAGTATTATACATATATACGGTATCTTTATATATATATAGTATATAAGCAAAATTGCTTAGTTGGGGTCACTTTTGCCAGATCCTGGTTCGCACATGCAATCAAACATAACATCCATACATACTATAACACTATACATACATATAACATAATACATTGTACCTGATATACAATCATTTTAATGTATATTTACAAAACAGTGTATCTCTTTCACAATAATATACATTTTTCACTAATATCTAGCTATATTTCAATTCATCCACACACACACACACACACACACACACACACATATATATATATATATATATATATATATATACATACCAAGGTCGCTATTTAATATGTGGGGTCACCCGGTGGGGGTGTCGGCTATGTTGGATCTACAGAAGAAAAAATAAAAGGTTCAATTTGTCCCAACACTAGCCAAYACACTATTACTACTGAGAGGACCACTACTTCTTATTTTTTGAAAGAAACAGTATTTCAAATGTTTGCCGGAAACGTATAATAAATGAAAGTTGTGTTTATAAAAAACATTTATAACAATTATAACAATTTACAAAAAATAACAACAAGTGATAGTGAGCTATGAGTGATTTGTCTTCACAAAAACAAAATAAAAACAAAACTGATTAGCATTTAGAAGACTGCTATTTATATTTATGAGCCAATTATGTTATCCTTTCCTAACAATTATCCTCTCGAAAGACATAAGTTTTTTTGGCTATAATTTAACGTTTATTTTTTTGTTAGAGTTTCTGTAAATTACACTAAATTTTGTCAATTATTTGTAAACTAAAAAACAAAACAAAAAGCCAACGCAATGTTAAGGGCAAACAGTTTGACCCGATAAATATGATTGTTATTGTATAGACAAAACAATATACTATATATACAGTATATAATTGGTTATAATGTGATATATTTATATACAATACAAAACGGTATTAACTCATAAAAATACTGTTTTTTAGAGTACTTGAATTTGAATTACAAACTTTTTTGTTGTTGTCGTTGGTATTCAATGCATTGACTGAACTAACATTAAAAATATAGAAAAACAATATTTATTTTTTTTGAGAAAAATGCTTGCAGTAGAAAAAAAACATTTAATAATAATGGTTAGTTTATAAATTATAACCAACAAACAAAAATTTACTAAAAATATACTCGCAATCATTGAGATAACTTATGCTTAATAATTAAGATAGTAGAAAACATGAGTTAAAAATAAAATGTTTTTTATTTTATTATTAATATTATATATATATATATATACCAAATTATTCTTATTTTAAAAAGTTATCTAAAAGTTTTATGTTTAACCTCATTATGCAATTTTAAGCTCAAATATATATACGTGTATATACTGTACATTTATATATGTATATGTAAGTATAGTACAAACTTATGAGATACATGTGTATAACATATACATCTTACAAGCGGTTTGACTGTGTGTGTGTGTGTGTAATATATGTAAATGTAGTTAACTGGTGGAGCATAGGTATGATCCTTGTCGTGGTCTGTGGGACGGCCACAATGGGTCACGACTTTGGTTGAGCTTTGACTCAAATAATAGCGTACTATATCAGCATTATTTGATCGTTTGTCTCTCACGACTCCTTATATTATATATATACTCTATTTATATATACTGTTATCATCGTATATGTTATATATTGTATATTTTACATCACATACAACAATATGTTACACATCTCTCTCTATACAATACAACACAACATAACTACTACTAAAAGCTATTTTCTAAATGATTTTCACAAAACAAAACTTCTATCATGTCTTATAACGTTCAGATGTATTACAGATAACCATTAGATGCATCACTAAAATTAATGCTAAACATAGCATACTATATACAATATAATGAATTATTGCCATAATATACAACAATTACATTGTAGTACATCATAAACAATATGTATTAATGTATATATAGATTTCTACATATTTATCATTATACATATTGAATTATCTAAAAATTTTACATAAATTATACACAATGAGTGAAAAATGAAATAAACAAAATAAAATAATCAATCTAAACAAAAAAAACTATATATATATACTTAACTTCATTATTTAATATACATTCATAATATTATAATAATAAGTGTTAATTCATTTCGTATACAGCAATAATATTTTTTCAAAATTTTCATTTAAATTCATTTATAATAAAAAAAACTAAGAAATAATATAAAACATATAAGTAATAGTTTTTTATGGCAACAAAGCATGTAATAATAATCCATATATAATATTAAACATTTATATATCATATATAAAATGCTAATAATAAACGGTGCAAATCACGAATGATATTCAATTGAATCCAAACCTTTCGGCCATTACTTCCTTTAAACCGAAAAAAACTCAAATAATATTTTCAAATTATATTATTTGAAAAAAATTACAAAAACATTAAATAAATCAAAAAATCGTGAAACACTAAAACTATTAAAATAATACTAAATATAACTTTTTAAATATAATTGAAACTATATAATGACTGATAATCATATTTAATTTCTAATCAATGATATATATATTTTTAAATATTGTAACCTAGTATCTTTAAAAATTAACTTTAACAATTACTACAAACAATTAAAAATAATTATTAAACAAATATATTTAAAAATATATAATTATTATTCTTTGTCTTATGAAAAAAATATAAAAAATAAGTTCAATCAAATATAATTAAAATAATGCACTATATAATTGTCAATTTTAATAATGTAATATAAACCATTTAAAATTAATCAACCTACAATCAATATAGCTATTAAATATATATAATAGTAATTTAAAACACATTAAACTTTTCAAATTGCAATTTAAATAATATTTACATGTTAAAAATCTATAAATTATAATTAGAAATGGTATAACTAAATATAATACTTTTACTTATTTGAAAATAATAAACTGATAAATAATTTAAGTGTCTTTTTACCACAACATTGATACAAAATGACAATTAATTTCTATATATATATATATGTGTAATATTTTTTTGTACTAAAGTTTTCGGAACCAAATATCATTTTACAATAACCGAAATAATAAACCAAAATCATTAATTTTAATAGATATATAATAGATATATATATATATATATATATATAATAGATATATATATATATATATATATATATCAATTTTAAATCTAACCAAACCGCGATTTAAAATAAAACATATAGCATAAATTTACTATTTGTTCATGATTAAAACAATTTTACAATAATAATTATTATATTTTTAATTTGTAAATATTTATAAATATTTATTTAGATAATCTTTATAGTAAAGTTAGACTTTACACAAATCTAATTCATTAAATATAATTATTAAAATTATATTCATGATATAATCAATATAACAAACTTATTACAACAAACAATAAAGATTAGCTTTCATTAAGATATTAATTCTTAAAAACTTATATATCAGAGAATACATATAACCATAAATAACTTTTTTTTTAAATTCAAAAAATATTTTTACATACATTAAAACCTACACACATAGCAATTTTACTATTATAGTATAGTAAAGTTAGATAATTATGATATAAAATTAATATCATAACAAAAAAACATAACATTGGTCTACTAGATAATCATTAGTAGCTTTTATAATAATAAAAAATATTTTATCAATGAAATATCATAATAATCAACAAACAAACAAAAAACGGTTGACATAATAATTTAATCATTTGGTTGTCTTTATTTTTCATCAGATTTCTATCAGATTATTCACAAAAAGCCTACGCATAGCATCAATAAAAGATAAATGGTTCACAAATATTCATATTATTAAATATCTGTATAATGCTATAATCACACACACAATAGATAATAACTGGGAATTATATTAAACATAATATAATGGTTTTACAGAGATTAGAGTTTTGTGATAATTATATATTTATAATTTATCCAAATTTTTTGCAAAAAAAAACATTTAATAAAAAAATAAATAATTTTATTTAATGTAAGGAAAAATCTCATTTCAAAATTATTTACAGCATATTAGTTACGAAGTAATTGTTTCTCAGTCTAATTAAAGTTTTTTATCTATTAAACGTATTATTATTTTATTATTATTTACAAAAAATTTAATCATATTCCCACAACATTATATTATATGTATATTAAATATCAAACGAAAATTATTTTACAACATAATTAATGCAATAAAACAAAAAATTAGGAAATTTGGTGTTAACAAGTAATACTTGTAAATATATCTATAGATTTATAATTAATCAAATTATTCATTTGATACACGATTTGAAGTATTCAATAGTTTTATATAACAATATAAAATGCAAAACAACTAGCGATTGATTCCCCCCCGGGGGAGGTTAGCTATCGTTTACCATCATTTAGATAATGTTATTTGCAAACAAATTATAATCACATTTTGTTAGATAATTGTGTCCAGTTTTTGTTGTTGTTACGTAATATTAGGGTTATCCACCAGTGCTATAGTAAATGCTAACAAATTTTTAAGCACTATACAGGTATATAACTTATATAATATATATATAATTGATCCAAAAATAGCGCTCAAATTGCTATAACTAAAACTTAAAATAAAAGGTTAGACTATTGCCACCTCTGAGACAAACTATTCAACAACAAAACTGTATCATAAGTTATAACTAAATTTAATTTTGAATTATAATATATGAAAATAAAAAGATTATTAAGTAAATCAAACTATATTAATAGATTAGTTATGACATAACATAAATTATTTGTTTTTAATTGTTATTATTATTTTCATAAATTAAATATAATAAAATTCATGACCAAAAAAAAAAACAAATGAAACGAATTATATACTAAATAAAAATTTTATGTCTAAAACAAAAATACATACCATTTGTTTTGAGAGCTTCTTTAGCCGCTTTGATGGCCTCCCATGGATGGGGTAGATCCAGAAAGAGGGCATCAAAATGATTGTTAAATCCAAAACCATCGGTACACACATCTCGATGTTCGGCACATATTATATCACTTAATCCGTGGTCAGCGAACTCATTCCTCGCCAGTGATGCTCGTTCTTCGTGAAAATCGTAAGTAATTAGTTGGCCATTGGGTGCAATAGTACGGCCAATAGCGTGCGACAGCGACCCGCTGCCAGTGCCGGCCTCGCAAACAACACTTCCCGGCTTTAGATCCAATTGACTGACAATAAAACTGATGTCAGTTGTGTATAATATCTGTGTTCTGTGCGGAAGAGTTAGTGTCCATAACTCCGGTGTTATGTGAAGTATATGGACGTATCCTTTTGAACACTTGTGGACACAACCGTATTGTTTACCAACGATGTCGTCATGTCTTAGAGCTCCGTATTTTGTTTGAAACACTTGTCCTTTTTGGACACGAATCGGGTATATGTTTTGCGGACTCAAATAAACCACAAGAGTGTCTCCTTCTTGGATAAGACTCTTATACGATGTGAACATCTCTGGAGATTTGATGGCTTAAAAACACCTATTCTTTTGGCTGCGGAGGTCGTGACAAGTGTTCATGTGTTTCATGTGTTGACCACAAAAACCTATTCAATAGACAACAACAACAGTATATTCATGTGTTGTGTGAATAAGTCTATCAAATGTCTAATATTCACGACTTTTCATGATTTCAATGAACCAAACGTTACATTCAAATGTTGTTAAAAATATTTGTTGACTAAAATAATACTTTTCTAATGCATTATAAGTTATAACAATTGCTTAGAGATTGTACTTTTCCATATGTTTTTTCACTACAGTATACAACTATTATATATCGCACTCACGAATCACACGTGAGTTTTGCAAAACATAACAACAAAACGTGAATCACATTCACAGTCAATGCATAGATTAGTTGAGAGAAAAAATCGTTTCCAGAGATTAGTATTCAACACAACATTAATGCTATTATTATTTAATATTATTATTATTATTATTACAATGTATTATACAATATCTCACTCTACAGTATATTTGCCTATTATTTGATTATTATTATTATTATTATTATCTATTTATGAAAAGTACAATGTATCAATTTAATAGGCAAACTCACGATTGTAATGTTTATGAAATGCATTTTTAAAAATACATTAAATTACAATCAAACCATTGAATAATTAAATTTTTTGTTGTTTTTTCTGTAAATATATAAATATTTTGTTTAATCTAACTTTTTTCTAATCATGAACTTCGAGATACATTTAAAAATAATATATAGTTTAAAATTTAAAATATAATTTAATCTATATACATAATTTTAAAATTATTACTTTCTATTGTTATTATACTATTGTTTTTTATTATACAATATACTGTAGGAAAAAAAGTTGATTATTTACATGACAATGAAATTTATATATATATATATATATGAATGAATGAATTTTAACTATAAAATATTTAAATCATATTTTTAAAATGATTTAAATATTCAAAAATTATTCCCCTCACAAATATTCTGGGCGGCGTGTTATCAACTAAGATTCGTAACTTGCGTGCACTTAACTCCTCACTTAAGTGAAATCCTGTGTTATTAAACATTTTAGCAAGTTAGGTTTACGGGTAAGTTAGGAGAGGACTTAAGTATACAAAACTGGTTTTTAGGTGAAAAGTGTGTTAAGAAAACAAGTTAGTGCTAGAGTTAGGTGTAAAGTTAGGATAGCTTTAACCCAACTTTAGCTATACTTTAACATTGATAGTAATGTTTATTTTATAGTTTAAAATATTTATACTTATAAATTTAATAAAACACTGTATTATTATCACTACAAAAAAGAGTTACGTTTGCGTAAAGCAAAACATTTTGTAGTAACGCTACTCTATACTTAACTTAAGGAAATCGCAAACGTAAACCTAAGTGTATTCCTTATGATAACACTCACCCCTGTACTCTTATTTAAAGTTAAAAGTTTTAGTATTTTTATATTTAGCTAACAGATGGTGTGATTATGTGCAATATTTTTTTTAAAAATTATTAATTGTGATAATGATTGACAATTAAATTGAGTTTTTAAAAAATCTTAAAAATAAAATATAAAGTATACGATATAAAAATACTATTATATCGATTCTACAGTATATAAATAGTGATAGTTTTAAATTTTATATTATTAACTTGTATGATGTTTTTAATAAAAGTTTATTATAAATCTTATAAGATATTTTATACTATATTTTGGTAATATCAATTTTTGAATGATTATTATTATAATAATTTTTTTAATAAAAAAAAGTTTATGTATACTAAAAACAATAATGGGCTGTACTTTATTCATATGAATATAATAAATATTCACAAAAGTAGTAATGATTATGATTTACCAAATATGGATAATCAATATCACAATAGTTTTTATTTTTAAAAATATAAATATATTGTACTTATCAATAGAATTATAAACAATTTACAGTAACTAAATGATAAGAAATTAATAAATAATAAAATCATTAAAATGTATTTTATAAAATATTTTAAAGGAAAACAACAACAGTAATTGAGTTCAGCAAATACTAACCATTTTAATAAATTGTAATAAAAAATATAATTTATAAAGTATGGCCAATAATAGAAAGAAAGTAATTTTGTACTATTAATTGATATAATTAAAAATTATACTTATGTTAAACTCTTTAAAAAAAATTAATAATTAAAGTTTTAATACCCATAGAATTTGGACTTAAATTATATTTAGTCATTAAAAGTAAAATTTGTTTAACTAACTTATCAATCATTTAGTTATTTACATATTAATTATTAGGCAATCCATTAATTATTAAGTTTGCTATATTAGGTATTATTAAAGAAATATTTGTATTATTGATTTTTGAAATAATTTATAAGAATGGCAACTATTTTACATAGTAATCAATTATATATATTTTAACTAATATATGTAATGGCCATTTAATGGATAAAAATACATATTTTTATATACAAGTATAATATTTGTTTATTATAAATATTAAGCTTATAATATAATATAATATTATTTTTTAGTTTATTATGGAATATATTTTTAAAACCTGTATTGTACAGTATATTTGTTGTATACTTTACTATATTTGTTACTAATTATATAGGCATATATATATATATATATATATATATATATATATATATGCTGTATATATTTATAAAAAACATTTTTTGTGAAAAAATGACAATTATTTTTTATTGTTTTTATTAGTTTTTAATAGTTAATACAAATAGTGAATAATTATGATAAATGCTATCTACTATAATATATATGATATATAACATCCCACCTCTACTGACGCCTACTAATAGTCAATGAATGGCAGCATTTAATTCATTGAAAAAAACCTTAAATTCTTGATTATATATTCCGTTTATTTCTTTCATTATTATTATTGTGGAAAATATGTTATATACAAACAGTTTCTAATATTACGGCCCAATCTATATAATGCAAAAAAGAGATGAAGGCCTTTACAATAGTGTAAATCAATTAAAAAATAAAAACTTAACATTTTTATAACTTAAATGTCGTGCCAGTCCTAACCGCTTAGCCCTGGCATCGATAGTGTATAGTGTGTGTGTTGAGTGTATAGTTTAGCATTTGAATCCAACAACAGGTGCTTAACTTTTAGCTGATTTGTCCTTTTTATTGCATATCATTTATTGTTATTGTAAGGCAAAAAATTATTGTAATTGTTTTGTGTGTGTAAATCCCCAGATGTTTAGTAGGAATCGCTACAGAATCGGCCGAATTAGATGCGATCGAATGGGTAATTGTTTTGCTTGGCTTAGACCTACTCGGGTCAGGTTCCCACCTCCCAGTAGATACGGATTTGATAATAGAGTCGTTCCCGAGATAAGTAAGCTTTCGGAGTTTTTAAAAATTAAATTTTTAGTGTAATAATTAAGTTTATAAATTTAATTTTTCAAAAATTATTTTAAATGTTTATAAATGTTTAAATAAGTTATAAATATTGTAACTATAATTCTAAAACTTTTTAAAAATCAATTTTCAATGATAATATTGAATTGTGAATACGACAATAATATTATTATTTATAATGTATATCAGTTTAAATTTTATTTTATAACGCTTTCAAAAAGTTAATTAATTAATTATTTATATATTTTTTTTGTTCACAGAGTCAGATGCTTTAGTATTACGTAAAACAGATTTTTTAATTGAAAGCAATAGTTGGGAACACAGGACTGAAAAATATTCGGTCACTAAAAGAGATTATAATCAACGACTAGTTATCAGAAGAGGTTCACTCTTTGAATTAAAGTTTACATTTCAACGACAATACAACCGATTAAATGATGTAATAAATCTTGTGTTTACTGTTAAAGGTATTGTCAAAAAAAAATATTTTAATAATAAATGCTTTACTGTATTACTATGTGTTAAAAAATTTCATGTTTTCTTTGAAACATCAGATGCCAAGAGAGGAGAGTTTACTAAAGAAACCCAAATAGTAGTTCCTGTGTTTGACGACCGAAATACATCCAATCTGTCCATTGTTTTAGAAGATGAATGGATCGCACGTATAATAAAAGTCGAAGGATTTAATGTTTCAATAGAGATATCTTCATCTTCTTCAGCCATTATTGGCGAATATAATCTGAGTGTTGAAACAAAGTCATTAAGACATGAAGTTTTTCTGCCAAATCCAGTCATTGAATCATTTTATATATTATTCAATCCGTGGAATAAAAGTTTGTAAAATTATTGATAATGTCTATGAAATTACTATTATTTGTTAATTTATTTTAATTGACATTTTTAGGAGATTCGGTATTTTTAAAGGACAGGGATGCCAGAGAAGAATATGTTTTAAGCGAAAGTGGTATAATTTGGAGGGGAACTCATGAGCTATTGAAGCCAACGCCTTGGCATTTTGCACAGGTATGTTAAATAGCTTATATGGATATAGTTGATAAAAATTATAACTATAATAATTTAATATTTAATATACAGTGCAAATATGCAAATAATTATTTTTATAAGTAAAAATATTTCATTAAAAAAGTACATGTAAACAAAATTATAATAACAATATTAATACAGGTATTTAAAATTTATTAATATTAGTAAATAATTAGTGTATTTAATTAATTAATAATAATAAATAATAATTATTACTTTAATATTATTTTTATATTTATAACTGAAATAGTTTGACGATTTGGTTTTAGAGGCCAGTCTGTATGCACTGTCAAAAGTGGGAAGACTTAATGTCGTTGACAGGTATATACATATAATACTTATAGTAAACATAATTTTATTTTAAAAATAAAATATAAATTATCATATTATAAATTTAAATTATATTAGAGGTGATCCGGTTAAAGTGTGTCGACATATTTCGGCCATTGTCAACAGTGTTGATGATAATGGTATAGTTGTGGGAAACTGGAAGGAAGATTTCAGAGGAGGTACAGCACCTACAGATTGGCACGGTAGTCAAGCAATATTGTCACAGTTTTATAAAAACAAACGGCCCGTCAAATATGGCCAGTGCTGGGTATTTTCGGGTGTTTGTGCTACTGGTTAGTTACCAATTAAATTATTGATAAGCTTTTAAAATACAAATACAAAATATAATTTTGTTAATTCATAATTAGTTTGTCGGGCTATTGGCATACCATGTCGTGTCATCACATGTTATCAATCAGCTCACGACACACACAGCAGTATAACTGTTGACAGATTTTTCGATGAAGAAGGAGAACCAATCAAAAGTCTTAATACAGACTCTATTTGGAACTTTCATTCATGGGATGAGGTTTGGATCAAACGGCCTGACCTATCGATGTCCGGTGCTTACGATGGATGGAATGTTATCGGTATATATATATATATATATATATATATTTAAAACCAAATTATAATTTTAAATTGTTATATATTTTTAAGAAACAATTTCAACAATAATAATGTTTTACAGACTCAACACCTCAGGAGCCATCAGATGGACTGTACAGATGTGGTCCAACAAGTGTGGTGTCAGTGAAAAAAGGAGAAGTCGAGCGACCATATGATGCAAAGTTTGTATACTCGGAAGTCAACGCCGATGAAGTCTATTGGTTGTACTTCGGACACAAACAACCCGTCAAATTTCTAACACATTATACTGATTCGTATGAATACTATTTTTTCAATAATTGTTTCAAAAAAATAGTAATTAATAATAAATTTGTAAATTGTTTGCTACAACAGAATTGGTATCAAAATATCAACAAAAGCTATTCTGAGGAACACTCGGGTAGACATCACTGACAACTATAAGCACAAAGAGAAGAGCGCTGAGGAAAGGGAGACAATGATTAGGGCTTTAAGAATGGCTCGAAACCAATACTCCAGATATTATCTCAACGAAAAGTTTGAAGACATTCGCTTCGAGTTCTCTCTCATTGACGATGTGGTCATTGGACAACCCTTTACAGTTCAGTCATTTAATAACTATATATTATTTAGTTTATTAATATTATTATAAAATTTTATTTTAATTTTTTTGTTGATAATTTATAATCAAAAAGGTGCGCTTAAAAATGTATAATAAAAGTAATAAAGTCTATACTGTTAATGCAATTGTTGGCATCAGAAGTACATCATATACTGGTGTCACCCGATCTATCGTCAAAAAAGATAGACAAGAATTACAAGTCGGACCACAAACAGGTTTGTTAAACTATTGTATAATATATATATATATATATATATATATTAAAAACATTTTTATAATTAATTAGAAGAAGAGCTCATAATTGTGGTCACATATAGTGAATATGAAAAACATTTGTTGGATCAAAGTATCTTCAATATCACAGTTATGGCTAATGTTCTCGAAACTGACTTTCAAGTTTGTATTTTCATGACATTATGAAAAAATCAAAACCAAAAATTAGTTTTTTTAAATAACTGAAATTTTTATTATATATAAATACAGTACTACGCTATGGATGACTTTAGATTACGAATGCCTGATATCAAGATTGAGACAATTGGTGACATTATTCAAGGAAAGCCTTTCACATGTAATGTCTTTTTCAGGAATCCTTTGCCAAAATCCTTGACAAATGGTATGAATTATATATATATATATATTGTATGATATATATTACTGTATATACAAAATACTAGTTAGACTGAATGTTATTTTTTTGTGTGCAAATATGTAACAATAATTTTATTGTTATAACTATTACGACAACTAAAAAATGTGAATTATTTATTTAATAGGTGTATTCACTATAGAAGGTCCCGATTATTCAAATAGATTACGATATCCATTGAAAACGTAAATTTTTAAATATATATAACAATTATTATTTTTATAATATAATACATAATACTTTAATTTATGGTACTATAGGCCAATATTTCCCGATACCGAAGCTCGTGCAACGTTCCGATTGGTGCCGAAAACATCGGGCGAGCGGACAATTAGTGCCAAATTTATGTCAAATGAGTTGCGAGACGTCGACGGATTCAAAAGTATCAAAGTTTCCGCCAGTTTTGTCACCCATTCATATAATAATAACGATTATAATGAATTGGACTATTAATTAAACTATTGTTAATATTATTAATAATTTAAAATAATTTACTTTTATAAACATTTATTATTATTTTTGTACACTTTTAGTCATTATGTTTGATATTTATAATAAAATATAATTATAATACCGATAAACAAGTATTTTTTGGAAAATTATATATTTAAAAAAAATAATTTATTAATCAAAAGGTTCGCTTAAAAATCTAATAAATTTTAATTACGATTAAATTCATAAAAATTACGATTAAATATATATATATATATATATTGTAATGTGAAATATTTTTAATAAAGTAAAATTAATAGCTATAAATTTATTTATAAATACTGTAAATGAATATTATTTAATAGTAATATTATTAAATATTTATTTTTAAATTACACAAAAAACTCAAAATATTAAATCTAATTATTTTTATAGATATGACATAACACACTGTCATAAGATTTTTTAAAAATCAAATAACATAAATAATTATTTACAAACTTTTAACAAAAATTTGGTCCTATTTATATAATAAGCAATGTTTACATGAATTTTAATGATTTCTAAAAAACAAACAAAAAACTATCCATTTTAATTAATAATTTTTACAAAATATTAATAATTTAAATTTTAAGTTTATTTTAAATGCTATTATATTTATTTTTAGATTAATTTATTACTTTATTTTCTGAATTATTTAAATGATGCATTATTTTGAATACACTAACTTTAGAGATTTAAATAAAACTTTAATGACTTTTTGCTGTTTTAAAAAAATTAATGTAATTATTGGAAAATTTCAATTATTTTAATTACTGTACAGTAGTAGTAGTATAATTGAAACAATAATAAATTTTAAGTTATTATTTATAAATATATATATTTTTTTCATAGAAAGAAAAAACAATTGAGTTATTTAAATAAATTGATTTAAATTAAAAATTCAAAGTGATATTAAAGGCTTTGCCAAAACCATATTATGAGCGCAACCTAAAGGCATGTGCGCCAGTCTTAGTAGAAAATCAGTTATTACTTGAAAACATGTTATAAATACACTAATCGGTGACAATAAGACATAGAGTTGACATGAGATGAAACCTATTGGAAAGCCTAAAAAGATGATGATTGCCAACCATACAAATGTCCAAATACATTGGGTTAATGGCGATGACTGATTCACTACTGTCGATGATATGCCGGTCGAGTTATGTGATACCGGCTGATGGGTTGGCATATGAAATGGATTTCTTCTGTCATAGAGTTCTGGGTTTGCGCCCAGTGTTTGGGTTCTTTGAAATTATATTACATATTATTATTAGTAATCTTTTTTTTATAGAAAACAAAAGTATTTTATATATAAATAAATACTAATAAAATATATAATTCATAAAAACTAGAACCTCGTAATTAACAAACAAACAAAAATTTAATGTAAATTATAAATAAAAACTATAAAAATATGTGTTAGTTTTTCTAAACATTTTGATTAATTAAACTATAATAGTATTATTAGAATATATAATATATAAAAATGAGATTTAATTGATAAATACCCATTAATTAATGTATTCATTAATGTAATCTTTATGTGACATTTTTTTCAATACCTGGAAGCAGTAGATTCCAATAGGACTGGTGCCCACACTTTCCACATCACTGTTTCACATAGTTTTTGTAACAAAACATACAAATAAATTATATTATTTTCAAAGCCTTTCTTCACAAAAAATACTACTAATTAATATTGTGATGACTTGACAATAATATTAGAAAAGTGTGTATTTAAAAGTTGAAATTTTGTGTAAAATGTTTTTTGGTTGCAATAAATACAGAGAGAGAGAAAAAAAAAGAGATGAGGGATTTGTATGGCATGTGTTTGGTGTGTGATAGTCGTAACAATTGTTAAGATTAACTGATTTAGTGCCACATATTTATAAAATAAGTAAAAATCGTTTGCAATGAAAAAAATGCGAATTTTTTTCTAAACGATATATTAACTCTCACTTTCTTACAGTTAGATTGTTTGCATAAAAAATAAATTTTGTTGTGATGTTTAATGTTGTGCTACACATCTATTTTGGGATTAGAGGACAAACGTCTAATATTAGCTTTATTTATACTGTACTGTATATACAGCTATATCGTTATATTATCGTAAAGATAGTTAATTTGAAATATTAGGAGTTTTACTTGGATTTCAATTAACACCTAATCAGAGCATATATCACTGTTATACTTGATTTGACTTAAGGTCTAAATTTACTAAATTATAAATTAATTTTTTATTAATTTTGATAACTTGATAAAAACTTTTTTTTTGTGAGATAGTAACAAGTATTAGATAACAACAATTTAACAAATATATATTTATATAAACAAATGTTTTATATACTTTAATAATTAGTAAAATTGTTTGTTATCTAAAATATAATTATTTTGTTTGTTTGGTATATTTTTTCACATAAAGTTTATAATCAAAATATCAATAAATTTGTCAGAAAAAACATATTTGTTAAGTAGCTGTTGATAATCATATATTTGTCAAAAAAGAAAAACAAATTTCACAACTTTTTACGCCAACACTTAAATGTTATATTATATATGTTGTGTATATATGTAACTTATATATTAACACTTTAGCGACACAATTATTATTATTATTATTATTATTACAACTTATACAGTAGATAATACATAATTAATAATATTAATGATAATTAAATTAATGATTTTTTATTTCTTGCATTTTCTGCACATTTGACGGGTAATCCAATACAATAGTCGAGTAGAAATTGCATGGTTTTGGTTAAGAGACCACACGATTGAAATGGTTGTAAAAATATATAAATAGTTGACATCAAGAAACCGATGGGAATCGCCACTAAAAATAATACTAAAATCCAGACAATTGATGTGAAAAATGCCGAAAAAGACATATTCTTTAATTTATAAAAGAAATTTTAATTTGATTTATACAACTGTATCACATAGTAAGTGGTCTCCAAAAAACTCAATAAACATCAAAAGTATATGAAAAATACTGTATTATTTTCACACAAAAATCAGTTTTATTATGTTTTTTGGCAAATGTTTGATAATGCGCTTAACATTTGACTCATTGCAGTTATATTGTGTTAATTATATAAATGATTTGATATATATTATTAAAAAATAATTAATTTTTATATTGTTTTAGTATATTGAGTATTTCATTCAAATAAAATAACTTTATTTTTAGTTTATTGATAAAATCGATATTTTAGAAACAAATAATAGCGAACTTAATTAAATTAAACATAATTAATAATTAAAAAAAATAATCAATATATATTTACATATTTTGAATAAATATAAAATTATATTTAAACAGTAAATTCTGTATAAGTTTCTATTCATTGTAATAATAATAATAATAATAATAATAATAATAAATATGATTTATACCAAACCAAAAGCAGGCAATATTTTACTAATATTTATGTCAAAAGTCTATCAGTGTCTAAAAATACTTAAAATTTTTGTTTACTCTGACTTGTAATATATCAATTAAAATTATGTGGCTTTTAATATATAAGTATAATATATGTATAGTATTTAAATAGTTATATTTTACTGTATGTATATCTACCGAAAAATGGAAAATTTGTACTAATTTTTAAAATTTCTTAACAAAAATAATAAAATCATTAAATATATTATATAAATACAAGTAAAAGATTCTTATTTTTATATCTTGTTTTTATTTGATTTAAAATAAACATATAATTTAAAAACAAATTAATCACATATCGACTCATTTTTAAGTTATAAACTAAAATTATTTTTGTAACTGTGATTTTATATACAGTAAATTATAAGTTACAATAATCAGATAATAATAATAATTTTTTTTATTAAAAATGATAGATGTATTTAAAAATTTTGTTTAAACATATAAATTTATATAATATGTATTTAATTTTTAATTTAATAAATAAACTTAAATGTATAATTCATACATTATGAACATAAATATATTGTATTATCAATAAAGCTATTTTTGAATTTCTTGAAATTAATTTTAAATAATTAATACAATAATTATAATAATTATAAAATGTATCAATTTATAAACCTTCAAATAATGTTTAAACTATAAATTAGGATATAATTGCATTTTGTGAATAATTTTTTAAAAGCATTTCATTCAGCAATAGTTTAGTATACAGTTAAAGCTAAAATAATAAAATTTATTATACATTACTGTTAGGTTTTGTTTATTATTTGTCAGGATATTATTATGTGAACTAGGTACTTTATTGAAGTCACTTAATAATTAACTATATTTTAGTTTTAATAAAATATGTTTATTGGTTGGATATATTGAAAAGTAATAGTCAATAGATTTGTCATCTATTGATACAAATGGTATACAACTATACAGTTTGGTCGCCAATCCAAGAGTGACTGTGCTCTCCAACTGTACTATCGGTGCCCATAAACTCACAACAGTTTCTCACTGTTGACAGTCGGGTCATAAAATCTTAAAACTATTTTTGTTGCCCATTGGCTACTCAAAGATATCTCTTTCAGCCAATACATCAAATACATGTATATTCAACACAATATACTTAAATACAATTCAAACATATAGTTTCAAACAAAATATAATAATAATAATTCAAATCATGACATAATCCTCTCTCTCTCAATTCAAATACCCATTTGAATTCAAAATAAAGTTACAAAACTATAATATGTCATATAATTATAAAACATCAAAATTATCAAAAATATAAAGTTGCAAAATAAGTTTTACTTATAAATATTCAATAAGTTTTCAATTGATTTACATTATAAATCAATTCACAAAATATTCAAATAACTAATAATAATAGTTATAATAGTCATAATTGTTGTATTGATTATAATTAGGATGTTGTTGTTGTAGTGACGTTAATGGCATATAATTGGTTGTCGTTAAAGTGTTATCACATTTAGTGTCCAATTGAACGTCGGTAGCAATAGTTTGTTGATACTGTTGTTGGCCATACATAGTTGTCATCATTTTTAATGTTTGTTCAATAACTTCAAGTTTTGAAACCCAGTTAACGGTATCATCAGAATTGGTTGTATCCGATGATTGATGAATAGTTGCCAACAGATTGTTTGCAGTAGCATACAGTGTATCAATGCGCTCATGTATTATCTTTAGTTTAATTTTTCGTTTATAATCAGTAGTATGTTTAGTATAATTAGCCATCTAATACAACAAACTTAAATATAATTAGTAAAATAAAATAACTGTTTATTTGTCAAAAGTTACAACAATTTTATTTTCAGGTTTATTAGATAGTTTAGTTACTGTTTGTGTCTCATTACTGGTACATTGAATTGAATGTAAATCAATATCATTTGTATGATTAACATAACTGCAAGTATTATTAGTATCAGAGTTTTTATATCT